TCCTTAAGTCTGCGTTTTCTGCATGTACCTACAGATTAACCGTGACGATCAACCCCAAGAACCAAATTGATGGATTCATGAATGAATGGTGTGGGGGATATCATACTGGCTCCTATCTTTCCTCATTGCTTCTTCCAAGGTATCAGAATATCACTTCCATATCCCCTCTCCCGAGCGCGGGGGCGAATCTGGGCGATAGTATAGAGTTCACCACGACAGCGCCACCAAAACTGTACAAAGAATGCCAACCAACCCACCAGGCCAAATTGATGTGCGTGCACAATTGAGAATTGGTGCTAGACAGAACCTTTTGCTATGGAATGAGTAACCATAACATATTTAGGCGGCAATGCAATGATCCGTCTCATCAACCAACTCACGGGTGGATAAGTACGAGACTCAATGCCGCAAGAATTGATAATCTGTTAGACCAAGGTTTATCTAGCTGCGGACACTTCAGCCGTATGTAGATAATGCATAACGCGTCAAGTTGGGCGTGTCAAGGTTGAGGATCATCAATCTCCAGTAAAAGTCTACTGCTATCTATGTGTCATTCATTTGTCAGCTTTTATATATAGCTGTGGGCGGGGGTAGGGCTGTGCGATTGCCCTTGCGTCGTAGATAATCCATTGTCGCATGTCGCAAATACTTCTCAGCTCGAGGACTACTTTGTGTCCACCACTGACGTAGGTGTAAGGATAGCCACCGGAGGAGAACCGCCACCCTACCGCACCGCTGTGTATAGTTGTCATGGTCGTACATTTTGCTCCGTAGCTCGCTGCACAATGGACAGGGTTATGATGCAGGTACGGAGCACACATTATAGGAAGTCATTATTGGGTGAGACAAGTGTCTCCAGAAGATGTGTGCAACCGAAAATGAGGACTGAAGCCATCGGCAGTTGGATGCTATCCGACATGAGTTCGATACCATGGAACGTCGCCACGGATGGAGTTAGGTATAACTTCACGGATCCTCACTTAGGAAATGCTCGACTTGGCCCTGTCTCCGGTGATCGATGGGAACTAAGAATTGAGCCCTCCCCGGCCGTCATCGCGCCAGCCCGGCGGCCTCCAGTTGGTCCGGCACTGGCCAGCCGGTGGGTCGGGATGCGTCCTTCCTCACTTTCTTGCTGCCGTTTCCCCGTGACAGTCGACAGGTCATCTTCCTCCCATTGGTCCCTCCGCGCTTCTTTTTCCCTCTCGCCGGGCCCTGATTGACGCGGATTTTCGGCCCTCCGTTTCTATTTCGAGGCCGTTACTTTCTCGGCCAATGGTGCTCCGTACTACCGCCGGCCATGGAGCAAATAGGAATACCTGATTTTAAGTCGGATTGCCACTGGCTTGTTTGAATCCCCAATCGACGGTCCACTGGGAGGCAAAGAAAGCGTCGCGAAACAACAAATCCTTTATCAGCTGAATCCCCTAAACAGGAGATTGTACAAACGACAAACAGACGGACCGACTCGGAAGCGTCAGATGTCGATGCACCCGAACCCCTGTGGCCAAAAGTACCTGCCAATCAACCGGGGTTGGGTGGAAAGTGAAAAAAAAGTAATGCTATGATGGACTCGAGAAAGTTCTCTCGAGTCCCAGTGGGATGGTTACTGCCATGTCGATCTCGATTCTTCCAACCGAAGTCGTCCCATTTTTTCGACTTTTGACTTTTTTGCTTTTGACTTTTGACTACCTGGCTTTCCTTCTATTATCGTTTTTCTTTACCCAATTCCCCTCTTGTGTCGAAGTAGGTATGCGGGTGCCCTATCTCCCTAATATTGGCAGCCATGACACATCTTCTTTGCTTAAACTTGGAGATGATCAAGGAACCACGTATACAACGTGAGGGGAAAGGCGTGGCTTTTGCCACCATGTCCGGTTAGCGGCGCTTGGCCGGAAGGCGGAAGGCGGAAGAATTAATCCATCACCTATCTTATTATCATAATTATTATTATCGGGCTTTATTTATTTATTCTTCCAGCTAAGTACATACTATGTAGTAGGTAGAAATCCTGGCTTTAAACTCAAACCCCTGTCCATGCAGGTCTTTGCACACCTCTCGGTGGGACTTCACAGACCAGGTTTAGTGCCACTGCCACCACAAAGAAAGGATGTGCTTAATTAAATCCATAGATTAAGAATTAATTTACTGATTAGTGTCGGAGGATGGCAATGGTTTTTATTTTTTGTTTCTTTCGAGTTAGCTCGCGCGTTATTAATTTGGAGGGGCCTGCCTGTCAACTTGGTAGGTAGGGTAGGCAAGTGGGCTGTCTCAAAAGTACCGAGAGTAGGGGAAAGAGACAGAGAAAGGGTAGGTAGGGTGTCTGTCATAGGGGGCCTCGGTCCCGACTATGGCCGTTTTTAATATGCTGGATCCAGCATTTTACCTACCCTACAGGCTACCTACCTATCTACTTGCTGACTGACTTGACTGGCGTCCACACTAGTTAACTCACCAGTACTTGGTAGTGTCACTGGCTAGTAGAAGTCCGGTGGTGTTGGCTATTCCGAACGCGACCGTTCGCGATCGAGAGGAAATAGCAGCCGGGATGAACCACTGGAGAAAAGCAAGAAATATAGATAGCTAGTAGTACTAAGTACGGAGTTATATCGAGATCATATCGGAAGGTGGTATCGTGATATCGAGGGGGAGGAGCCGGGGGGACGGGACTCGATAAAAATAAAAATAAAATAAAAATATTACGTCGCATGATGAGTTAGCCCAGATGGGATTGTGCCGCACACACCCTGGAACCTGCACCAGTTGTGTGATGGGAAGATCATAACCGTTTAGGCAAGACTAAAAGGTTAGCTGCGTTGGGCGGCCATTGGATGGATTACTATTTGGGTCCCCTCCGCGGAATATGCAGAATTGGGGAAGAGGACGGAAAGAGGATGAGGAGGGAGGGAAAACAAGATAACTGGTCGGGGAAGGATAATAAAAATAAGAGGCAGAAATACTACTGAGTAGCCTGCCTGTACTAGGCTGGATGCCGTGGATGGATGGATGGATGTAAACAAGATGCACTAAAGAGAATAAAATAAAAATAAATACAAGAAAAGAAAAATGAAAATAAAATAAAATAAAATAAAAAAAACAAACAAACAAAAAAAAAGACCAGACCAGACCAGAACCCGACCGGGGACGGACTGACTGACTGACGGGACTTTTGATCTTTTTTTGTTAATTGCTTTTGATGGAGATGCGATGGGATGATGGATTTTCTAAAGCATGGGTAATGGGTAATGGGTATATTATTTTGACAGGCTGGACGAACTTATCATCCATCCATCCATCCATCGATCAACCATTATATCAATCCCCTCTTGTTATCCAAACCCAAACCCCAAAAGTGCACAGGGGCTCTGATCGCCTGCTCCACCTCCCAATCGAGTCATATCCACCGGTTCTGTGCTGTGGATAAACCACTTGTTGCTGGTCTGCTGTTGCTGGCTCGATATCCACTCCTCTGGGCCAGTCACCTCACCAACTAACTAGTCTGGAGAACTCCTCCTGTCTGTCTGTTCCCGTTCCCCGTCAAGGCAGTTCGTTGGTCGTGGTGGTACCTAGTACCTGGTACTTCCTCTCGATCTTGTCACATCCCATCCGCGAACACACGGACTTCCATCCTACATACATACACTCGCTCTCCCTGACCTCCTTCTCTTCCGCTCTTTCCCTCTCCTTCCTGGATCTTCCCCCCTCCCCTCCACTCTCTCAATTATCACCACCATCACCGATCTTCCACCCCTCTTCTCCATCTTGGTGGAGCTTCCGATCGTTCGCTCATTGCTGCTGGTGGCAATTGACTAGAACAACTTAGCATAGCATCGCATCAACTTCAGCGAACCGGCCTGCATTGCGCTCATTCCCGCCCTTCCGGTCCTGCTTGTCCCCATCGTGTCTTGGATACTGTCGCGGCCCTTGCGTGTCTAGCTGCGAACAAGATTATCCCCTCCTCCCACAGCTCCCCAGGAAATTCACCTCGTTCGGCCTGTCGTCATCGCCGCTGCAGTCCTGTCGATCGAACTCCTTTGAAGGAAAAGCTCACAATCGTTGTCCGGGTTCTTCTTCCTACTGTTGCAGGTGCCCTGTCGTCTCGAGATCTAGTCCGAGTCGAGTCCTGGTCCTTGCTTAGACTCGACCCCGTCCACTTTCGAGTCAGTCAGTCCCTTCGACGAGGCAGGTTTTCCTCATCCTGGGAGCGGAGTGGCTACTGTTTGCCACGCTCTGTTTTGGCTTTGCGGCTTGTTGACTCGCCTACCCGCCTTCGACCCCCTCCCCTGTCCCTCGTGCTCGACTCTGCTCCTCGTTTTGATCTGGCATCAGAGAACGTGTCTCGTCTCGAGTCCGAAGATACCCCCCTGTTACTACTCTCGACGAGCAATTGCTATATACTTGGCTGCCGTACTGTACAAACGGCGCACTCCCTTCGTTTTGGCCTACGTTCTCTAGGCTCGCGTTCAAGGTACGTTAGCAACCGGTTGCCCTTCCCCGGCATTCCTTCCATTCCCCTCCCTAGAATCGGGCATTCCCCGGGAGACATGCAGAACCATCCCCTCCAAAACATCCTCCCAGCACCCTTGCCAGCACTCTGCTAGAAAGCAGGCCCTCACGGTCCCAAGTCCGTACAAGCCTTCAGCAGCGCCGCATGATTGACCTCTAGCGCAGTTATTGATTGCATTACAGCCACACACATCATCGCATCTCGACTAGCTCGATTATCTTCTTTGTCTATACGATATATTCCGATTTTCCTTTGAACCCAGTGATAGAATAGCGCGAGGATGTTCATTGCATCTTCTCTCGCATAAGCCTTGGTCTCTGACCTTTGCGTCCAACTGGACCTATCAACCGGAAGGCTATCCCCATCAAACCGAATTCCTCACAGGGAAGAAGATATGCAGGAACCAATGAAGCGACACATTGCGCCATTAAAGATCGAAAAGGGAAATCTCAACTTTCACACCGACCAATACTATCATTTTCAACACCACCTTGAGATGAGCCCTCCATTGACACCATACGGTATCAAAGACGACAGCATGGAGCACACAGAAACGCCGAGGGCCGTCTTTCACAATTATCTCCGTGCATTCTATCCTTACCACCCATCCGGAAATGTGTCCCCGTCGACCGTCACCCTCCCCTTGGACCAGGGTGACATCGTCCTGGTACATTCTGTTCACACCAATGGCTGGGCCGATGGCACCCTGTTAGATACTGGGGCTCGGGGCTGGCTACCCACCAACTACTGTGAAGCTTACGACCAACAACCGATGCGTCCACTCCTGAAGGCGTTGACCGACTTTTGGGATATCATCAGAGGCGGCTGTGGATTCCCTCTAAATGATGCTGGCAATCAGGATCTTGTGCGAGGCTTGATTGCTGGCGTGCGCTATCTACTGGTAGGTGCCGAATATCTAGTTGCTGGTCGAGCAGGATAGCTAACATAGCCCCAGCAAAAATCCGAATGCCTCACCCGCGATTGTACTCTGGTGACCAGCCACGACGGTCTGCGCAGGAACCGCAAGGCGTTGCTGGCTGATCTCTCATCTCTGGTCCGGACCACAAAGAGATTCCAGGAGGTGGGCAGCAGCAGTGCCACGCAGGACGAGATCGATTATATGGTGGACGAAATGCTTCTGAAGGCCTTCCGCATTGTGACTCGAGGTGTTCGTTTCCTCGACGTGTGGAACGAGGAAGTTGGTCTGAGCAGGACGATCGCCGAACTAGAGCAGCAATCAGCGCATCATCAAGGCCCACTTGCTTCGGCTGCTGAGACAGGCCCCATATCGGAAGCCGCCGCATCCGAGGCCGACACGGAACGCAACGAGTCTAGACTCATGAACCGCAGCCGATTGGACATGAGTCGAGCATCCACTCGCGTAGACGACTCGCAGCAGACCCGTCCGATGTCCGTGACCACCAAGCGAATTTCCATCTCCCACCGCGTCTCGACTTCGGGACCGGCCGCCGCTGTCCGAAACCCCAACCTAGCCTCGGAGCGACTGAACTCCGCATACGATGCATTCCTGGGGGTGCTGGGTTCTTTCATCGGGCTTCACCTACAATCTCGCTCGTCAACAGAATTGGTCGTGACCACGGAACAGGCGGTGCGCTCCTGCCGCGCACTGCTGACCGTCGTCGAGGCCACTTGCGAACATGACCCGCAAGGCAGTGGGCTCCTAGAGGGAGCTAGAGACACTATGTATGAGCGACTATCGGAATTGGTCTACGCGGCCCGGGACGCCTTCCGACCGGCCCATTCTCCAGATGACGAGCTTGTGTTCTTGCCCGATGAAGGCAAGCGCCTGGTGGATGCCGCCACCGACTGCGTGCGTGCCGCCGGAAGCTGCCTGGCCAAAGCTCGACTAATGCTGGAGGAGTGCGGCGATTTCGAGCTGGACGCCATGCCCCAGGACTTGGCCCCGGCGGTGATTGACGTGAACAAAACCCCGCAACCGCAGAGGACAAGCAGCCTCCCTGTTAATCAGGGTCGACCCCAAGAGGGGTCTTTGCGCTTGCCACCCCCTCCTCTACAGATTCCCACCTCCATCAACAACCGATACTCCCCCCCAACCCCAGGTCTGACGGACGACACTACTCCCTCCTCCTTCCAATCCCGTGGTGGAGCCAGCACTCCCGCCACCGATATGTCGTCATTCCCCTCTACCAATCTCCTCTCCTCCAGCCTGGATAAGCTGTCCTTTTCCTCCAACGATACCCAACCCATTGAAATTCCTCACAGAAATAGCCAGCCAAAGTCTGATGTTAGTGAGTCCTTTGGTCGGGGGGTGACTAGCAACGGCAGCAGCTTCACATTCACCAGCCGTCTCCGCGACTCCGAGATGAGTGGTGTGTCGCAGACCTCCACCCGGGCTACCTCACCAGATATTGGCAATCACTACCAGGTCCCCTCCCTCAAGGGAAGCATCAGCCACTCCACCCTGGCTGAGGAGAACGAAGAAACGGAAGCCAACATTCTGGAGAAGACATACGCGCACGAGTTGATCTTCAAAGATGGTCAGGTCATGGGCGGAAGCTTACGCGCACTTGTCGAGAAGCTGACTGCTCACCAATCTACGCCCGACGCTATGTTTGTTTCGACCTTCTACCTCACCTTCCGTCTGTTTGCTACCCCAGTGGAGTTCGCGGAGACCCTGGTTGATCGATTCAACTACATCGGAGACACCCCTCACACTGCAGGACCTGTTCGTCTTCGCGTGTACAATGTTTTCAAAGGCTGGCTCGAATCCCACTGGCGTCACGACTGCGATAACAGTGCGCTCGAATACATCGTGGAATTCGCTAATACGACGCTCATGGGCACCCTCCCGTCTGCGGGAAAGCGCCTTGCCGAGCTCGCCGAGAAAGTGTCGATGGTTCATGGCCCAGTCGTGCCCCGTTTGGTTTCTTCCATGGGAAAGACCAACACCGCAACTGCACAATATGTGCATCCAGACACTCCTTTGCCACCGCCCATTCTGGGTAAGAAGGAAGTGAATCTTCTTAAGCAGTGGAAGAATGGCGAAGGCACCATATCCATCCTGGATTTCGATCCGATGGAATTGGCCCGGCAGTTCACGATCAAGGAGTCGCGGATCTTCTGCGCCATCCTCCCTGAGGAGCTATTGGCGACGGAATGGATGAAGAAATCGGGGTCATTGGCCGTCAACGTTAGGGCCATGGCGACTTTGTCCACGGACCTGACACACCTCGTGGCTGATTCCATCCTCCAGCTGGAGGAGCCCAAGAAGCGTGCAGCTATCATCAAGCACTGGGTCAAGATTGCGAACAAGTGCCTGGAGCTCAGCAACTACGACTCATTGATGGCCATCATCTGCTCTTTGAACTCGTCCATGATCTCTCGCCTGAAGCGGACCTGGGAAGTGGTGTCGCAGAAAACAAAGACCACTCTCGAGTGCCTCCGGGGCATTGTTGACGTTTCCCGCAACTACGCTGTTCTCCGGCAACGACTCCAGAACCGCGTCCCTCCTTGCCTGCCGTTCGTCGGGACATATCTCACAGACCTCACATTTGTGGACCACGGCAACCAGGCGCTGCGGAACTTGCCGACTGATGAGGGTGAGATGGCAGTCATCAACTTCGATAAGCACATGAAGACGGCCAAGATCATCAGCGAGCTGCAACGGTTCCAGATTCCGTATCGACTGACAGAGGTGCCGGAACTGCAGGCGTGGATGCAGAACGAGCTGGTCCGTGTGCGATCGAGTGGCGAGAAGAGCCTGCAGACGTTCTATCGCCGGTCGCTGGTCCTGGAACCCCGGGAAGCACCTCAGCCACGCAACATGCAGCCCGAGTCCAGCTCCTCTTCGATCCTGGAGAACGCCAAGGACAAGTTCGACTTCCTGTCCTGGACACATCCCTCCAAGGCTAAGTCGGTCGCGACGAACGGCTGAACACTCCCGGTCGCTCATTCTTCACGGCAGCCACTTTATGATTTATGACAGTCACTTCTATTCATGTTTGACGGACTTCACCCGATACCAGTTTATTCCATCCTTTCTTCTTCTTACACGCATTTCACACATTTCACCTGTGTATACCTTGAACTTTTTGCTCTCATTTTTACCTTCTTAATTTCTATTACTCTGGGCGGCACTTGTGATCTTTATCCATATCAACGGTTTTGTTCCAAAACGGGGTTTCAGAAAAAAGGGCAGTGTGTACATGCATGCACCGGGGCGGCGGGGAAAACCAAAAGGGGCAAAGCATATATATGGGTTATTTATACTGGTCGGAAAGGGCCTCGCGGCTTGATGAGATGCATTGATGACTGATCATGAGTGCGTCTCTGCGTTTTCACATTCTTTGGATTCTTTCTCTCTGACACGAGGCCTGTGTTTCTATCTCTCACTTTCATTCTTCTCATCATTGTTTTATTGGTTGCTCTTTTGGATGGATGGGAGCATCACCTGGATTTGGGATGGGACTTGGCTTGGCTTTGTTAGGGTTCTGGACATGGATGGATGGCATGGATGGATGGCATGGACTTGGGTGGATAGTATTTGGCAAGGGCCTGTATTATTTCTGTATATACCACATTACAACATACTAGTCCCTGACTAATTGATCACTCTTGATCTTGATCATTTGGAACGATCCGTATTCTTTGTCACTCGTAAGTAGGTAACTTCCGAGATAACTTGTGTATAACAAAACATGTGTATGTCCTAATCGGCTTTCCCATCCTGCCAGCCTTTGAATGCATCTACAAACCCCGGGCCCTCATACTCATCTGACTGACTCTGATCCAACATCGCACCCATATCCAAGATGGGTATCATCGAGGGCCGACCATGCGCGCACTGGAAGGGAAAGACACAATCCGCAAGCCGTCGAACTAGGCTCTGACATTCATCACTATCCAGAACATCGTTGAACATGATGGCTGTGCGACACGCGCGAGAGTTAAGCAGGTCAATGATCCCGCGAGGACAGCCGTCTAGGCGATCCACCCAGCTGCGTTTATCCCATTCCATATCTGCACGGTCGCCCAACCCGGCTGGAAGGCCCTGCCGGCTGCGTCCGTTCTCTTCCTCACGTCTCCAGATCTCCCCGCGGATAAGATCAGTAACCAAATGGGGCTCGGCCCGGCAGCGCTCGGCTATCAGTGTGGGTAGGGTGGACACAAAAATGAAGACGTTGATGTCTCCGGGTCCTTGTTCCACGGTGTAGTCCACCCCCCAAGATTGGAAGAATTCCCTATAGCGTCCAAAAAGAGACGCTTCGGTGGCTGGTATCTCAAAAATGATGGGTTCCAGTTGGATGGTCTGGATGCGATCGGGGCTATCGCTGGAAGCGAACAACTCCGCCAAAAGGTGCTCGACCCGGCATCGCTCGTCAGCAGCGTGTTGGTCGATCAAGATGAGGCTCGATGTAGGGTCACCAAGAGGGTGACTGGGTGAAGTTTGCATCTTGGTCAGGATGAACTTCTGATCCACCTGAGCGATGATTTCTGCGGTCCTCAAGTCCTGCTTTCGCAACTTCCCTCGAAACTTCGACACTCCCATGTTGTCTAACCTGCATTGCGCACTCCGATTGTCATGCGAACTAGATCCGGGGCGCGTGGCCTCGTGGCCACTGGGATCCATCGCACTGATCGGCTTCTCTGGACGACCAAAAACTGGGTTTACCCAATTGTCCAAAAGGTTCTCGACCCATTTGTTCTCGGTTCTACCTAGAGCAGCTGACCTTGGTCGCTTGACACCATCCAGAGCCAGGTTTGGCGCTCGTAAGGAGCCAGTTGACCGAGGCCTCAGTGTCAAACCCAATTCCACCGACGGTCCAATGAGCAGGGACTGCCCGGTCCTGGAATTAATCAAGTGGCTTCGTCCCGTATAGGGATCGACCCAAGGAATCATGGTATCAACCTCTGACGCTTCTTGATCGCCATTGGGTACTTCTTTGCGCATCCCTAGTTCTTGCCGCCTAGAAATGGGCTCAATGGTAGAGCCCTCGTTGCCGCCCTGTTCAGACGGGAGCGCAGGCTCCTGGTCCAGATGGTCTTTGACAATTCGCAAAGGGTTATTGTCTGATTGAGGAGTTGAATCGGATTCGAGGTTACGTAAAGGGAGACGCTTCCCGGTCGTATCCTTCTTCGCACTTTTGATCCTGGTCCAGTCTCCGAAATGGTGACTTGTTTTGGATGATTTCCGGAAAGAAGGGAGCTTGAGTTGATCACGAAATGCTTCTTCCGTACTGGAAGCTGCGCACTCTGGTGAGAGTGGCCTTTTAGCTCTGAGATTGCTGGGGCTCGTAGTAGCTGGTGGTATTCCGGGCGTGCCTCTTGTCCTTTTCCTAGCACGAGGGCGCAAGCCACGCTGCTTTAGGAACTCATTCATCATTGTTGCAAGCACATCTATGATGCGCTGAAGAGATCTTTCTGAGTCAGGAAGGTCTTGCCCTTCATCGTCAATACCCCACGCATCTCGGGTGTTTATGCGTATGTAGAACATAGGCCATTTATTAACCGCCTTGGACGTAGGTTTACTATGCACGCTTTCGCCATCAGCACCATCACCGGATTTACTGAAGGATGAAGAACCCTTGATTGTTCCAAAGTCTGACAAAGAAAATATGCGGTTGACTTCAGTATAGATCAAATTTGCGTTGTTCCTTGCGAATACCGGATCTGGGCCAAGGGAGACGAATTGAACCTTCTTCGTGGGACTAGGAATTAGGGATATGGCAGCATGAACGGCAAAGTCAGCGACGCTGGCCGATACAACATCCCAGATGCCAGTATTCTGAGCCTCGATCAATCCCGACTGAGCTAGAATGGAACGAATACGTTGTAGATCAAGTTCCCCACCCTGTGGGCGTACACGAGTTTGAGGATGAACTATGAGTCTTTTCTCTCTATGGAGGTCCGAGACCACCAACTTCACCATTCTGTCATTTGTGACCATAAATGACACTAGAAGTTGCCTTAGCTCATCCCACTGCCGTACCAATTCATCTGGTCTCTGAAGAGCCAAGGCTCGGCTTTTGACGCGTACAGGCATGTTCCCGAACAAGTCATTCACTGTGACACTGGTGCCATGGTTGCTGAACCTTAGCTCCTGGTATACTGGGACTGGCATCAACCGGGCCACGGGTGTCGAGTGATGAAAAGTGACGGTGTTTGTGCTCGGATGGCGAGCATGATGTGAAGTAATGGTCAGCAGTGAGAGCGCAGAAAGCGAGGCCAAAAATAGTCCCCTGCGACCATACACGCTTTGACTCGTATGGTATTTCGAAGTATCTGCATGCTGTATGAGCAGATGAGACTATTAAGTGGCGGTCTAACATACGGTGCGCCTTCCCTAATCCCCCGGCTGGTTCAAACTCAGCCGGTGGGATTCCATCGCCATCATCCTCAACCACACAGCCTCCGCGAAGAAAATCGACTGTGACGTAGATGATGCGGGCATCTGCATCCAAGGCATTCTTCACTAGTTCCACAATGACCCCGTTCAAGTGGGTGATGGCAGTAGAGGACTTAAGCTTTGCCACTACATCAGGGGGCAGAGGTTGAATTTTGGAGTCATTTGAGGACATTGCAAATGTGGTAAATCAGTCGGTCGTCTTGTAGAGAAACACACATCATATTGCCATGATGTGGTGCCGTTCCAAGTGGATAGAGTTTGTCTTTTTGACATGCAAGTCCGTCAGAAAGCGTGAGACAGCCATCTGGAAGATTAGTCGCACATGGAATAATCGGGCACGAGTTTACAAGAATGAAGGGGTTGGATGTGCTGCTGCCATGTTGACGGTTGACGGTTGATGGTTGATGGTTGACGGTTGACGAAGAGGAAAAGCCAAGCAGGGGAAGCCGCGGCGGCGATGATGTTGCCCGTCACGTGGTGATAACCCGATGTCGATAAGGTAGCCAAGACAATCAACGATATGAACGATACGAACGATACGAACGATACGGAGTATAGATAGAACTATATCTTGTTCCCTAGTCATCATTCAGACAGACCAAAGAGGACCAGGACCACGTAAGGAAAAGCCTTCTCAGAGCTTTGGAATTGGTTCGTCTGACTAAACTACAGTCAACAAACTGGAAAAGAGACCAAAGACTACTGCAGCCGACATGGAAACTGTCCAGATTGACAGCGCATGCACATGCGCACGAATCACGCCCATGTAGGACTAGTCTATCATGGCCTGTCCATCTACTTCATCCCGCCGTTGGCATCGGGGATTATGTGACAGTTTACTACAAAGTCTATGCCTGAGGGAGATCCAACAGACCAAAACCCCTGGAAGTAGAGCGTGCTTCAAAGTCTATGGCATGGAGGAGATGTTGGTCGTAAGGTGCTTGCCAATAAGGTGCTGCTCACGCGGGAAAAAAGGCATAGCGTGGGATGACATGCACCGGACGAAGAAGCGTCCGTCGGCGTGGCATGGCTCAAAAATAGACCAACATTATTTGCCGGTGACATCCCTGTCTAGAGGATCAAATCAGCAGCTAACGAGATACGCGCCATGCATCATCATTGCCGTGGTCCAGGCTGGAGGTAGACTGGGGACAGATCGGCACAAATTCATCAGGCTGGCGCTGTCCATGCCACCATGGCTAGTACCAACAATTGACGAGGGATGTCGGGGAGGAAAGTGAATGAAAGGAAAGGCAGGTAGTATCAACAGGCAGCAAAGGGAAGGTTGGGAAGGGAAAGCCGAAGGAAGAAAGAAGAAAGAAAAGAGGCGCCGATCGCTTTTGGGCCGCCGGGCATCACGTGCGGCTCCTGAGGAACTCCTGACTTGGAAGGGTGGAAGAATGGGCTGGCTGGCTGCACCACCGCTCCACTCACTCACTCACTCACTGCCTTTCTCTCTCGTCTTTCTCCTTCTCGCTGCTGCTTCTTTTCTTCCTACGATCCCTACGACCCCCCCCCCCCCTGTCCTGCATTCAAGTGCTTGTCTTCACCCCGCCTGATCTCCCTCTCACTCCCTCTCACTCCCTCCGCTATCCCTCCACTCTAAACTGTCCTCGGTTCAAGCATCCTCCCCTGCGGCTCTTATCTGATCGATCAACGGTCTATCACTTGATTCCCGTGGCTTGCGACGCTGAAGGTTTCGGTAGTCTCGCGAACGCAACACCCCCCTGACTTCTGGTTATTTCTGCCAGTGTATTGTTGGAAGGCTAGAATGGCCACGGCTGAAGTGCCCGCTAGGGCGCATGGTGAGTTGATCTAAATAGTCCCCCTACTCCCTTGTTCTACCCCGGGTCCATTTCTCTCATGCGCAGGACATAGATCGCAATGGACGTCGACACCCCTTTTCCGGCTGGATGAAGCGACTCGCTAGTCTAAAGCATTCTACCGATTCGAGTGCCAATCGTTGGTCCAACAAGCGTCATGCGATGCCCAAACACAAGAGCCGGAGTTCGAAGAACAACCCCTACCCACTGTCCGGCACTGCCCACATTGTCGGTGACTACAATAGCGACTTCAACACTTCGGATGCGAGTGGGGATTCTGGCCGGCGGTCCTGTTCTCAGAGCGAACCTTCCCTCTCATACTCCGGGTATGAGCAGCAGATTCCGGCAACCAGTGCTAAGTCAACCGCACCGACTATCTCGACCAATGGCGATACGGCCTTATCGGATGCAGCATATTCCAAGGCAGGAACAATGGCCACAGCAGGAGGCGGCATCAGTTCGCAGGGCGGAGGCGAGGGGAGCACTTTTTCATCGCCCGCGCCGTCGGTGCGATCCCTGACCACGACCCTGACCACCGTGCAGTCGGCAGCGCCATCCGCACAAGTCTACAATACGCAGAACCAGCACCACGGCCTGACCCATACAAATTCTCTACACAACCCGGCGACTCAACAAGTGCAATTTTCCCACCAATTTCCCTCCTCGCCGGCCACAGCGGTGCCGCCCCACCTTGCCCCTCATGGTCATTCTGTCACCTATAGCACTGCGACAGCCAACAATATCCTGACCGACAACGCCTCGATCCTGACCCTTGCATCATCGTCCAAGAGACGCCGAAGAAACTCCCTGGACACGAATGCCTCGGTCCGCGCGCTGGCGCCGTCCTCGGTGTTCGGTGGTAGCCGGGAGAGTCTGCCCTTGAGCGTGCTAAGCGGCAATGTCGGAGAGCCATCAACCTCGTCTTCGTTCAATCCACCGGGAGTTCTCAACAGACCCAGCTTGGTGGGCCTCGCCAGTGTGGAGCGCGCCAGCGTCTATTCGGCTTCTGGTGCCGCGCCCTTGCCAGGAAGCGGTGAACGCGGCAGCTTCCACAAGGGCGCCACAACGGGGGACGGTGCCAGTGTCATCAGCGCGGCCCAATCGCACAGTCGCCATGACAGTAATGCAGCCAGTATAACTGGAGCGGGTATCAACAGCTTGTGGTCCGGACCCGCGAATAGCCAACCAATCCCAACTACCGGGCGGATCAGCCGTCGCAGCTCAGGATGGGGCGAAATCAATGGAGCCGAGAGCGACGAAGAGAAGCTGACCGAAAGGACAGAGGATGAATCCGAAGCCAAAATTGTGGTGACGGACGAGACCAGAGAGCTATCTGGTGAGTAGGGAGATTGATCGGGTATCAATTCCAATCCCCACCCATGGACCGAAGCCAATGTTTCTCTCCCCACACACCCAAAAAAGACCTCTTTTTCCCTGCCACGAAGTTACGCAAGATAAGATATTCCATGACAGATTGAGTGACCCTGTTCTGCCTTTTTTTTTTATTTTTTTTCCTTTTTTGCTCTGCTTTCAAGTAATGACTAATGCACGCGGAGGGTAATACAACCCCTCTACATACCCCATCTATCTTGCTATGAGGCGCTAAGTGGAGTTTGGCTTTTTCTTTTACCTTATTTTGTTTCACTGTCCTGGTTTTCCTTCAGTCTCACATATGTATGCTTTTTTCCCCCCTATTTTATCTTTTGCGCGGGTGAAACGGGATACGACAACGGAAAGGGATCAATCTATCTATCTGGGCGGGCGGTTTATCTGATATCCCAAGCATGCATGTTATTGTTTTTTCTTTTTGTTTTTATTTCTGTTACCTTCTCTTCCATTATCTTTCTGTATTTGTTATCTCACTTTTTCTTGTGTCGAACCACACTTCATCTTACCTACAGAGTACAATACCTACATATCTTCCAATACAATATTTGATGAATAACTACGTCTCAGAATTCTTATCTTGTGCTACCCCTAATTAAATAGAGAAGTCAATAACTAGATATCCCAAAGTGAACTATGTCGTAACCAACCAAGCCAGTCACTTAACCATGAGATAGTACGACTATCCCATTGAGTGAGGGTCTGATTGTCCAAGGGTAATACTACGTATGCATCAGCATAACCCCAGTATCCATTCCAGATTTATTCGACATTTAGCAAACAAAGCACGCATATTCGATACTCCGTTCAATGGAAAAGGTAAAATGTATATAGGTTCATTCATTATCATGCTTTTTGAGACCGGAACTGCGAGCGAGCGACAGTACTTTGGATCTGATTTTGTACTTCCAGACATAAACATCACTCGTGCCACCGACGATCCTGGGTAGGTATCTTTCCTTTGCGCCGTGACGCCATCTCCTCATGTACACCATTAGATATAGTAAGAGATATAAAAAAAAGAAAAAGAGATGGGAGAATCACTGAGTTTGCATAAACATCATCTACAAAGCTCAAATAGACAAGAAGACAAGAAAGCCAGTCAAGAGGACGATTAGATCGTGCCGACGCCGATCTTGGACTCGGAACTACTCCGTTCGCTGTCCTTCTGCTGCTGGGAAGCCAGGAACTTCTTGAACATGGCGGCGATGTCGTTCTCCGACTTCTTGGCCTCCTCGGAGGTTTGACCATTCTTCTCGGTGATGAGGTTCTTGAGCCATTGGTTCTCCAACTCGAGGGCGGTCACGCGGGCTTCCAGCGCGGTGTTCTTGTCCGTTGTCTCCTTGACGGTCTTCTCGAGTGCTTGCTCGCGCATCTTCTTCTTCACGCGGAACCGGGCGCTGGCGGCAGTGTTACGGCGACGCTTGTCCTCTTCGGCGGCAATGCGCGCGGCCTCCTCTACGCTCATGGCAGCGGTCTTCTGGGTATTCTTGCGCTTAGGTACGGATGCAGGGACGGTTGCAGTGGGGGCCGGGGCGGGGGTGGGAGCCGCGGACGGCGACGATGCCGCTGACGATTGCGGGGAGGACTGAGAGGCCGCTTGGCTAGGAGCGGGGTTGACATTGACAGGGCCATTCGGCAGGGATGGGACAGCAGGGTACTGGGTGTTTTGGACGGGCAGAGGTTGCGCGTTGATGGAGTTCATGGTAGATGAGATGTCGTTCACATTGTTGAAGCCTTCTAGAGAATGTTAGTCAAGGGTCTATTGAAGGCCTGCAGTGACGATAAGGGGTCGACATGGGGGTTGGGCCTCAAGCTGGGTGGAAGGGGTATAAAGCACGGCATCATTGGCATCGACCCGAGCCCAGATCCTCGACAAGTGCCACGAAGCAGGCGTGTATGCAACCTCCCACGATGCACGGGTCACGTGGTATGGCGCAATCGCGAGAGCAACTGGCGTCATCCGCGCCAGAGGCAAGGTTGCTGCACGTTCTGCGATCGCGCACAGACGAGAAGGGTCCCATGCAGGAAGCGAGCCAATGAGAGAACGTGCAGATGAGGTGCGCAGCGGAAGGAGCAGTTGGTGTCTCAGGGATAGTATAGTATAACATCCCCCGCTAGTACAAGCCTCTGGGAGGCAGGGAATTCGCACAGTGATGGGAAACGACAAAATTCGCCAGGCAGAGGCCAAGCTCAAGGTACGGAAAACACAAGGACAAAGGATCATGACTGGGGTAATGGCGCAGCTCCCATAGAATGGTGCTGCTGTTGCCGCAGCTATTGGCCGCCACCACCCAGCTCGATTCCGAGGGTTCCAACTGACGATCTCAAAAGATAAATGCGTCAACTCACCTCCCAGGAGATTCAAGAAGTCCATGTCCGAGTTGATACCCTGCGCGGTTTCCTTCTTGACCGTGTTTTCCTCCATCGCATCGAAGGTAGGCAGGTTGAGATCGCCGAGTTGGTCGAAATCGAAGAACTCGGTGTTTGTGAAGAGCGACAGTTCGGCATCGAAATTGTATGACTCCTGCTGCTGCTGCTGGATAGCCTGATCGTATGGTGAAGGAATGGCATTGAGATCATCCAGGTATTGCGAGAAGTTGGGGGCCCGACGGCCGTTGAACTCGGACATGATGTACCGTTGAGGCTTCGAAGGCCTCGTTTCCACTGGGATCTGGCGATGAAAGTCTGGGATTCTTGGATGACGTTCCGTAGTCTTCCGTCTTAAGAGTCCCTCTCCGCTGGGGCACTTCGTCGTGATGTGTTAACCCAGTATCCAAGCCCGTAAAAGTCGTTCCTTGGAGTTTGTCGTATTTGTTGGATCAATCGATGGGGGCGTAACCGTAGAGGCGAGACGGGTTGCCGGAGGGTCGAGGTCGAGCCAGAAGAAGAGAAAAGGGCGTGAAAGAGTTGAGGGGAAGTTGGTCGAGTCGATTGTGGGACACGCGGGTGGCCGGAGACGAGAAAAGAGTGGGAATTTGCGGCGGGGCGGGGAGTAATAGTGGAGGAGAGAGGAGGGAAAGGGTTTGGATTATTAACTACTTATCGGCCCATCCGCGACAATAAGAATAATAATACCGGTGACTAACTAACCAACTACGGTAGTTCTAACCCACGCGTGGCCCGGCTTCGGTCGCACTGCAGCAGCATCCTCTTGCGATCATCTTTATCTACGTAGTAGTGGTATATTTATCATGCTCCTTCCCCGTCCAAGATCTAATCTCGATCATGGTTCCCATCCGGTGCACCCAGCCAGACTCCTCGCGGTACACAGGACCTGCGCTGGGTTGACCGGGCGGCTTCCGTTGCCACCGCACAATGCTTTTCCGCCCATGACATCGAAGCCGAGTCATCCTTCTGCCGGCCGAAGTCGGGCACGCGGAACCACTGATGAAGACGCCGCCCTGGCCGGTCTGCTTTAGGGGAGACACCGGGTGAACCTTGAGACGAATCTGGTTACATTCATGAAGTCACATTTTAGCAGACTCCTCGCACTTTAGTCTGGTACGCCATACTTGCTTGGTACGGCGCCTGCTACAGCCGCTCTGGTTGGCTCGAGGGTCACGCCTTGGCGAGTCGTAGGATGGTTCAGCCTCGGGTTTCGCGCGGTTTGCGAGGATTAAATCTCTCTGCTTATAACCTGCTCCTCTTATTCATTACCGCACCAGGCTAAATGTAGACAAGTGCCGTGCCCATACGAAGAAAGGGTAAAAACATCCGCCAATTCAACCTCCACTACCGTCCTTTGTCCCGCGTGGATTAATAATACAGACATCCATCATATGATGACTAGGTATGAGCAGACCAATGTCCATCCTCCTGCAAGGATGAATGTTTACGCGTTACACAATCGACGTGTACACTACTCCGTAGTAGGCGGTCATCAGACCGTTGTCGTGATCTGCAATGCATTGTGAACACCCAGATGTACAGAGTAGAGGAGAAGTACGGAGTATCTACCGAATAATGCAGCAACGGAGAACTCCGGCCTCGTTGTTCGACGGGAGTCCATGCGTTGCCGGCCGCCCTAAGATAAGACCGACCCCGGCTATCTCCACGTGATGCTTTGTTGATGCCCCAGGAACCACACGCAATCTGCTTCGCGCCGCATCCAGAACATCCCTCCGACAACCACAACCATAACCAATCGCTCGAGATAATGCTCGACGGCCTATCCCATAGGCCCATCACCAACGAGAAGTAATGGCTCGTCCGAAGTCCATTCGCCCCCCCACAACCGCCAGTCTTCCCAGCAACCTCCGCATCCCCTCCTCCACGCCGTCCCTGGTCAAATCCTTTGGCAAGCTCACCCGCCAGGCACTGCTGGATCTCGCGTTCCAATGGCTGGAAGATCGCAACATCCAGGCCTTCCCGCCATATCTTCAGGGAGATGAAGACCTAAAAGAGGACGAGGACGAGGGACTGAGTCCCTACCCGGCAGAGCGCACCGTCAACGACGTCCGGAACGCATACCAGGAACTACAGCTGCGAAAAGGCGGCAAACGCGAAGTCATTGATCGCATTCTTGAAGGTGACTGGAGACATGGCATCACGCTGCGCCAACTGGCTATGGTCGACCTTCGCTACATCGACGACCACTCATCCAGCCTGCGATGGACCGCTCTGGAGCTCGCTCGCATCGGCAACCAACCACCACCAGACTCCGACCTGTCCGCATGTGTCCCGCGCGTGCACGCCTCGACCTTTCTGAACAGCCTCCAGCAACAGGTCGCACCGCTCGTAAAAGCGCACTACTACCTCTCTCGCTCGACTTCCCTCCCTCTCACATTCCTCCGAATCTTCGTCACTAATTCCCCTTACCAGCACCCGCGCCAGGCCGCCGAAATCCTGACCGACTCGTCGCGGGTCATCTACGTCGCTTTCCCAGACAGCTGCCCCTACCTATACACATCCATAGCCTCCGCTCCCGGCTCGAAATCCAGCACATCCACGACCCCTCACGCCGTCGCAACAGACCCACGAAGCCTGCAACGCCTCGTCCGTGACGCCCTCCCAAAGGCCCTCTCCCTCCCGCACCAACGATACACCCTCAAAGCCACCTCCCTCACAGCAAAAAGCCTCCAAGCCCTTCTATCCCTCCGAGGCCCAGGCCGATCCAACCAATCCAACGGCGCATTCAGTATCTTCGCCGACGCCGCCCTAGAAGGAAGTCCACTGGACCCCCGTCCCTCCAACATCGTCACCCCAGAAGAACACATGAACCATCCCTCCCACCACAAAGAAAACCAACCCACCGACTCAGAACCCTCCAAAGCACCCAAACGCCCTCTGAACAGCAACAACAACAATACTACCGACCCCCACACCTCCAAAAAACGGACCCTGACCGTCCAATCCCGCTTCGGTACCTCCGGCTCTCTATCTTCCGCCCCGCTCGACCGTCTCGACATCCGACTCCTCGACCCCCCACACCCCACAACGTCCACATCAGAACCCACATCCACACCAACCGTATCCCTCACCTTTGCGGGCACAGACATAATCAGCGGATTCCGCAAACTAGCCGAACTAGGCATCGTCAACGCAAAAAAGATGCCATCCTGGATGACGGGCGAAGAAGCAGTCAGCGTAGCTGTTATCCGTCAGGGGAATCGTGTCGTCTAGGATAGTGGATGATGAAAACGAACGGTTGCTTTCATACTCTGGTTCTCCATGAGGACATAGTGGCGGGAAGGCAATGTGCTTCCGTGCAGATACGGGGTATATACTATCCATGACTGAATGGTTTGGTCTTGTCTGCAGGAGAGGCGAGGGGAAATTCGTCGCGTGCGCGCGTTTGCGCGCCTGTGAAATGTGGTACCAGATTGAGCGGGCGAGAGAACTCGCCCGATGGTATATACTGGCTTGTGAGCGTTCCTGTGAGGACTCATATCTATGGACCGAGGTTGATGATCTCATTGAGCTAGGGACCGACATATCTAGACAACTTTTGAATTGGAGATGGGATGACGCTAGAAGGTAGAGGATTATAGTTCAAATGTATCTTGGCGGAAATATAATAAACATCTAGCTGCCTGATACTTATCATTTGGTGCAGTATGATTCCGGTTGTTCTGTCTCTCATCCTACTATAAAGTTGAGCAGTAAAGCAAAGTATTAATATGTTCGGAAAGCCGACTTTACAATTTCCCTAGAGATACCCATCATCCGAGCCCGATCCGCCAACACCCATAACACCTTAGCAATGTCTCAACCGTCCCAGACGGAAGATAGGAATAGTCCGATACCCTTTGAGACACAATGTGATAACAGTGCCGCCTTCACTCTTCCCCGAGGTGACTGGGGTGTCTACGTCGTGGCGAGCCAATATAAGACGATTGTTGGCGCACCCAAAAAGAGTGATATGTTGAATAGTCTGCAGTAAAAACGGTCAGCACCAGCCTGTACCAGGTAGCGAACATATTAAAGGGGATATCACAGAGTTGGTTTCATACCGCGCGCCCCAGAAAGGCCAACCTGCTCGGCCACATTGAGATATCCGTCTGCAGATACGGTTCCCTCTTTCACAAGTTTGTCGAGGGTCAAATTAGAAGCATCTGTCTGCCATGAAGAACGGCTGAGCAGCATAAGGATCAGCTATGCTTTTCGAAGCCATTTCGGAAAGGACGTACCAATAAACGCATCGAACTCCCTGTGCCTGCTGGGTGGCGGCCCATTTCTGGAAACAGGTCCGGTGGATATTGTTCCCACAGGCCGCGCGACACCAGACGATCTCTTCATTGTCGGGTTCGAACTCCATGAAGCAAATTGGGCAATCTCCCTCCACCGGCTTCCTATTGCCATCCTTATTCTCATCGGTATCAGGTTGCCGGCTGATAGCAGAATCATGATACATATCCCGCAGCTCCTAATAAATGAATTGTTATCATCGTGACTTCATTCAATCAATCTAGTCGCCTTACCGATGACAAGAATGCCAATTGGTATTGAAGATGCCGAGGGGCCCTCAAAGCCTTTACCAAAACTTCATAGGCCATGATTATCAGCATCTCAGACATCGTAATGATACCCAGCAAAAATATGGCTTATTCGGGATAAGTTGTCGAAGAATGGGGCCGACGTACCATAGCAAATATGCTTGCATTGGTTCCCTTTTTGAGCATCCGGACAGGTGCAGGTGGGCACCTTCCCAATGGTCGTCTTGTAAATATTGCCGGTCGTCCCGACAATGTCGAAACTCATTTTAGGAGCATCATCGACGTCGGTGACAGTATGTCCAACAACAAACATACTGCAGGAAAACACACATTAGTTTCCTGTTAGATTGGGATCTTGGCGCAGGGCCTACCGCTGGGTTAGTGCACGCGCTGCCCTCTCTAGATACATTTTAGGAGGATGAGTGCGGAATCTTCTCGCTCGACGTTCAGGGGTGGGCTCGTCGATTGGTGTTTGCACTCGAGCTCTCTTTCTTGGAGGACTGGGGGTATCGCCAGTCAAGTCAATGACCTCAACAGCACCTGATATTGAGCCATTTGGGTGCGACCGACGAGGCCTCTTCGTTGACGCACTTGGAGCGACTGCCTGCTCATCTGCCGTTCGCTTTCTCTTTGACGATGTGGGAGTGCTTGTGACAGGTCTTGAACGAGGAACTCGAGTGCGTGTCGGTGTAGAGGGGCTAGCATACTGCTGATGAGACGGAGTCTTTCGTGACACCCCCATGTTGAATTCAGAGCTTCCCAAGCCCAGGGGTTCAATCAAGAGCGATAGGAGGTGTTGCTGGAACCGGCCAGGCGTGGTGGCGGCTTCCGTGTACTTCGCAGTAAACGATCGCTAGGCACTAATCGATAAGCACAGATATCCGATCATGACATAATCAGATCATACCCAAATGGGGAGAGATGGAGAGATCGGTGACAAGAGATGATAGATATGAGAACTACTATCTAGCAACCAATAACTTGCTACCTGCAAGATGGAGCTAAGTCGTGATCACGCATTAGCCGGTCCGGGGTCGAAAATCAAGGTTGTAAGTAGGTAGTTCTCCGTGGGGCGAGAGAGATGGAATTGGAGCTGTCAACCGGAGCCGGTCGATGCGGAGGTTTGCCGCGTTTGCCCGATTTGGCCTGTTTGCCTGGTGACTAGTGCCGCCCTGATAACGACGGAATGACGCCGGGTCCAGCTCGGGTCCAACTCACCATCACATCCCCTCATGGCACGCCCTCGCGCTCTATCGGGCGCTGATGCCCCTAAAGAGCCACATGCAGTCTCTCTCAAAGGTACGATCCGCCGGAGAACTTGTCTGACGCGGTACCTTGGCTGATCTTGTCCAGTATTGCGGTAAGCAACGAATCCCAGTCGACCTCCCCTCGTCCTGACCGTGTAAGGCTATCGCGGCCTTCCTTATCCTACCAGTACCCCCTGCCGGCGGCGGAGACGAAGATCTCGGGTAAAGCTTCACTAAGCTATCCCGCCGACAATGTCGACGACCAGTTCATTCTCACTCCCAATGTACGGAGACCACTCGGGTTTAGCCGTGTTTGCACTGACCGTCCCACAAGTTAACACTACCCCCGGCCTTTGGCTCTGCATATGTCGGCGAGACATTTGCATGCACCTTGAGCGCAAATAATGAGTTGCCAGATGAGGAGACATCGCGCGTTGTTACGTCGGTTCGTATAGTAGCAGAGATGCAAACACCGTCGCAGGTAGCGTCGTTGGACTTGGAACCGGCCGAAGACACAGCCTCGAAGGACGGGATACAAAAGGGACATTCTTTACAGAAAATAGTGCGGTTCGATCTCAAGGAGGAAGGCAATCACATCCTGGCGGTTAGTGTCAGCTACACGGAGACGCTGATTGGGTCGGACGCGCAAGCGGCCAGCGGGCGCGTGAGGACCTTTCGCAAGCTCTATCAGTTTGTTGCACAGCCCTGCCTCAGTGTTCGGACCAAGTCCTCCGAATTGGCACCCTTGGAGGTTGAGAACAAGACCTTGGGACCTTATGGCAAAACTCGGCTGCTCCGGTTTGCGCTAGAGGCCCAATTGGAGAATGTAGGCGACGGTCCTGTCGTGGTCAAGGTACGTTGAGTATATTTATGGTAATGGCGCACGCCTCTACTGGACGGGTTGCTAATTTTGACAGCAAACGAGGCTCAACCCGAAACCTCCGTTCAAGGCCGTATCCCTGAACTGGGATCTGGAGGGCCCGGATCAAACGGATCCGCAGCCACCGGCTTTACACCCGCGTGATGTCCTGCAGGTCGCATTTCTTGTCGAGCAAAAAGAAGGACAGCAGGACGGGCTCGACACCCTGCAGAAGGACATGAAGCGCGACGGGCGAGCAGTGTTAGGCCAGTTGTCGATTGAGTGGAGAGGCGCGATGGGAGACAAAGGATTCTTGACGACGGGAAATCTGTTGACGCGAAGACGGGCATGAAACCAATCAGGTGTAATGTACTGTGTACCTGAGCTGCAGCTGTTCCCTGACCCCTTGTGTAACAGCACACCATTCCAGACACTGCAGCCAACATCGCCAGCACAGATCCCGAGTAACTGTCTGCAGCTTCGATAGGTACTCACAACTCACCGGTGATTTCCTGGGCCAATCAGCGACGCACCGCGACAGCGTCGGCCACAGGATCGATGAGACGGGAGCCAAGCCGATGTTGCACGGGTGCAAACTTTCCAGGGCAGCCAATCCCTAGCTTGCGAGCTGCGTGGTTACACAGGACAACGGGACAAAGAACAACATCATAAGTTCGGCTTATCTGTAAGAGCGTAGGGGTACAAAGGTACCTTGGCCGGGGTCATTAACGCCGACGGGAGCTTGGGAGTTAGTTTGGTTCTATTGATAGAATCGTAACGGGAAGGAGCCTACGGTTTACGACTTAATTTATTTATGGGCCTGGCTAGTCGCCATGTGCCATTTGTGCAACACGCAAACACTATTCAGTGTAGTCAATCATCCACGATCACCACCAGCTAGTGTTTGACAATCCACCAACTTGGTATAGAATGGATAGGTAAGTATTATTTTTGGGCTAACTGCTGCGCCCGCAGACGGACTACTGGAGTCTAGGTCTCAACCTAAATTTACCCAGCTGGCGGCGGATCGGATGGGCCGCGAGTCGTGAGTCGCGAGCCCATTGGCTCCATCCCCTTTCTCTCGGATTGGCGATGAAACGGCATGTTACTGTTGGTCCAGTCGGCATTTGAGGGGTTCTAGCCCGTACCTACGGAGTACCCCTCACCGCTATTGAACTGGATTACTGGTTTCCCTTTCCGCTTTAGGTCCAACTTGGCGCCGCTTTTTACTTATTGAGAGGCCCAGGGCGTGGGGTGAGCACCAAAGTGCGTGTCCTGAGCAATCTCGGATTGCTCAGGAGCGCGCTCATCTGATCTTACACATGCTACTTGACTAAACTGTGCACAACCAAAAGCATGAATTTCACTTTGGCCCCGCCAGTGTGCTCGTCATTTTCTCAGCCCTTCAAACAAGCCTCAAGATCCTTTTGATTCGAGGGTCTATCACGACTGAGACTGGTTCACCGCCCGGGGCTTCTCACCGCCCAATATTGATCTACCGCCTGGTACTAATTACACTACCTAGAAGACAACTATCCCCAGGGCGGTAAGGCCGAGGCCCACCGCTCAGTAAATCGCGATACACTGTACCGTACTATGTTTGTTGCGCCACACTGTGGTTCAACTAATATCTTACGTCGTCTTCTTGATGACAGATGAGTAACTGAACGCCAAAGAACACCCAGGATCAGATTTGAAATAAGCTGGGACATCGTTGTAGTAGGCCTTGCACAACAGTAATAAGTCCTGCTCAAATCCTGCCCTTCTTGTCAGTGTGAGAGTCTGGATTGCCGGAGGCATATTGTATCAACATCATCTCTCTCAAGCTGCTAGTGAGATGAAAGAGGACAGACTGTGGAAAGTGAGAAAGTCACTGTATTGATGTAGCTCACCCCGCTTGCTATGATTTGGTGTTAATGACACCCTGCCCCGCACAAGTGCTCGCCATATAAGAGCATAGGTAAATACTCCGTACACAGGCAATACTCTTCTCCTTCTCCTCTACTTCCCACCTCTTATCCTGCCTTATCGCTCCCAGCCTTCATCAAAGAACAAAGTAACTATGAATGACCCCTTGAAATCGTATCTCAGGTTTTCTGATACAGATCGACAGTATGAACCCCTCGTATTATTCAGACATTAGAAAGACACTAACATAACAAAAGCCCACATACTCCAGCGCTGGAGATAACCCTCACTGCACCCCGAAATTTCTATACCCAAAACCCGACTGGGAATTTCTTTACAGTGACTGTTGCGCGATCCAAGGAGCATGAATCCAAGCCATGTCATTTCTGCTGGTCCCCCAATACCGATGAAGGATTTCGGGTCTTTCGCCACCTGCCCTGTGGCGGCCTGGAAGAGGTGGAGGTGCAGCTGAACTGCTTCTCGCCGGAAACGCAGCGATCGGACCCTCTTCACCTCTGGTCCCTGGGTGCGGATAATGATGATGCCGTGTCGTGGAATTTCATTCTCGGGGAGAAGCTGTCCCGGGCGGTTGAGAAAAGTGAATGGATCACATATGAGCTCTTCTGGCCCGGGGGTGAGGTGTATCTCTGGGATTGGGAAGCGAAAGAAAACGCGGGGCTGGAGCCGAAATCGATTCCAATGGTGCTGCCTGGAGGTGCACGGTGCTCGTTCAGTCTGATCGAAGGTGATGTGCCGCCGCCACCGCCGAGGCCGCGGACTCCTCCGGTCCTTGATCTAGATGCCACTAGTGTGTGAGTCTTCTCCACCCATCTGTTGATAGTAGAATACTGACAACAGCCAAGTACCCCAGGCACGCCGATTCTCAGCCTCGAGATTGATGGCCCTCCGACATGGAGGGTCCAAGAAAATTGGCCTCTGACCTGGAAGCTCACCTATCACGGGGTGTCGGGGGACGAGACCCCTCAACCGATCACCTTCTCGGTCAGCGACTTGGATGATTGGGGGGTGTTTTGCGTCTATCGGCGTGGTCAGGATACTGGAGAGTGGGATTCCTGGCATAGCTATACTACGCCTGGGTGTTCCGGGTTTACGGAAGAAGATGTCCCATGCTCGGTGGGCACGAGCGAGGCCTTCATGTCTCTACGGCCCAATGAGACCTGGTGTGAAGTGCAGAAACTTGAGATCATGCACTCTCTACCGGAAGATGCTCGAGCCAAAGAGGTCCTACGATACCGGTTAAAAGGATGCAAGTTGACTTGGTGGAATTGGGGAACAAAGGAGGATCATATGGATACTACTGTGACAGTAACTGGGTTCGGGGATACGATCATCGATCCACCTGACAATGACGGACGGTCAGAGGTGGTGATACCAGCTTCGAATACGGTGGAATTTACCGTGGTTAACTGAGAGAGAGAAATTTGATAGTCATATTGGTTGATAATTTTCCAAGCACGCAGTGCTGAGAAAATCACAACAGATGAATGCGGTGATAGCAGCCGCCATCAGCGATGCCAACACTGCCCTGGGAAGCACATGCGTTGCATATGTCGTTGTTAGAGCCAATTTTGTCGGACGCGAGTACTGCGAAGACGGTGTGAAAGAACCAGCTCCCAGTCGTGATGAGACATACTTCTTCCTCAGCGGATGGAGCGATGTGATTATTGACAGTCAAAAGATAGTAGGTCTTTATTCCTTCTCCGTACCTTTGATTATACTTGCAACCCCCCCAAATCAAGAACACAGTTCACTAACCTGTCTCTCTGATTGACCCTGTGAAGACCACCGCCGAGATAGCCGCCGAGGTGGCCAGTGTCATTACAAAAGGACTCACTCTCCCCAACGCAACCACATGCAACACCACATCGGGCACCGATCCGGACCCTTACGCAGTAGCCATGTGTCGAGTATCTCTCCAGATCGCTGGCGATCCGGGAGGCTGGACGGCTCAGCTCTTTGCACGGGCCCAAACAGACATCGCCAACAAGAATTATTCGTGCATCCTTTATAAGCTTGGTTAAGCTGGTTCGCCTCAGGCAGGCAATCAGGCTGTCAGGCCATCACAGCAACTATTCTTCACCCATCGAAGCAACGCAACAGAGAGACTATTATAGAAAATCTTATACTAGGAGATATATAGAAGTTCTTCATAATAACCGTGACTGTTTGGATACTACTTGAAAAGCTAGACTCGAACGGGTAAAACAGAGACAAAACGAACAAGATAGCTAGAGCCTAGCTAAGCTGATGTTAAGATTATGGGTGAATGCATTGATACAGTACATTTAGAAAAAGAAGTTGCAGCTCAGAAGAAAAGTTACACGAATTGTTACATACATATAATACGGAGTACAGAATATCTATACACAGCAGGATATGGCTGTGCAGGTTATGTATGTATCGGAGGACAGACACACGCATGGCTTGGTTTTCTGCCAGCACAAATTAACATACATACATGTAAGATGTTGGTTTTGCTTCTTTTCTCTGTCGGCATGATGTAACGATTATCTGGTTTCTGCCGGAAGAATCCAAGACGCAAGACGGGGAATCTTCAAGCCCATGCTTTGTAGTTAACTATAATATAAGTGTTCTTGTACCTGATAGAAATGCTCATACAGCTTTATGATGTTACCTACATGATGAATCATTTTATTTTTCGTCATACAGCAGCATGATTTACAGAGCATGTTCTACTCAAGCGGGTGTTCCATCCAGGGTGCGTGTTCTATGAGCAATCTGTGAGCAGGCACACGTGCTGCCCTCGTAAAAGCAGCGGCACCTTAAATTGGCACAGCAAAACAATTTCCATTTACTAGCCTGGAATGCCGAACCCCGACAATGGCATTATTCATATAAGAAAGGGACCGTCAACCAAGCTAGTTTATGTTATTATTAGTAGTGTTGACTCAGTATTTAATTTTATATGTCTCGTTTGGTTACTTAGGATGAATGGGGACATGATTTATAACAGGATCAGGTGATGACCTAGCTACCTACCTATAGTGTTATTGTTGGTGTCATGATTCATGGGGTTATGCTGGTGGTAGATAGACAATAGTTGTATTATAGTACAGAGTGCATTATTTTCTGCCTACCAGCCCACACATCCATGACTCGGGTCACTCACACCACATACCCCCTTTCTTCAGTTCCCCATGTAGATTAGATACCTACGGAGTAGGTACTAGGTAATAATTAATTGGGTATTAACTACTCCAAATTAATATTAAAAGCAGTTTAGTTACCGTCCCTGTCAACGGCACAGTCCACTTTGCGGGACTGGAGTCACGAGTCCTTTACTTACCACTGTACCAGACACCTAATCTACTACGGTGTAGGTAGCAGCATCCCATTCCTAGATAGATAACCTTAGAGAAACTAAGTACTAAGTAATAAGTAAAACAGATCGGACATCCTCCGAAAATTCAACTACAAACGCAGTAGCCAGCATGTAAGATGCTTGGCCAACATGCAGATGCAATCATCATGCCGGTAAGCAAGTCCGGGGAAGTAGGGCTATGTAAGGAACCATTATTGGAAGACTTTCTTTCCTTTCCTTTTCTTTCCTTTCCCCTTCGTAGTTAGGTCGCTTTTCTTTCTTTCGTTGCTTTTTCTAAGCAGTTCCTGATGAGAGGGGGAAGTATGCATGTATGATGAAAATATACTTGGTTTTCCATGCAGGGGAGCCCACCTGGATTTTCGGAGAGGAAGTTTTGACTTTGGGCGGGAAGTGGGTGCCGCGAATGAGAGTGGCGGCCTGAGAGGTGGTGGCTTGAGTTGGCCCTCTGGTCTGGTATGTTCTTTTTTTCCTTCTGCCTTGGTTTTTGTTGTAGCCCTGTGTAGGTTCCTGACCTACCTAGACCGTAGTGTGTGGATTAAGTTTGACCATGGTGAAACCGGATCATCTATCTATGCCTTTGTCTTATCTATCCTGTGACCGTGTGGGTTTACTCATTTGGGAATGGTTCGTGGGTTGGAGGAGGATTCCATGTGTCGACAATATAAGGATGGTGTTCATCGCAATAAGATTTGATGGGTATTCATCATCTATCGTCCTCAAAATTAATCTCTGGCCCTGTCCGGGGTGTCGACCGGCGAAGCGTAAATTTTGGCACCGGATTATCGTCATTGCTTCGGCTCCACATGGATCCTCAATCCAACCCCGGGCCATTTCACGGCGAGTCTTGGGTGGTCGGGAGGAATAGCGCAGAGGATCATTTCGGGTGGTTCCTAATATCCATCCCAGAACTCTGCTCTCCTTTTTGTCAGAGGTAAATGCATCTAGAATCGTTGCTGAAGATTCCGTACCCACAGGACCATTGGGTTTATCTATTGAAGAGGGGTCTGGTATGCTCTCCGGTCCTTTGCAATTTATCCCACAAGGTGGAAGGGGAACCTCGGTAGCCATCGTCCACAGACAATCGCATCCTTTTCCCCTTTTCAGGAACCAATGTCCAGTTTCAGCTCGAGCATTTCCGGATCCATGGGTTCCATGGCTGCGATGCTGGGCATCCAATCATGCTTGGTCTCGACGATCTCCGAACGCTGGTTGGCACCTACCTACCTACCTATTCAGGTACTCCGATGTGCTACTTCCTTCGCCCCCAGGCACAGCTGGGTGGAAGGCTGGCTGTGCGGCGTGGGTGGAATTAGCATCCGATTCACCGCACTGTCGAGCTTCCCGGTCGGACACACGCAATGGGGGAGGAGATAGTAGTAGCGATCTATGTGTCCGAGGAATGTATAATAAGAATAATAATAACTGCCTCGATATCCCGCACGCTGGAGTGACCTGATCCACTTGGTCGATATGCTCGCAGCCCCAAAAGTTCAACCTTTGGGGTTGTACGATAAGAGCAGACGTAATGGTCTGTGTTTCCATGGTTATCCCGAACAGTAGTTCTCTTGCATCGATCCAACGAGAGCCATTCAGGAGCAAAGAGTCGCCGGTTAGCCAAGCCATTTGTGCGCGACAGGCTCCACTGGGGCCCAGCTGGAGCGATTGATATGCTCCCGTACCTCTCTCTGTCCCTCACAGATGGAGGAGGTGCTTCGGGTGCTTGGCTGTACTCAGCGAGTTATGTGCATACCTCACTACTGTAGTAGTTATACCCGGTAGATGCTGATAGATACCTAGTACATAGTACTAGGCAGAGAGTCGAAGCAAAGGTCCAGGCATTCTGGCGGTCCTATCAGCACCTTGCTTTTTGCCCTGACAAGGCAAGCGGAGCAGGAGATCCTCGTCGTACAGCTGATGCCGGGAGTTGCTGGCCGGTTCCTGATGGTGGTTGGCGGGATGCACCCAGCCATGCACACTTGCAGTAGTTCATGGTCGCGCCCGGGACTTGGGGCGGTTGTTGGTGCTCCGTATAGGTACCACCTAACAGCAACAGTAGGTAGGTGAGCAGCAACAGCAGCAGGAGGATTTTCCACCGACTCGTTGTACCCCCGGTTCCCCCATCTGGGTAGACCTGCACGTTTATTTGTTATTTTCTTTTCTTTTCCTGCACTTTGCTTCTGCCCTGCCTGCTTCTTTGCCTCTTCCTTTCCTGTTCATTTTCTTTGTTTGACACGATCCACATGCAGTTGATACTCTAACCATTTGCGAGATTTTTCTTTTTCTGTATCTTTTTTCTTTTGGATAGATCTGGAATATTTGATCGAACCTTGAATAGACTCCACTGCCGCAAAACTAGTAGAAAGTGACAGGAGTGGTGGTGGTGGTGCGTGTGCGCAGGAGAGCGGAAAGTAGGCGGTTAGTGGATATAGTTGATTAGTTAGTTAGTTACCACTATCTACTATGGAGGTTAGCTGTCGCAGTGAAGGGACCGAGCAGGAGGGAAAAAGAGGGGAGGGGGGACACACGGGGGGTGCCGGGGCTGGATTGGACTTTTGGCAGCCGTTTCGCTTCCCCCCCTTCCAAGTGTCTACGCAACCATCCGTCTGCATGGTCGGTCTAGTTCGAAAAAAAAAAATAAGACAGAAGAAATTCAAAAATCATTGAAGTCAAGCAAAAAATTAAAAATAAAGAAAGTTAGGAGTCTTAAAAAAATTAAGGAACCCCAAACTTAACTTTGTCCCCATTCCTCTACACAAAGAGACACCTGTCAAAGCATTCCTCCTTTTCCAGTTTGTCTCTCTCTGCCTTTCGTCTTGGCCCCCTCACCTGTCTCTCTCTCTCCTCTGCTAACCGATACTCCTTTTTCTTGTCAATGCGTAGATCAACCCTCCAGATCGTCTCCTCTCCTCAACATCTGCCTGTCTGCAATTCGTCCCTCCTTTCCCCTCTCTTGCGTCCGCACCGACGCCCGAGAGCCCCAGCCATCCTGCCGTTCGCGTTCGCGACAGTGTCGCATTTCTAGACTTATGCGTTCTAGCTGCCACGGCCTTCACCACCCGCCCGTCCACTCCAACACCCCTGATTGCTGAGAACTCCCCCTGCTATTGATGCCCCTGGGAGCTTCCAACCCTCTAGAATTTGCATTTACTTCATGCTGTGACGACCCCGACGAATTGTGACGATTGATGAGTACAACCTTGCGACCTCTCAGCGACCATTCGACGAGATGCCGTTCTCCTCCTCTTCCTCTTCCTCTTCCTCTTCCCCGCCCGAAACGTCCACCACCCCGCTCGCAGACTACTTTTGGATAGCCGGTGTGGATGGAACTGAGGTCTTGGATACATATCGCAAACTAGGCGACGAATACCGTGCCAACAATGCCACCTCGCCAGGCCCCGCCGTTACAGATACCATCGAGGAGGATGCGGACGCGGAGGAGGCCCACGATCTGCTCCTGGACAGTCTCTCCCGACCCATCTCCATGGCCGGAACCCGCAGCTCCTTCCAGCGGTTCTCCATGCGCTCAGGGGACTCCGATACGAACGAGAATGGATCCCACAGCAACCGCAGCAGTATGACCATCAAGGGTGCCCCCTCTCCCCGGGGTTCCTCCTTCCTCGAAGATTTCGACTTCGATAAAGCGTTGTTCAAGTTTGCCTCCGAGAGGGAGTCGTTCTTGTCCGATCTCAGTTCCAGCGCTGGTGCAATTACGCCCTCTTCACGTCCCAGATCCAGACTCCGCACGCAGAAGATTGTCTCTGAGGAAAGCCCACAGCCCGCGGGCCTACTCCGGTCGAGCATAGGTAGCGTGCGACGACACATGGCATTTCGCGATATGAACAGTATGAAGAGGCAACCATCGATTGCTCGTCAAGGTGAGTAGAGACCCGGTCGGGCTATGAAGGGGAGGACAAGGGATAAGCTCTAGATGGCTAATTGAGGTTTATTACAGCATCTATTCGGACCTCGCGACGTCTGAGCAATTACAACTCCGTGATACCTGTCCCGCAGCCCCTCGAGATCTCCCCCACCATGCACCCCCTGAAGCGGAGGTTCGAGCCCGTCCTTCTTGACCGGTATCCAACCAAGGGCATGTCCGATGAACTCAAACTGCGAGGGAACTTCCCGGACTATGTACCAATGTTTGCTTTCCCCAATGACATCAATATCGTCTCATCGGATCAGAGACCGCGATCCACATGGCACGGATTCGTCATGACCACCGACAATGGTTCGCGCTTGCACGCTATCTGTGTCATCATCTGGATCCCGTTGAATCAGAAAGCTGCCGAAGAGCTAGAGAAACGTTGTGAGGAATGGCGAAAGGACAATATGACTGATGAAGAGCGAGAACTGGCTGCGAGTCTCGGTGAGAGGCTGGCGAGCGAGCGAGCTAAACTCTCGAGACTTCTCGCTCAACTCCCAACAGTCCCTTCGGGATCGGAGTCGCGAGAGCAGCTGGAGGACGAGATCAGTGCGGTAGAAGAGAAGATCGGGTTAATGACTGATCTCTTGCGCCCGGTCCGCCACGGTGCAGCATCGAAGATTGAGGGGTTGACAGATGGGGATACCGGATTCTGGATTCCCCGCGCTTATGGTATCCTTGGAAGGGAAGAGAACATGACCAGCTTCTGGAAGGAGTGGCTCAAGGCTATCGTGGTTCCCATGACCGACGGCAGTATCCAACGAATCCCCCCAAATTCCCCGCGGATGGGCATCTGGCAACCGTTGGAGCGATATGTGATGAACTTGTGCACTGAAGCGTTCAGTCCAAATACATCCAAGACTCAGGTGGAGCTCGCGGTGCGCGAGTTGCGTCTTTTCGCTCGCAAGGAGGCTGCCAATGAGCTCCCAGGATCTCGAAACACCGATCTCTACGCGCTGTTCCGGGCCCTGTCGTTGCAGAACATCATGATACTATTCGAGTACGCTCTTACCGAATCGCGCATCATCCTCTTGTCGTCACACACATCGATGCTTTACCTGGCGACCAGGGCACTCGTCGACCTGCTGTTCCCGGTCCAGTGGACTGGAGTGCTTATCCCCATCCTCCCAGCACGACTCATCCAAGCTCTGGAAGCCCCTTGTCCCTACATTGTCGGTATCGAGCGTCGATACGAAAAGGTCGAGCTACCGTCGGATGACTTTGTGTTGGTCGACCTGGATGCAGACCTCATTGAAAGCACGGTGCAACCAACTCCACTCCCTCGTCATCAGCGCCGGAAGCTGCTCTCTTTACTTCAGTTGGCGGCCCCTCATCATAGTCGGTGCGGAGTACCCACTGGACCACCGGCGTATGCTGTTGAAACCTACCCCTTCGATTCTTTCATGTCGGAGAACTCCTCTATCTTTTCCTCCAAGGCCCAATCGACTCAGTTGGCGAAATATGTTAGTCTGAACTCGAGCGCTTTTGGCCAGACTTCCGTACCTCCGAATTCATACCCACCTCTGATCTTCAATGCCTATCTCCATGCTCGTTATGAGCAGGCTGCCTCCAGGGGATATTCGTCCAGGGGCCCGGACCGACCGGGAACTGGGTCGACATTCAAGACCGGGTCTCCACCTTCACCCCGAGACATCTCGCCCACGTCCGGCCATTTCCCGTCGGGTCCCGGGTCCCGGAATGATTCCGGAACAACCTTGCAGGCGTCGCTGCGAGAGAAGCGTTCCGGGCACTTTGATGCAGCCTCTCGGCGTAGTTCGTCCTTCGGGATGGATCCGCGAGGTGGTGTTCCGCGTCGACCGAGTGCGCCTTTCCTGGGCCACGCACCCAATCTTTCCGTCACCACGTTAAACACCGACTATAACTCCGGGTCTACCTATGCACCTTCGGTGTATGCACAGTCCACGGTGGCTGCATCCACTATCGTGCCTCAGGCTTCCGCCCAGCCCATTCACAACTCGGAGGGCACCTGCTGGGTGGAGGGACATTGCTTGCAAGTCCAGCCATGGGATGACAAAGCCACCTGTGCAATTTGCGATGACCAGGCTGAAGAAAACATGTACAAATGTACCGCCTGTAAGACAGTGGTGCACAACCGGTGTGCTCTGCAGATATGCCTAGTGTGTCCGGCCGCCTTCCATCCCGAGCAAGTTCGCGCCGCGTTTGTTCGATGCTTTGCTAGCTTGTTCTACACGTACAAGAAATTCCTTCAGCCCGCTACAGGAGACAAGAAGAAAGCCGGATTAACATACAACTTCAACATGGAAGCATTTATGAAGAGCCTACCGGGGGAACATGCAGAATACATTGCGGTCCTGCAACAGACACAAGGTAAGAGTCCCCGGATCTGGTCGAAGGTTGCAGTTGCTGACGTGTCGTTAGGGTTCAACGAGTTTATCAGTGAACGGGAGAGAGCAAATCCCAAGTCCCGAGACCCTAGGATGGCCCTCTTTGATGAGATCATTCTCTCCAAACGTAATCGGGGCCGGTCCTCTATTTTCTCCAGTCGTAGTATGACCGACTTTTTATCCGACACATCGAACCACCTCTGGCGAACCGCGAGCGCCACTTCTTTTGCCGGGGGTAGTAGAAGCCAGAACAGCCTTTCCGGTGATTACAGCCGGGTAGTCTCACGAGGTTTGTATTCCGTCCCTCCTCTTTGTGTCCTGGGCTAACTGGAGCGGAAAACTACAGCACCGGCAAAGCTTGATAACAGTCTGATGAAAGAACCCCGCATGATCCACGGAGCGCCTCGGGTTTCGAAGACGGCAAATACTGCTCGCAGGAAGCCGCTTCCTAAACTCATGAACGGCCTCGCCATTTCGCCCCCGTAAGGAAGTGGCATCACATTGGTGGAGTGCACATTCCGAACGATCACCCTTGGAAATGGCATGGCCCGTGTGACACCAGTCCGCCACGTATCTCATGCTGTATCCGTTGGTCATCGGCCAATTTCTGTTGCATGCAGATAGGACATCATGTGATACGTGCTGTGGGTTACAATTACCAAGCCTCACTTTGGAGGCCCGTGAGCGTGTTTGAAACACTTTTCACGCAGTGCCTCAGATACCGACGAAACGACCCCTGGCTTGCAGAACATAAGACGCTGCAATCCACGCTTCTTGCATAGTGGAACTAGACGGCTGGCACGCAGGCCATGAATCGAAGCCTCGGAGCTTGCAGCTTCACATGAACATTCCGCTCGTCTCGGAGGCAGGATCGCCCTTGGGTTGCGGATCCTGCCACTGTTGTCACGACCAACCTCAAATGGTGACCAGCTGGTCCCGGAGTACATACGTCCCCCCATGCATCATGTACACATAACTACACATACCTATCACATACATATGTTGTGCTGAACCCATTTGACTGCACATGAAGGAGTTTCCACCGATGCTGGACAGGTATACCTTTCTTACCTGGTGTCATTTATTCCATCTTCTCTTTCTTTGTTGCCTTTTCTCCAAGAGCCCTTTGTGATTTTCGAGTTCCAATACCCCTGTCGATTGGTTGGTATATCTTTTTAATCTCGTTGCAAGCCCTTCTGGACTATTGGTGGATTCTCCCGTCATGTTACATAAGATATCTCCCGGACCGACCTAATTGATCAAGCTGCCACTTGTGCACTCAATCTGCGAGTAAAGTTCGAGATATGCCCTGGCTGTAAGGCTGATTGTCGGGGCCACGGTGGCCTGCCCGGAGGATCCGGGTACATGGTCAGCCATGGTCCAGCCGGCGGGCGGAGACGGTAGGCAGTCCGCAGCCCGCAGCCCGGATGCAACATCCATTGGCCTACCGAGGGCTATGCCGGGCCACTCCCATGCCAGGGAGCGGCGGTGGGTGGATAGGCCCGAACCAACCGAATCCAGAGTAGATAACGCTATGGGGGTTTTTTCCTCGTATCATGGGAGCTCTACAGACAATGGAAGAGAGAAGGATCAGCCTGATAGACGGAGCTTGGTCCAATGAACAGGGTTGTGGATGGTGATCGTGGGGACTCGCGGGCTGGCTGGATGATCTTCCTGGCTGAGAAATCCGATCGCCCACGACGTAGTTTTCTGTGCAATGTAGATACGTGGTGCAGACCCGACACCGCTGAAGTCAATCTGGTGCAATTGGCAGTGGAGCCTGGGGAGGGGAATAGGTAGTGGCTGTAGGTCAGAAGAAAGAAGGGATCATCTCCGGCAGAACTGAGGCTGGGGAAAGGTGAGGGCGACTCCCGCCGATGATTGGCGGAGAAATGGCCTCCGCCCCCCGGCAGGCGGAGTTGGGATTCCGGGGAAATTCAGCCATCGTTGCAGCCCACCTGCCAGCGTCCCTCTCGCGCCCTCTCCTTATCGGCTTATCCTCCTCGTCTAGCCCGAGCAGATGTCGTTCCTTTTCTCGAGGCCCTCTCTTTGTCCTCTAGTCCCCTCCTCCACGCTGACTTGATCACTGTTCGTCGGCTGTAAGCCCCCCCCCCTAATCTCCTGCTCATTGTCTCCGGCCTCCCCGGCTATTAAACACTAGCCCCGACGCCGTTTCGTGGTACTTGACGTACTTGACCTCCTCTCTGTCTCTGTTTTGGTCGGTGTACTCGGTCCTCGTGCAGATATCACCTTTCCGAGTTTGGTTGGACCATCAATGCCACTCCAACTCCATTGTCTTTGACTTTCTTGCGCATCTGTTCCTGTCTCCCGTCGGCGAGCTATCGGGACCTCGAAGTATACCACCGGCTTCTGACGTCGAAATCAAGTATGCGAACGTGCAGTGTACTGCGTATGCAATGAGATGATGCAGACTGCCCTCCATCAGCCCATGGGGATGACACTTTTAGCTGATGCCGCTACATCTTCGCTCACAGCTCTCAAAGGCTCCGCATCTTCTGCTTTTTCTTCTACGTCTCAGATAGTCCCTCCGGAGCCCGCGCGGACGGTCGTCGCGGTCTACACGCCGGGCCAGGAGGCCATCGTTCAAGTTGTCGCGGACATCCTCGGCAAGCCATGGACAACGGAAACTTCGCTGTCGACGTTTGGTCGAGGAAGTAATGCGGTCGTGGTGGGGTTTCTGGCCACTGAAGATTCGATCCGCGGTCTGGAAGTGGATGACCATACGGCCTGTATTCTGGTCAACACGCATTGTGTCGACGATGGATCGTTCCCGGACGATGCGCTCACCGATCGCTGCCATTACGAGTTTCTCTACTCCCTCCGGAGTCCCTTCTTTCGCCGCGACCTCACGCGATTCTTGTCGCTGATTCTGGGCCAGACGCGGCCGCACGAGGACCTCAAGACTAAGAATCGGACCAACTTTATCTCGACTACATTTCCGGACGTTCATGCTGCCTTGCCTAACCTCGACATCCTCTCCGTGGGGTCGGATGCGGTTGAAATCCGCGTGGACCTGCTGATTGACCCCGAGCCGCCCCAAGGGGCGCCGGCGTCCGTCCCAAGCCTACGGTACGTTGGGCAGCAGTTGATGTTGCTTCGGCAGCACACCGAGATGCCAATTATCTTTACTACTCGATGTACGAAGGAGAATGGTAAGTTTCCGATGGAGGACCCGCTGCTATTCTACAAGTATCTCCGTCGGGCGATCCAGTGGGGGGTGGAGTACATTGACGTCGAGCTGTGGCTGCCCGAGGACATCCGGAGACGGCTGTCGGAGGTCAAAGGGAATAGCATCATCATGTCTGCCTTTCACGATTTCTCGGGGACGTGGAGGTGGACGTCCGCCGAGGCGCCCCGGATTTTTGCGGAGAGCGCCAAGTACGCCGACATTGTCAAGATGATTGCCATGGTCAATACGATCGAGGCCAACTACGAACTGGAGTACTTCCGGTCGACGATCAAAGGGACCCACGGATCCTACCCGCTCCTGTCGGCCGTCAACATGGGTCAAATGGGGCAGCTGTCCCGAGCCCTCAACACGGTGTTTTCGCCCATCACGCATCCCCTACTGCCGATGATTGCCGCGCCAGGGCAGCTGACAGCGGCCGAGATCAACGAGGCGCTCCACATCATGGGCCAGCTGCCCAAACGAGACCTGTACGCGATCGGATCTTTCCGATCGACCCCGCAGTCGATGTTTATGGAGAAATGCTTCAACGAGCTCAGCCTGCCGCACACACTGACCTCGATTGACCGCGGGCCCATGGGGTCGATTGAGCGGGTAATCACTCAGCCGACCTTTGGCGGCGCGTCGGTCCACCCACCGATCACCAGCGGGACGACGTCTATTCCCACCATCAGCGAGGCGGCCCAGGCGATCGGGCTGGTCGATACGATTGTTGCGGTGCGCGGGTCCGGTGCGCAGCCGCAGTTGATCGGGGAGAATGCAGCGTGGAAGGGGATCCGGGCGACCCTGACGCGGGACTACGTGCCGTCGGCGTACCGGGGCCGGGCGGCCATCATTCTGGCGGGGAGCGAGAGCGAAGCGTCGGCGACGATCTTTGCGCTGCGCAGCTTGGGAGTGGGTGCGATCCACACGGTCGGATTCCGGGCGCGCGGGCCGCTGGCGGAAGGGCTGGAGCCATTCACGTCGATCCAGTCGGTGAAGATGGTGGAGCAGCCGTTCGTGATGGTGTCGGCGCTCCCGCCCGAGAAGTCGCTGCTGGTGCAGCCGTTACTGCGACACTACCGGACGAGTGGGCGAGCATCGCCGCCGTCGACTCGTGGGAAGGTGTACCTCGACCTGACGCGCGGGGAGCGCACCGGAGATCCGGTCGGGGTTGCGGAGCGGGCGGGCTGGACGGCTTATGGGATCGAGGATGTCGATGCGTGGACGACGGTGGAGACGCTGCGACTGCTGGTGGGACAGAACGTGCCATTTGATTTTGTGCGGATGGCGTCGGGGCGGGTGTTTTGAGATGTATAGATAGGATATGAATCTGGAATGACATGACTCTTGACCTTTAGATGTATGCTGCTGGGGATGTTGAATTGACCATGAGTCCGTGAGTTCGTGACTCAGTGTGATGGTGTGATCATCATAAGGTGTGTTTCTTCTGCAGCGGGTCTGCAGTGCAATTAAAAGCAATCAAAGGCAATATAGATAGTGCGAGTGCCGGCAGTCCTCGGCTGAAGAGTAGCCCCTCCCTAGTCTGCTGACGGCACTGGCATAGATTGCGATCGCCGGGGGTTCTGATGAAGCCCCCAAGGGACAGGGGTAGGGGGGGCGTGGAATATCAACGTCGCTCATGTTGAAGCTTGCGGACGAGGATCCGTGCTGGAAGCGGGAAAATCCCGAGGCGGTTGACAGTTAGATGGATTTAACCGACGACGAACCGTGAGAGCAGCAGTCAACTGAATTAATAACTGGAGAGCTGCAAGTCAAGAGGCAGCCAGGGCCATGGCCACCCCCCGCATTGCTTGCCTCTAACCGTTTCGGCCTTAGTCCACCGGCTTCTCCACGTTTGTTTAAATCCGGGGTTCGTCGCTTTTCTCGTCTTCGTTTCCTCTCTTCTTCTTCTTCCGTCGTTTCTCCTCCGATCCGCTCTCTCGTCTGTTCCCTTAACCAGCCATCCCCTCCCTCCCCCTCCTACTGGCTTCTTCTCCCTCTTATGTGCAGGCAATGCCATGTCCCGCCCCCAGGTCAGCATCGACCGGCTTACCCCCCGTCGCGTCCATGCCGAGCCCCGCGAGTCGATGAACTGCAAGTCTTGTCGGAAACGAAAGGTAGCTTGGCTGCCCTTGTCTTTTGCTGGTCGTCCAGCTGACTGGTCAGATCAAATGTAATCGTCTACGCCCGAGCTGTGAGGCCTGCAAGGTCTTCCAGTGTCCTTGTATCTATGGTCTGCCTCTCCACCGCACTTGGTCTGAACCCTACTCATCCTAGTAGACGCCGTTCCCAAAAAGCGTGGGCCCAAAACCGATGTGCTTGAGGCCCTGCTGAAGCGTGTCGATGGACTGGAGAAACGTCTCCAGGAAGACTCGCCCATTTCGCCTACCTCTGCCACCTCGCCAATTAAATCGTTGGAACAGCATCTGCTGCCGTCCGCATCGACCTCGTTCCAACTGCCCCCGCCTTCGCATAGTTTTCCGCCCCCACCGCCGCAACCACAGCCTCGGCTACCGGATTCCATGCTGGACACCTACTTTGCTCGTCTACATGGGAAGCCGTACTGGATTCTGGACGAGCCTGCTACTCGTCAGCGGCATCAGCATGGCCAATTACCGGCCCATTTATCTATGGCCATCTACGCGCTCACGCTGAGGTCGGTCTCTCTCCTCGGTTTGAGGACTTGGCTGACGGCTGCAGATATACCACGCCTAATCCACCCCAGGGGAGCCTCGAGTCTGCTCGCCAGGCGCGACGGCTAGTCGACATTGACAATCCGTCGATCGAAGGGACACAGTCTCTTTTATTGCTCTGTCATACATTTTTCGCCTACGGCTGTGGCAAAACAGCCTACATGGTCCTAGGTATGTGCGACGCCAGGTTGCAGAACAAGTGACTGACTCGTCAGCTAACGCGGTGTCCATGACTTTGGCGCTGGACTTGTATCGAGAAGCACCCGCGGCGCTGCCTGCGGCGGAACGCGAGATGAGACGGCGACTGTTCTGGACCGTCTACGTGATGGATCGGTTTCTTACTTGTGGGTCTAAACGACCGTGTCTCATCGCCGACCACTCCATCGTTCTCCGTCTCCCCGGCGCCGGCGCCGGCTCCGAAGCCGGCGAATGCTTCAACCCGGTCGGTCCCAATATTCACTACTCCCCGGATCGTCGGAAAGGCCCTGGAGGCCCCGCGCTCCTGGTCGATATCACGCGCATTCTAGGCGTCACCCATCGCTATCTAGCCGCCGGAGGCGTCAAGGGCGACTCCCACTTTCCCTGGCACGCCCTCTCCAACCTGTCCAAGATCCGCCAGGAACTCGACCTCTGGGCAGCCGGCACGCAGGACCTGTTTGCGTCGATCGAGACGCTGTTCGGCCATCCGGATAGCACGCTGCTGCTATTGAGCAAGCTGATCTATCATCTGGTGCACTGTCTACTCTACCGACCCTTCTTGCCGATTGACCTGGTGGAACTGCGCGGCACGGGGCAGCATCAGTCGTGGCAGATTGAGGCGACGACGCTCTGCTTCTCTCACGCCAACGCCATCGCCGAGCTGGTGGAGCTGGCGCGACATGCCCCGCGGATTGAGTGGCCGGCCTTAGTGGCATACTGCGTCTGCACGGCCGGCACAGTGCACGTGCACGGGGTACACTATCACGGGCGTGAGGGGGAGGTATTTGCGTCGAGCGCAGACTTTTTGGCGCGTGAGATGCACCAGCTGTCGTGGTTGCGGCAGTACTGGGCGGGGGTGCAGCACCAACGGGAGATGCTGCAAAGCATCTCGGCGTGTCACGCTGAGCTGGTGCGGACCATGGCGGTGCGGCCAGTGCGATTTGCGCCGGTGTTTCACTTGGAGGACTTCCTGGACCGGTATCCAGGGCTGGCAGTGGATGGAGGACATGTCCGATTAGTGGATGTGGACCAGCCGTAAGTTGATTCCCGTATTGCGCTGTGCTGCTTCTTCTAACCTCTGTAGTATGCCGCTTGATCAACCGGACTTCTCCGGCCGACTGATGTACCCACCCACATCCTCCTTACCATCCCAAGGACGACCGTCTATCAGCTTCCAGCCATCCCAACCATCACCACCGTGGCCGCAGCCCGACTTGAATCTACCCGAGGGCAGTCTCGGGTTCTCCCCGGGGGTGGGCACTTCGCCGGCGGCGTTTTTGTCCGACACATTTACGGCCCCCACACCACCAGCACAACCCCAGTACGCAACATTCCCGTTCGAGGCGACCCCAGGCGGGGCGGCCCTCACACCAGACGCGCCGTCGCAAAGCTCTGGGGGAATGGGGCCAGCAGCGACAGGCGATAGCGAAAAGGACCCGTTCCTGAGTTTACTGGAGCAGTTGGCGGAGAACGAGCACTCACAGGGAGGACCCAGCGAACTGGACTTTTTCCTGGGAGAGGGATTGGACACGATACCGGGGGAGATTCCTGATGGAATTCCGGAGGGCGAATGATATGATACCCTGTATAATACCAGCATAGCATAGCAGATACGAATCACATGACATGACATCATGACATACCCATCCCTCAATCATGCTCCGTATAACCCTGTCCTATCTACCTATCTGTATAATAATTAATCCCCCCTAATAATTACCCCAGCTTTGACTGGACCAATCAAAAATGAATCACGAGATAGATACCCACCTCCCCCAACTCCAGCCCTGGCTCCAAGGTTCTCCTAGTTATCCCTTCACCGGCATCATCCGTCTTTACATGGCGGATGAAATATCTATTGACTCGGCAGGGGAGGCAATATTTGGGGTTTTTGAGCAGCAGCAGCAACAGAACCAAATAGGTATTCCCTTCCTCTTACTTTCCCCATGTGTCGAAATATATATAGTATTCTAATGACGATATAGGAAATAAAGATAAAGCCAGAGAAAAAGAATCATGGCTTGATCTATGGAAATCAATAATTCATACCTCGAGATTAATATCCAGGGGTGTGGATAGTTATCCTCAAACCCCGGATAACTATATCTCCTCTAGTACTATGAAGAGTATCAATGATACTGAGGATGTGAAAACCAAGATCAAGTCTACTAGAGGAAAAGAAAGTCCCATGCCGCTTCAAAGAAAGTTACTCGACTTGGTCCATTTCCTCAAGGGACCGCCTTGTGAGAATCAAGGGAGAAGTAACACTCTTGGTCAACGGGGTAGGACCGGTCAGAGTACTGGTGAAAGTGGTACTGGAAATGGCGGAGTTAAAGAAGAGGAGCGGGGGGAAGAAGAGGAGGAAGAAGAAGAAGAAGAAGAAGAATGGTATCATCCCTCCCTATCACCTTATCTGGATGGGAGTAAACCCGGAGGATCGTATTTTTATACACAACCACAGCCACAGCCACAGTCGCTTCCACAACCACAACCACGGTCTCATCCGAGGAGTTATGCACAAGTACCAACATCAATGTCGGGGACAGAATCAGGGACCGTATCAGAGACTGCAACGGAAACAGAAACAGAAACAGAAAAGAAATTCAAAACAAAAGCGAAGAAAAAGTCTAAACAAAGACCAAAATTGAAGACAGGGATAGGGATAGGTATGGGAATTGGAATGGGGATTGGATTGGGATCGGGGATGAAGGCGAAGGCTTCGTCGTCGTATATTAAGATTGAGGATCAGGGTCGGGATCAGGAGGGGGATCATAGCCAGAGCCAAGGTCAGGATATTAATCACCAACACAACGATAACCAGAATCACAACCAAAACCACACCCCCAACTACAACCATCACAACCACAACCATAGCACCAGCATCGACACCACCAGCACCCAACGAAGACCAACAAGAACCCAAAAAGGAAAAGAAATATGGACCTCCCTCCCATACCTCAAAGAAGTGATCACCTCCGCAGTCGAAGACATTCCCCATCTACACCCTGACTCTGAACCACAACCACATCCCCGACCACAACCAAACGAAAAAGAAACCCAAATAACAAGAACCGCCTACCTAAACCTCACCTCCTTCGTGGCCTTCATGGCCAAAGAGGGAATCTTCTGTCCCTTTTCGTATTTCCATCCCGACATCCAACCTACTCTCTCTACCCCCTATGGTTATTATTATGGTGATGAATGCCCGTCATGTGAAACCTGTACCAGCTGTGTCTGGATCCAAGATCTAGCAAGGGGTATTCTTTCTTCTCTTCCCCCTCCCTCTTCCTCTACTTTTTCGTCCGAGTCTGCTTCCTCGATGAGTGAGGAATCGACCTCTGGTCCGCCTACGCCTACGCCTACGAATTATGATTCTGTTGGTATATCATCTAGAGAATCTACGGAGTTGGATCTCCGTGTCTCAAGGGCGGGGATATGGGTCGTGGTGTTTGGGGAGAGGGTTTGGAGGTATACTCACCAGAGTCATAGGCACAGGCACAGGCACAATCATAAGAATCACCACATCTGCAAAGCGAAAACGAAAGGGAAAGGGAAGAGGGATATACACGTGGTAGAGGGCATGACACTTGATGAATTCGAGTCTGGGTCTGGATCTGGGTCTGGATCTGGGTCATCAGGGTCTGAAGTTACGTTGTCATTGGAGAGTGGTGTTACTGGTACTGGTACTATTCCTGTTGACAATATTGCTCACGGTGGGAAAATCTCCACAGAGCAGTGGAGATCCTGGATTCAGACATTCATTGCCTATGCTGATATGCATGAATTATCAGGACAAACAAGATGTCTTGCGTGGGAAGCAGCAAAGGTTATGCGGCGTGTTTTGTACGATAATATATCATCATGATAGGAAAAGTTGGGTTGTATCTACTAGTAATGTATAATGTAGAATTGTAGGTAGTCTGATCTAGTACTCTGATGTAGGTATTATGAAAACTTCACTCCCTTGCTTGGATCCCACTGGCCGCCTCCTCCAAACCGAATCCCCATTTCTGGGGACCAAATCCCCGGTGTCATTGCTGGGCGCGCATTCGCTCGCGTCGGCTGCGGTGCTGCCATTGGCTGGGGCCGAGGGGTCATCGGTTCTGCTCGTGCCAGTGGTTGGGGTGCTGGCGCTGGAACTGGTGCTGGGACTGGGACTGGTGCTGGAGCGGTGTATGATGGCTGCTGTCGTAGTGGTTGGGAGATGTTCAATGTTGCCATTGCGGCCGCGCTCGAAATGTCCCCCTCCAGCTGGCTGGCCTCCATTCGTCGCTTGTGTACAAACGCTTTGCTGTCGTCGCGGAACCGTCCCACGATCTTCGCTAGGTCGTTGTAGAACTTCCGACCCACTTCGATGTTTGATAGGATTTCCTTGTACTTGAGGTATCCATTCTCCAGCTCCTGCAGGGCGCGCTCGCGCTCCTTGGTCGAGGCATCCCCCGTGTGTGCTCGCGTAAACGCCCGGTTGGCTTCCCGCACCCGTGTGGCAATCTCGTCCTGGTCTTGCTGCTCCCGCGCGACCATCTCCAGGTCCGAATCATACAAATGCAGCTGCTCCTCGAATAGATCCTCGAACTGGCTGGCCTGGATCGCCTGCATGGGAAATTCGCGCTCCAGTCGGGCCGTCTCCTTGATGAGCGCTTGGCTGATATCATCGGTGCGCGCCTTGTCCTTCAGCGCCTGTGCCTGCCGTTTGCGCCGGCTTTCCAGACGGCTCACCTCGCTCATACATCCCCGAAGCCGGCTCACCTCGCGCTCAACCTCCGGCGGCAGAGCTGCCCACCGACTGCTGGGTACATACATCTCCAGATCGCGGTTGGTGCCCGTCAGCACCCGGAAGACTGCCTCCGAATCTTTCAGCTTCTGCTCAACCAAGTTGTCGCTGCTCTGGGCTGACGTAAAGTATCCCTCAATCTCGCGAGATGTCGTGTACAACTTCTGCGCCGCCTCCTCCGAGGACTGGCGAGACCAGCGGTCGGTCCCATATTTCCGGCGAGACGCATTATCCTCGGCTCTTTCCGCAGCCAGAAGCTCGACGCCCTCGCTGTACACGGCGTGGTCGTTTCCCTTCACCGTTGCCGTGTCCTCAAGCGACTTGCGGAGCCGGTTCAAGCCGTCCTGCTGACGCAATTCTTCGGCGTGCGACACCAATGTCGGTGGCAGTCCGAGCGGCTTCTCGAGGGCCTGCAGAGAGCCCGGGAGATTCAACGATGACAATAAACTGACTAGTTAGCCTCCTCCTGAGATAGAATTCCAGTCAACTTACTCCCGAAGCTTGTCCGTCATAGTCTCCAGCTCGCCAATGATCGTCTCATTGATCAGTCGGTCCCGACGGTCCGAGTAGATGCTGGCTGCAATGTGCACGGCGTACGGCACCAACTTGGAGAACAGCGGCTGCCCCAGAGCCCCGTTCTCGCCCAGCAGGGAAATGGCATCAGTCACCTGGGATGGCGCCTTCGCTGCCACCATGCTTGCCCGGTCGATGAGCTTAAGCTCCGACTTGGGCGGCACCGGGTTGAGGTAGATAATATCGTTGTCCTTTTCGGCGCGTTTCAAATCTTCTGTCACCCGCGTCTTTAATCCCTGGAGATCTCCCAGCACCGTGCGGTTAATCCAGCGCGACTCCTTCAGTGCTTCATTGACGCACGCCTCGCTGTCCCTCAGACGAGCGACCTCCTCTCCGTACTTGCGCTTCTCCAAGCAGTCGAGGGACTGCCGGTACTGTGCAGCAGCGGCAAAATGATGGTGCTTTGCCGTCATGTGGTGAATCCACTCCGGACTAATGGCATTCGACTTGACCGCATAATCCCCGGCATCGGCATAAAAGTCCGAAACCTTAGCTGCCAGCCGCGCAATCGAGGCGTCTTTCAGCCCATCCTTGACAGCCTTTTGCCAGAAGCACTCCTGCGCCTGTGCCAGTAACAGCTGCTCCAAGCTCTGCAGCGTCATATCGTCCATGTCTTCCGGAGGTGATGTCCGCAGATCGGGAAGGATATCCGACCGCAAGTGCCTCAGAACCCCAGCCGCCTGACAAAAGTAATTGCACGCCTGCTTGAGTCCATCCGACGTCGTGCGGTTTACCGAAAATGCCAACTGCGAGTACAGTGCAGCGAGGTTGAAGATGACATTCGCCAGCTCGAACCGGAGGTTATTCTGCGAAACTGAGACCAGTCAGCCAAATCCTCACCACACAATGATCCACTTACTCGGTCGGGAGGTATTAAATCCAAACGCAGGATACCACGGAAATTCCACGCCAACCTGCACACGTTAATCCTGTTCTACCCCCGTATCCAGTCGACTCACATCCACCGGAAACTTTCCCCCTAGCCATTTCAGTTGCGCCGCATACGTGACCAGTCGGCTAATCCCGCTGATATGAGGCTCCTGGACATTGATTGCTTCGGTTCGCAGATGGTCGATGATCAACAGATCCTCTGCGAACATGTCCGGGCGTTGGTCATATTTGGAGGAGATGTACTGGGTAATGGCATTCGACAAGGAGATGGAGTGCGAGCGTCGAAACGGAATCTGGAGGATATTACTGGGACCGTTAGCAGAATAATCACACAGACCGTAGCAGCAGCACGTACGACGCCATCGTGTCAGTCGAGGAGTGCATGGGCATGCAGCCAGATCGTCGGAAGTTTTGTTGACGGAAAAGCCCAACCCCACCCGGCAACGCATGACGTTGTGGGTGCCTCAGGCAGCACAGGCCGGGATACAAAAACAGTAAACACATACGAGTCCAGTACTACTACATCCACCGCGTACCACCTAAAGGTATTATTATTCTTATTTGCACATAGTCATTCTTATTTGCGAGATTAAAGCTCATGCTATGTACGTCGGATTCCGTGAGGCTTTTGTTCTTGTGCTCTCAATGTACTCGGAATCCGTGAGCTGTTCGTTCTTGTGATCTCAGTGTGCTAGACCATGTCTATAGCACTACTCCAGCTCGTCAATGCGCATCTTGATGTATTCGAACATACTCAAGAGAATCATGTTGTTCACACCAGTGCGGATGAGGATGATCGACAGTCCCTTGTACATGCTAGACTTCGCAACCGCGGTCACGGCCTCGCCAACCTCCTTGGTCTTGCCCAGCAACACACTCTGAGCGCGGGTCTTACGAGTATCCAGCGGGTAAGTCTATTCCGTTAGTCTGCGTTCAAACTCATTCGGACAAATACTTACGCAGAACCAGGGGACCGTGCTGCAGATGGCACCAGCAATCATAGGCGCTCCGAAAGGCGACTTTTCGGTACCCAGTTCCTTTGCAGCGACCTGCTTGACGGTCTCGTACACGGTAAAGTACAAGCCGGAGCCAAGGGTGTCGCGCATGGCGTGAAGGTGGAAGCCGGTGTATAAGCCGCGGATGCCGTATCTCTTGACGATCTGCTTGATCGCTTCAGCGGTGTTGAGGCGAGGCTTGTTGCGCAGCGAAGGGTCGTTGATTGCGTTGGGAGACGCCTGGGCGCGGTTGGACACCAGCACCGAGGTCTGAACCACGTTCTTGGCCAGCTCAAAGGGGCCTATTTTAGTCAGTACATAAACTCTCGATCCAGCAGCTTGTCTTACAGGCAAGCGGCGCGGCGACCAAGCCAGCAAAGAGACCGGCGGCGGTAAAGGTGGCCAGACCCGACAGAGTGGGACTGCTGCCGGGCTGCTCGTAGATTGCCAGAGGTGATTCACCCGTCATTCTCTCAACGAAATCCGAGATACGGTGTTTGGCCATGCTGTAAGTTGAAAAGTTGAGCACGCGGACCGCGGTGACGCTGGCCAGAGGCGGCAAGGCTCCTGGCACACGACATTTACATTAGCCATCCGCTGCCAAAATTGGGGCGATGACAACCTACCAGCAACATAACCGCGGGGTCCTTCGGTACGCCACAGGTAGCGGACGCACTGAGCCACGTTGCGGAAATTATGGCTACCAAAGTCAGCAAAGTGAAACGAATTAGACAGGCTTTGACTTACGTCTGCATGCGAGTCTTCACATTCTCCAGCGGCGTCTACACGAAGAACAGTCAATTTCTCTTCTCAGTTTCTCTTCTCCGACTGCCGACGCGTAACACTCACCACAGCGAGGGTCGCGCAGATAGTCGAAGTCGCCGAGGCCACCTGCGTTTGGTAGCTCTTCAGAATCTTGTTACGTGTTGCTTCATCCATGATTCGGGTACGTTCGGTCGACGTGGCTAAAGGAGAAGGTTGTGAGGGGGGAGAAGGAAAGGGTGCATGTTCAGAGTGTTTATCAAGAGTCATTCCTGGAGGTATCCCATCTGTGGCAGATGAAAGCACTCCTGATTATTTGTTGCTTAGTCGTCGTTGCCGCTGGCGACCAGTGATGTTCAGACCGTGAGAAGCAGGCTGGGAACCCTATGGAACGCAAAGCGGTCTCTCAGCGTGCGAGCAGACCGTTCGGCGTCCCACAATTGTCCATGAAGCAGGCCTCAGCAAGCCCGGGGAGTTGATTTCTTTTTGTGCACGGAAGAGAGGAAGTGTGATTTTGTGATTTTTTGCTCAATGTGACTGTGCAGGCTCAAGCAATGGGTGAAGCGATAGTACCTGACCTGCAGGCACGATACCAGGCAGGCGTGCGAACCGCGACAGTGATGGTACAGGCAATCCTCCAGCCAAACGTGCTTGATCCTGCAGAATCCTCTCTTCCACGCCCAGAGACTCTATCAAGACAAGAACAATGTCGTCCGAGCTACCTAGACAGGACACCGAGCCGTCAGCCATTTGAACCTGTGCATCCGCCCCATCTCATTCAGAGGAACAAAATATTTCTTGTCCCAGGATCTACCCGGCTAGGCAATGCCATAGACCAACGACGACGTACCTCCAGAAGACGAGCTCGACCGTCGGGAGTGGAAGAAAGGCTAATGGAACGGGGACAATGGGCCGTGCGGGCGAGGAGTCGAAAATCCAGAGGGCAAAGGGCAAAGGGCAAGGAAGAGCCGAAGACCATCACGACGGGCTGCCGACTTAGCTTCGGTGTGTGGGGAGATAGTGACTTTAGTGGTGATCGGTTCAATAGCTACTCTGGTCTGACTAAGGAGCGCTGCCAAAGAATCGGGCAGAGAGGCATGTGGACCGGGGCTCTCGAACCGGTTTAGTGGCTGCCGGCAGTGACGTCGTCGTGAGGCATCCAGTGCGACCCCCGAGTATTGAACGCGCTGTAAATAGCGAGCACCGGCGCTATCACCTGCAACCAACCGGCCATCCGTCTAGGAGACATGGTACATTCCAACCCCATTGCGCAACCTACGGAGGACTAGAGGGGACAAGGTGTGTGGATGGGGTGCTGCGAGTTCCACCTCGACCTCGAAACCTCGGCAGTGTTGGGCTAGACCCGGAAAGGGAGGCGTGGCAAGGGCGGTGATGCATCGGACCAACCCAGTCCGGCGGTGGTAGTACCCGCTCCTCTACCCCGCCTGCCCGGTTCTCCCCTGCCATTGGCTCCTCCCCAGCGGATGGCCAGGACGAGGAGGGCGGGATGCAGCTGGAGGGGACTGGTTATCTATCGCCTGCTGCCAGCCAGGTACCTACCTCATCTACTCGACTGCCAATCACCATATTCCGCAGCTCTCCTCTACAGCCACCCAATGGGCGCATACTCAGGAGGTACTTTGGATACATGGATGCAGAGGGATGCAGAGGGATGCAGAGACCATCAACAATACGGGTACGGCGCAGTTGCAACGGATTTCACATGCAAGCGGGCTCAGTGATTCTCTCTGAGTGCTCCCATCCAGCATACAACAATGACCGATCTGGGGTAGGAAAACCAAACTCCGACCGACAAAGGACAATGGCATACCGCGGGGCGAGCAATTAACCTTGTCCAGTCCATCTCTCGGCAAGATAAGGGCGATGGTGGACAACCATGGTCTCCCGGCCAGTGCCACTCATCTCGAGAATGGTGTCGTAATAAGGCCAGAACCGGGAATGACCTGGTCCCAGTCAATCAGTCCTCGAGCAATCTAATGCACCATTGTCATTGGACAGTTGGAATAAACCTCGTCCTGGTGATGTGCACCCAGTGTTGAGCGGGCAAATCATCAATCCCATTGTTGGTCGGAGCTCATTGTTGATCCACGGGGACCGTTCCCAGGATGGATGGATGGACGTGCGTGGGATCAGGATTCGGCCGATCTCATCTCCTCACTCTCCACATATGGTAGTAGCTACCGCAGCAGTCGTACTCAGTAGTACACAGCAGCACTCTGGTGAATCAGCAGACTCCGTGGACGATGTTGCAGATGATGTGTGGATGTCTGCTACTGGGTGGTTGTATACTTTGATGTTGTGCAATGGGCGGAATTTATCCACACAGGACCATGCATCAGATAATCTCCCCGCTCGCGAGAGATGATTACCACCAAGCTGCCAGGGCTAGGGATCGGCCATTTCTCCGTCCATCCCTGCCTTGACATTCTCGGGATGCTTTATGCGTTGGTGCTTTTCTGAGACTCGGCCCGGGCGCCCTCACGTGAGATGGATCGATGCATTGAACATCTGGCGTGGTCAACATCACCATTCTACCCAAGTCCAAGTAGGATTAGAGCTATAACAAAAAGCTCTTGACCGGGCTTCTTCCATTGACCCCAACCGAAGGTTATGCAGTGGTTATGCGGGAACAACGAACCGGTGGCTAGTACGGGCAGGGATAGGCCAGCTTACCCTCGGGACCTCGGTCGGCACGGATCCCCGCAAGTGCCTGTCTCCGCATTCAAGCCACGCCCGCCCAGCTTATCCTCCGCTATCCACATGCAATTCAGGGGCCTATTTTAACGTTGCACCGGTACTTGACATACTCTTTGCTTCTTTGACGAGTCGTTTTGCAATACTGCAGTATATCTAACGAACTACCCGACGAAGAATTAACGACGATTACCGCCACCATGGGCAAGAAGCCAGCAGGTCCCGCCTACGTCCTGGGCGTGGGTATGACCAAGTTCATCAAGCCCCGTGGCAAGGTTGATTACCACGAGCTTGGATTTGAGGCTGGTGTCAAAGCCATGTTGGATGCTCACATCAACTACGACGATGTCGAGCAAGGTGTCGCCTGTTATGTGTACGGGGACAGCACCTGCGGCCAGCGCGTGTTCTACCAATTCGGACTGACTCAGATTCCCATCTACAATGTCAACAACAATTGTTCCACCGGCTCTACCGGTCTGGCCATGGCCCGCACCATGGTCTCTCATGGAGCCGCGGATTGTATCCTAGTCGTCGGGTTCGAGAAGATGAGCCCAGGCAGTCTCCAGTCGGTCTATAATGATCGCGCCAACCCGACAGGCTTGTTCGGTTCGATGATGGCAGAGACCAGAGGAGTCACCAACGCCCCCGGGGCAGCCCAGATGTTTGGGAATGCTGGTCGTGAATATATGGAGAAGTATGTCCGGACCCTGCTTCGCCTGTCAAATGTACTAACGAACATGTAGATACGGTGCTAAAGCGGAAGACTTTGCTGAAATTGCCCGGATCAACCACGAGCACTCGAAACGCAACCCCTACTCACAGTTCCAGGACGAGTATACGCTCGACCAGATTCTCAAAGCGCCCAAGATCCACGAGCCCCTCACTAAGCTGCAGTGTTGCCCGACCTCGGATGGAGCGGCTGCCGCAGTCATCGTTTCTCAGGCATTCCTCGATGCACGTCCACATCTCAAAGACCAAGCCATCCTCATTGCGGGTCAGCAGCTCTCAACGGACAACAGCACGGTCTACAACCGCAGCTCCATCGACTTGATGGGTTTTGGAATGTCCCGCGGGGCATGCCAGGCCGCGACTGCGGAGGCGGGGGTCAACGTGAAGGATATCAAGGTGTGCGAGTTGCATGATTGCTTCTCCGCCAACGAGATGATTACCATCGATGCTCTCGAGCTGTGCGAGCCTGGCAAGGCACACGAGATGGTCCAGAAGGGTGACATAACCTATGGGGGCAAGATGGTTATCAACCCCTCAGGTGGACTCATCTCTAAAGGCCACCCGTTGGGTGCCACGGGTCTAGCGCAGTGTGCCGAGCTGGTCTGGCACCTGCGCGGCTGGGCCAACAATCGGTTGATCGATGGGACGGATGCCGCATTGCAGCACAACTTGGGGTTAGGTGGTGCCGTTGTGGTGACGGTGTACAAGCGGGCCGATGGCAAGGCCGCAACGCCGGTGCCGTCGCATGTTGTTGCTACGATTACAGGTCTTGGCTACAACCCGGCTGTGGAGGCCAAGGGCTTCACGGCGGAACAGGCCAAGTCGGTGCAGAGCAAGAACCACAGCGACAAGTGGGCATTAGCGGACACGCAGGAGAGGGTTCTGGCGCGTTTCTAAAGTAGCTAGTTGAGATGGGGGGTTTTGTGCACGCATCCAATTTGACAAATGTTATTTTCCAGTACTTCTACATCGTTGTGTAGTAACTCGATAAAGGCGATGGCTGGGGGTGGGGCTGCTTACCTCAGCAGGCACTCCACCGCCCGGCATAAATAAATTTTCGCGTCGGCGGGCATTTCGACTTCTTTTCTTTTTTCCATTCCAGGTCTCCAACATACCCTTGATGATGGATGCTTCACGCACCGTTCCGTCATGCAAATTTTAGCTTTGGGACCCAGAGTGATTATCGCATGCTCGTTCTAATCCCATCGCCTGCCATAGGCATCCGAGGTTGTTTGGGTTCGCTTTGAGCATACACCTTTTTCAGGATCTGTTGCATTTATGTGCATGCCAGTCCTGCTTTTCTGTCATTAGACTTCGACCTGCCTGATAGGCTTGTCGCTTTTCCGATTGGCGCAGGAAGAAAATGATCTTTCTGCGGCAGTCATTGCTCACGCGTAATTCTATCGACTAACTAACCACATATATCATCTTAGACAGACCAAATACTTCGGCACATTCGAAGCCTTGTCTGTCACAATCCCATGATTCGTCGAGGTCAAAATAGTGCCAATAATAATCCCGCGGACAGTCAAATCGTCCATATGCTTCTCCCTCGTGTTGCGTCCGCTGTCAATCTTGAATGGGGCGGTACGTGTCAAAGCAGGGAGGTACATTCCTAAATCTTCAATTCGTACAATGTGCTGAAGGCCATTCAGTGGAATGTAGTCGATGTATGGAGTACTGTGTAGTCTATCTGCTGCCAGGCGCGCCTTGAGCTCTGCCCTGATGAAACGAACGTGTTGTCGCAGCCGCTGTCAGGCATGCATCCTGGAACAGGCGGCTTTCCCGCTGCACATAACGCCGCGCAACCAAGGGTGTCTGGAATGTCCCTCCCTCCTGAACAGTGGCTGATCCATGGTCGATCCAGGGCCACTAGAGGCTGGCTGCCCCATGAGTTTGTTGCTCCCTGAGCAATCCCTTGCTTCTATCAAGGTAGTGACCCCAGGAAGACAGCCAAACAAACGGCACGATAGCATGAAACCACGAAATTCCTCGAGAATGGCCCACGAGGATCGCCAATTCTTGACTGCGTCGCGAGTGAGCGCGCGTCTCGTCCCTTCGTGGCATACCAGACAAAATGAACAGCTATAAGAATCCCAATAATCTCGTCTTTTTAGCACACCAGGCAAGCAATTCAGGTTCATCTCCGGTCTGGTCGTTTGTCCCATCTCCTTTCTCTTTGTAGTTGCAGTCCATCTTTCACTTGGCTATAGATCGCATCTATCACGCCTGTCCACTCCTTAATTCGACTTCGTGTTTCAATTTCACTTCTTTATCTCATTCCACCCAAACCACCCCATCTTCATATCCATCTCCACAATGGCCCGCTTCAGCCTCTCCTTCCTCGTCCTCTGCCTCTTCCTGGCTATCATGGCAACCGCCATGCCCATCAAGCGCGCCGATCCCGACGGTGCCACCGAAATGGACTCTTCTCTCGCTGAAGAAGTCGCAGCCAAGTCCCTCCAAGTAAGCCTCTCCCCAAACCAAGAACATCCCACCCTCCCTCCCTCAAACACAACTAACATTCCATCCCAGTCCGCCGCCAAAATGATGGACGAAATGGCCGGCCAGGCCGACGAATCCAGCCAAAAGGATGACAATGACACCTCCACCTCCGACAAGACCAACTCCACTCCCTCCCCCAGCACCAGCAACAACTCTACCCCAGAGACCGAAAACAAGCAGCAACCCGAGGCAGACAATCAGGAACCCACCCCCACCACCCCCACCTCTACTGAGTCCTCGGCTGCTAGCTCTCCCCAGCCGAGCTCGTCCTCGCATATCGTCAACAACAACCCTTTCGCTAACTTGCCTATTGTGGGTGGGTTGTTGAGTGGTGGTGGTGAGGGGTCTCTTGGGTCTGGACTTTTGCCTTAGATATATAGCTTCTTATTGTATAGGATGCTATAGGGGTAAGGGGAAGAGGTTTATTGTGCTGGCTCATTTTGATCGAATTGTTATGGTGTTTACGTGGGATGACTGATTTTCTTTCTTTTTCATAAACCATTAGCTTTGGCTTGATTGATTGATTGATTGGTTGGTTGGTTATTAGAGATGGAGTTGACTGCGTCGATTCTCATCTCCGATTTGATACAAAAAAGCAATAGTAGGTAGCTAAGTAGCTGTTAGATACATCAAATATGATTCGAATCCACATTAACATCTACTTCCGCATTGTCCTTGTATACAACCCCAGCCCCCTCGTCGGATCCCGCGTCTGGCTCATCACCAGAATATCACAATCAAACCAAACACCCCCCGTTCTTATTGAGGATCCATATGGCACGCCCAGCAAATCCAGACAGACATCCGAGACAGGTTTAAGGAGAAATTTCAACCGCACACACGGTCGGTGAGGTCCAGCTCCCTATTAATTCCTTCGGAATCTGAACGAACCACGCCACGACCACCTGGATATACTTCCCCTATGGAGATCATCCTCTGTCCTGTCCGGCCTTTTCCAGGTACCAACATATACTAAACCAACGACTCATGTCACTTTCCTTGTAGTATCTACCCAGGAACGTAAGAGAGGATCCAAGAACCACCGACCTGCATCCCGCGCTATTTGGCGTTCCCCACCATCCATATGTAAATCAGCAGGACCCAACATCCTCATACCACCGCGAGAAACCAGCGATGGATGATCCTACTGTGCCATAGTGGGATCGGCAACTGAGCGTTGGCCGTAGAGGTACAAGTTTTCACCAAGGCTTTTTTTCAGACAGAACATCCAAATCAGCCGCTCCGACTGCTTCCATTTCAACCTGCGCGTATGACCCAAGTATCAACGCCCACCCTCGACAATAGATTGGCTTCTGCTGTGTGGAAACCGTTTTGTCGTGTATCCGCAGGATTCTGGGTAGGAAAGCGGGTTATTATCCGGACCGTCATAGGAGGTTTCGTCGTTTGTGGTGGTGGGTGTACGGTTCTGCGTTTAGCATGATGTTTGTTGTACTCGATGCTTTCGTTGTTGGGTAGTTGGTATTGCTGTTGATACCTGATCCCGGAAGGCAGAACAAGCAATGAATCTGGCGCGTTCCATGGTCGTAATTGTTTTCGTCAGCGTACAACTCCCGCACGACTTCTTCCTCCGGCCCGTACGGCGATGGGATCCCCACTGTGCGAGTATGGGCAGTGATCAATGGCCTGTTACTCTTCCGGTCCGCTAGCCTGGGGGGCTCACTGGGGCGATGTGGCGGTAGTGGATGTGCCTGATACCATGTTGTGGCGTTGGGAAGGCTACGGGGTGTTGGTCGATTGTAGCAGGTCTTAGCGAAGAAGAAGCAAGGTGGAGGAAGGCAAAGGGACGTGAGAGACGTTTTTAGCGAGTGGTTATTCGTTCAGGGCCTGGTGTGCATCAATACCGAATCCTGGTATCGATGCCTTGAGTTGACAGGTGAGGATAAGATTGTGTCAGATGTTGTTTTCTTCGCGTGCAATCCTCATGGAGGGTTGCAAGATGCTAATGTTCAGATATTGGGAAAAGGAGACGCCCTCCCTCACAAGGCTTCCTGGATCCTGAAGCCACACATGGAATTGACGGCTGTCTCCTTACACGATGACTTTGCGGGGGTAATGGCACCACGCCGTACCGGATGATGTCGTAAAAAAAGACGAGGGTAGGTTGTACTGATCACTAGATCTAGGGAGATGGGTGATTATACATAGACCAGACTTACGGGTTCGGGCGAGGTGAGGGTTCGATGGACACGTATCATGACCAGTGTCGTGAATGAACACGATATCTGCAAGGTCTGGCCGGTGTTGTTCTGACCGGTGAGTTGATATGTATACGCATTTCGCATGCTGTTCGCCCGCTTGGCTGGTTGGTGACAGTCCGCGTAGCCACCAAGACCGAATGAGATGAAGGATTTGGGGAGGGCTATGAGAGACAACGCCGTGAAATATTCGACTAGTCGAGGGGTGGTGACCAGATGTCGTCGCCCCCAAATCTAGACCGACCACAAGTCGGTTTGCCATGGAGAGCGTGTGATAAGTGGTGACGGAGAGGACTTGGGTTGACTGGTGAACCCTGTGATTTCTTAGGAACGAAATCCGCTCTGCGGCCTTGTGAGCATCATGCTTCTGTTTCTCGTAGTTGTGGAGTGTCGAGAACCTGGCCCTCTCCTGGTCGTTCGATATTTGTCTTTGAATTTGTTTTGTTTCACCAGGTGCGGGATTGTTTTCCTCACGTTTGGCTTTTGACGTGGTCTCTTAGTTCCTCAGTGGGAGATGGCCCAGTCGTAGCATACCACGTATGGAAATGGGCGAGATCATAAAACCATTTCAAGACTCAGAACATGCCAGAGATGTGCCGGACAATGGGACAGCTACCCTCCAGGTATAAGCAAAGCATTGTGCAAGAAGGCATATATGCAAGGCTTAAGGTGAATCTGACTGGATAAATCCTCTAGAGAGTATGCTCTGTTATCTAGAACAGCCCCCGGAGTATCCAGACGAAGGTAGGGTTGAATAGGCTCGGGCATCGAGGAGCTCAAGCTCTCGCCGGTGTTATTATGCTGAAGGACCTCCGTAGCGCTGCCAAGTATTGCAATCGTGTCCTTGAATTCCTGGTTCGTCATGGCGCAAGTCTCCTGGGTGCGATAGACCAGGTCAGCCATTCGCTCTTTAAGCAACTGTCCCTCCAGAGACATCACATTGCAGATCAATCAGTGGATCCGGACAGGGTTCGGCGCCAGATTAGTGCGGGACTACTGCCACCACTTGGCTGGATAATGTCCCGTACAGTTCAAGGCATAGAAATGAACGTGGAATAGCAGGACTAAGGGAAGAAGAGCATATTGAAGTCATAGGCCTTCCACCAGGACACCCGCACCGCTTGGGGAGATCTGTTTGAGGACACGCAAGGCGTCTTATGTAAAAAAAAAAAAAAAAAAAAAGAAAAGAAAAAAAGAAAGGAAACTGCGCGAGAAGGAAGAACATCCTGGTAATTGAGGTAAAACTGCTCTGAGTTTTTGGTATGGGGTGTTGACAAGGTGTAAGGGATTCATGTGCAACTCCAAGGATATACGCCAAAATACGGGCAAGTCATATACAGAGATTGTCAGATGAACAGAAGTCAAGAGGGGTATCTGGGGTATGCGAATGGCTTATTCCATGTGAACCATCCAGGAAGCGCCATAATCCTGCACTCGATGAACGCGCATGCGTCAAACCGGCGATAGATCACTGTTGGGGAAGAAGTCTATACCCACACGTCAGTCACAGAAGACTTATAAGCACACAGTAAGAAGAAAGTGAGGGAAAAGTACTGACAGAAAACAAGTCTTTTGAAGGCGTGTCGATCTACCGGGACCGATATATGGAAAGACTTACGCTTCCCTTTACCGGAAGCAGCTTCCGTATTCCCTTCGGCATCACGATTGTTGATGTCGACTTTGTCACCACCGAGAGGATCTCGGACGCAATTCATTCGATTTTCAGCCAAGGATAGACCAGCGGTAGTGGGTTAAAGACCAGGACATGGAGCTAGGTCGGCTTTGATCTCGACAGGACAGTGCTGGGGCGCGGCATCTTTCTTTTCCTCATCATATATAGATGCATGACGCTACAGGCCGCCATTTTGTAAGAGGTTGATGGTAGCAATAGTATACTTTTGAGCGGAAACTAGGGAGAATTCGCTTGAACAGGACCACAATGACGCCGTTCTCGGTTGGTCAGATCAATCCGAACTGAACCGCCGCCGGTGAATATGCAGGGGGATCCTGGTCGATTCTTAGACTGCCCTTAGCAAGCAAGCAGGCGTCCCTTTATAAGATCGAAGGATTAGAGGTAGAATAGGACGAGCAAAGGGCAAAAGAGGAGATAAGTGAGCAGGACACATCTCGCAAAACACGCACCCTACAGCGAACAAGTCGATATCTCGTCCAAATATTCTACCTTCTCGTCATTCCGTGATTTTCCTGTTCCCGGAGTCTTCTGGAACAGGCCTTCCAGCGGTCTTGTCAAACTGGGAGGTGTCCAAAAGGGGGTTGCCGCAATTCTGCGCCCCTTTGTCGACGGGAATTTAGATGCTGAGGTGGTGTGCCGAGTGACAAGCAGCCCGCTAGCATTTCGATACCGACGAGTGGCTGACTGACAATGCAGATAGAGTACGGTGACTCAGACTGAATGCTACAGGAAGCCATTTCGACCCAATATCCAAAAGACCGGAAGGGGAAAGCGTGCATGAAGAGGCTCCCACGCATCTAACAGCCCGCTCGCTTGCGCAGCCAGGGCATAGGAGGGAACCCCGAGGTAGGGCTGGCCACCACCACTGTAGCGAATCTGTGGATATCACCATTGTTTCTTTACCGCTTGTAGGCATGCTGTGAGATATGGCGCATAGCTTGGTCCAGACATAAGCTTCGATCTCCCGCTCTGCTGTCACGAGTCCCTTGATCTCGGGGGTTGCTTGACGGTATTCCTTGACTGTCGCTGGATTGGCCTCACAGGATGCAAATGACCGCGAGCAGGTCTGCAACTGCGAACCGTGATGATTGCTTCCATTCTACTTCGGAAAAAACAGAATAAGGTCTCCGGATCAAGTGATAGCCAACCCACGAACTGAGGTAAGTGCCAACACTGGTTGGTGGGAGTACGTAGGGACAGGCGTGCGCGCAGCATGGCTTTTGGACATCAAGACACCATTCTCGAATGAGTGTTATGGTAGGTGTACCAAGAGGTATGTCATCCATGGCTCTATGGATGTTATCGGCAGCCGCTCGATCAGGATTGTTTGCTCGCAAAACTGTCTGCTGGGACGATATAGTCCTCTTGATCACTACTATTCTCCAACAGACAGTGTGGCGTCCTTATACTAAACGTCTTCTGCTCATGTTCGAAGATAGCCGTACATATTCGAAGAAGTGCTCAGGAGTGTCCTCTGAGTTATCACCATCTTCTTTGGAGGGGAATCGGGTCACCCCTGGTGTATGAACAATGCTCGCTCTCTTATCAATTGTCCCGTATAGGGTGTCCAGAACAGACATAGATCATTGAAGTCGAGACTAGGCGATTCGGTGCCCAGTTGCGATGCTCTATTCGCGGTTTGCATTCGCAAAGGTATATGCGTAGAGCGGCATAGATCAGCCGCGTGAACAAGAAGTCAGGGGATCAAGAAATCACACCTGCTTGAGCATGTCAAAATCCATGCGGTCTTCTATTGCTTAAGGAAATTAGCACATTTGTCTCTTGCTATTGCTCTTCACGTTTACCTAGCGGGATCTTGACTCAAGCTCAGGGCTAGAGACTGAACCTTCATGCCATTTTCGATACGCGAGATGAGTCGGTTCTGCTGACATCGGTCAGAACGAAGACTAAATGTAAGGAAGGGGAAAGAGGAGCCAAACAGGCAAAGAAGGGTGCAAACGTCTGCGTAGTCGGTGGTATGGCTGGAGGAAGATGATTCAGGAGGCGCTCCGGAGTCCGCTGGATGTTGGTCATGCTGGGAAGACCAAGACCATTGGTATTCGACAGCCCAATGTCCGATAGGATGAGCTGAGCTATGCAATGAAGATGGCCTCTCCCAACGCCCGTGTTTTTCTGGGTGGCATGTTGATTAAAGCGTGATCCGGAATCGACACTGAGTACAATCCTACTAATTCAAACCAGCCGACTCGGTGTTAGTATACTCTCTGTTAGTCTGATCCGCTTTTTGGTGATGTAAAGGGTGTTCTATTGTTTGGCCAGACACCTTAGACTTTCTGAGGTAACTCCTCAATAATGGATCGGTTCAGCTACCTTGAACATGTCCTGGCAAGTTCACCCCAGCATGATGGTAGCATGTTAATCTGGCGCACATCAAAGGAAAACCATGGGGATTCAAAGTGACTCTAGGGTGTTCGCAGCTTGTATCCTAGCTTCTCCCCTGGCTGGTTACGTTTAGTCCAGTGGCCTCACATGAATATGCAGGAGAGAAAACCACATACCAATAGACTTTGACACCCCTAGGTCAATATAGAGAGACAGCAGGAAAACTGACAAGACAGACTGGCAGTTCTGCGAAGGTCTACTCTAACATACTAGCCCTCGAGATATCCCCTCAAGTGGGCTCAGGGTGTATGCTGTGGACCTTGGGAAGATACAGTAGGGGAGTATTTGCATCCTTTGTGTGCTTTTAGATATTATTCCGAGGCATATCGAGGCAGGACTATGGATCGGACGGCAGTTCTACCGTTTCAACTCTGTAAAGACTGTTATAATTCTCGAAGTGGTCTGGCATCTTTCGGCTCGACGTGCCCAATTTGCGGGGGAAACTCGTATCATAAATAAAAGGATGATGTGGATGTCTGGGCGAGCGTGTTCAGCGAGGGAGCCATTTTCGGGTTGCTTTTTTTGTGGGGACTCGACGAGCTACAGCAGGGACCGATGTGATGGTGAAATAACAATAACAACAACAAATGTGGGTGTTGTTCCGTAGTCTACGGCCATGTACTCACTGTGATCAGGCGTACATATAGCCGGCATTGGACTCGGAGTATACCGGCTGGATAGAGTTGAAGTAGGCGCAGCACTGTGTCTGGCGTTTTGTTAAATGGCCTGGGCGTTTGACAAAGTCAACCCGGAGCTTGCAAAGCTCCCAGGCCTTACCTCAATAGCCCTTCACTCTGAAGCACAGCTTGTTAGCCATGGTGCTTCTCGGGGCCATCGATATTGGTTTGTCTGAGGCGGCGACTGAAGGAGAAACAGGTTGTAGAGCGGTCGCCTCGATGCAGAACAATGATTTCTGGTATACTGTAACGCGTGAACCCCGGGGTCACCATACTCTAGGTGCCAGTGAAAGTTAGGTTGTATGGCCGTGGTCCAATAGTGTCCCATTCCTGAAGAGATATTGGTTAATAGTCTGATTTGATTTGTGTGTATGGCCATGACTCACACGCGTCTCGGAATGGTTGCATGCCCTCCAGTTTCCAATCATAGTTTCCCTTGAACTTCCCCTTCAGATCTTCTTCGTACAGTCGCACTACGCAAGGTCCATCGCTACGATTGCCGTTGCAACCGATGCGGTTGGCTTGGAATCGTCTTCTTAAGGGACGGGCTGGGTACCTGTACGCAATGTTGTATGGGTCTAAGACGAATGTCATGAATGGATTCCGAAGGAACGAAATTGACTTGGACCAAGTCGTAGAAAGCTCGCATCAACCACACGCTGTCATGGTATTGGGGTAACTCACTATGTGCCTCTATCAGTTTGCGCTTAGCTTGTTATCGAAGAATTTGTGGTTCAACAAATGAGCTGGAAGCGTGTAATGAGATGGGATCGGAGATGAGAACCAAGTTTGCTCTACATCTTACGGTCAAGCAGCAAACGGAAAATGAAACTGGAGATGCAAACGGACAACATGGAGAAATAGATGACACAGTAGAAGGTTTAAGAAATATAGAGAGAGCTTGTCGGGGGCTTGAGAGGAGGACGGCGATGAAAGGACGAAGAGATATATAAAGCATGAAGCTAAGCCATGATCGGCGCGAGGAGTAGGCATGGACAAGAATATCATATTCAGAGTCTAGACCACATTGAGTCATAGGGTACAGAGTGAGGCTGCCAATGAGATCGTCTCGCATCATTCGATATGCGCAGCGTTGGTTCCACAGAGTCTTCAGGTAGGTTTCCAGGGTTGCAATCAACGATGGCCCGTCAAAGTCAATCCTCCCTATTCAGGTGGCGTGTCAGCTGGACGCATGTACCACCTTTGTCTGGCTAAGGCGTTCATTGATCCTGGCGCGTACCCAAATGGGATGCTGTTTGCGCCTGCAGCCGTTCGGGGGTTTTAGCTTTTTGGGCACATTCCCTGATGCACACATACCAGGTCTGCAGATATCCTATAGGGCATTATCGCCAGTTGTGTAACTATACTATCAGCTCATTATTGCGCATACATTACTGTGAGCTTTTATTCTGGTTGGCTCGCTGTTGTCCCTCGTAGAGACCAGTGTAGTATCCAGCATAGTACCAGGCCATCATAAGGTTTTTCAGTCCTTCATCTTGAACTTGAGACAGGTTAGCTTTCCTCTGGAGCCAATACGAAGGCAACACATCTTACCTTGTGATAGGGCGGGATGAGGCATAGAAGCTGCTCCTATGGACCCGGGCCCAGCCGTTTGCTCCGTTTCATGGTCACTGCGTCCAGGTGGCCGGTCTGGCCCATTCGTAGCCTGAAAAATGGTCAATGCTGTCCAGTCCATCAGGAAATAGAGTGAAATACCTGCGACGTGGCAACCTGTGGCACCTGTTGAGTTTGGGCTGGAGCTGTGGTATTGGCAGCAGTATTGACTACCGGCACGTCGGCGTCAGCATCCATGTGGTCGGCCGACTCATCCAACGGCTGCTCGTCTTGTACCGCCGGAGCTTTCTCGGCATCCTCTGCCTCTCTCAGGACATCTTCGACATTCTCGCCTTTGGCATGAATGCTGTGGTAGAGCTGTTGTTGTTCTATCTGTGAGCGGATCACGTGCACAAAGGGAAGTAGGCCATACTTTGTATTCCTCGACAGCCTCGTCCCAGCTCTGAACGAGGGCAGAGTCATCCCAGATCTCCTCCTGGGTGAGGGGCTTATTGGCATTTGTCGATTTTCCCATGACGGCAGCGCGCGTGGGAGCAAACGGCGTGTGAGAGGGTTGGGTGCGGAGAGGAGCTTCGAGAGCGCGGCGAGGCCCCGTCGGCCGGGCTCGATCTCACCGCTTGGCGGAGGAAAAAATGCGAGCAGAAAAAAAGTTTCCCGCACCTTTTGCGACCCTCCGATTAGAGTCCTCCAGGAACCGCCTGTAAATTTCCTCGACTTACAGCAGGATGGCCCCCGACAAGAAGGACAAGAAGCGCAAGGGTATGTATTGTGCTACTCCAGGAATAACTTTGCATTTAATCCCTTGTTGCGTGTACTGACGGCTCTCAGCTGCGGCCGCCGCTGCCGCCGATTCGCCCGCGAAGAAGACCAAGAAGGTCGAGGCCAAGCCCGCCGAATCCCCCAAGGACACCCCCAAGTCTATCCTCAAGAAGGCCAAGCAGAATGAGTCGGCCGCAAAGAACGATCCCGCTTCGAAGGTGAAGGCCAATGGACAGCCCGCCAGACAGATCAAGCCTCGCAAGCGTGCTGCCGATTTCATCAGCGACAACGAGGACAGTGAGCCCGAGGCGGCCGTTGCCGAACCCAAGGCCGAGAAGAAGCCCACCATCAAGAAGTCTAAGAAGGAGGACGGAACAGCTGCTCCCGCGACGAAAGCCAAGCAAGCCAAACCTGAACCCAAGGCCGCCACCAAGGCAAAGAAGGCCGAGCCTGTCGCCGAAGAATCTGAAGAGGAAGATGAGTCTGCCGCCTCGGATGCTAGTCAGAGTGAAGATGAGGAGGACGACCGCACGACCGCCCTCATCAAGGGCTTTGAGAGCAGCGGTGACGAGGACGAGTCTGGCGACGAAGGCTTCAACCCCGACCAGCCTGTTCCTAAGATCCCCGACTCGAAGAAGGCCAAGCGCAAGATCTTGAAGAAGCAGAAGGAGAACGCCGGTCAAGCTGAGGAGCCTGGAACCGTTTACGTTGGGTGAGTACTCTCAACAGTGAGTGCTTGTGAGTGTAGTTCTAACACCTTGTGCTATAGTCGCATCCCCCACGGTTTCTACGAACACCAGATGCGCGCCTACTTCAGCCAGTTCGGTGACATCACCCGCCTGCGTCTCTCTCGTAACCGTATCACCGGTCGCTCGAAGCACTATGCTTTCATCGAGTTCGAATCGGTCTCGGTGGCTAAGATCGTCGCCGCCACCATGGACAACTACCTTATGTACGGCCACATCCTGAAGTGCAAATACGTTGCCCCTGAACAACTGCACCCGGAGATCTGGAAGGGCGCCAACAGACGGTTCAAGCGCACCCCGTGGAACCGCATCGAGAAGAAGCGTCTGGATAAGGGCAAGACCAGAGAGCAATGGACGGAGCGCATCGACAGAGAGCAGAAGAGACGTCTCGCAAAGGCCGAGAAGCTCAAGGCCGTCCTGGGATACGACATCGATCTTCCCCAACTGAAGAGCGTGGATGATGTTCCTGTCCAGGAGGCCAAGGCCATCGAGGCATCCGAGCCTACAGCTGAAGAGCCCGCCAAGGCCATTGAGGCTCCCCAGGCCGAGGAGCCCAAGGTCGAGAAGCCCGCCGAAGATACCCCCAAGAAGACCAAGAAGACTAAGAAGGCCGCTCAGTCTCCTGCTGCGCAAGAGACTCCCAAGTCGGAAGAGAAGCCCGCTCCGAAGAAGACCGCCGAGGTAGCTGCTTCCCCTGCCGCCCAGAAGGCTAAGAAGGTTCAGAAGAAGACCAAGGCGAAGTCTAAGGCGTAAATTTGGGGGATTAAATTCTTTTGTATTTCTTATGGCATAAACCGTCTTACCCGGAGTTCACTTGATTGTACATGAAAAAGGGACATTATCTGCGCTTCAAACCGAGCTGTGCTTGATACATCGAGTGTGTCTACCTGAAAGTAAATCCATTTACTACAATCATCCTCCACCAAACATCCCACCCCCAACCAAGTAGCACCAAGCCCGCCCTTAATGCCTCAGGCACAAACACAACCCATAAGCAGCTGCAAAGTCGCTGGTTGTATTTAACAGGAAACTTACATAGTCTTGTAGTAAGACGAAGAGGAACTACCCCGCCCACGCTCCATCTTTCTTTATAAAGCCAGACACCCATCCACCAATCTCCTTCTGATTGAACTAAACTCCACAGAAGTTCATCACCTTCGAAATGGCTGCACCGCCTCAGGCAGAAATAATTGATGGCATCAAGACCTTCATCCCACTTGGTACAAATCTATTCTCCTTTACGTAAAGAGTACGACTGACAGATGTCTCAGAGAACAACCCCGATGTCATGAAACTTCTCTGTGAGAATCTCCAGATCTCAGGGGATCTCGACTTTCATGACATCATCTCAACCTCTCCAGAATTCCTTCAAGAGTGCTATTTCCGACCTTGTCACGCACTTATTGTCCTCGCAGACCGAACTATATATCAAGCTGCCCGCTCAGCAGTTGAGCCAACCATCTCAGAGTACAAAGGCTCAGGTCCCGATGAACCAGTTCTCTGGATGAAACAGACTATCGGTCATGCTTGTGGGCTGATGGCTCTGCTGCACGTAGTCTTCAACCTGGAAGGTGGTCGATATGTGCGCCCCGGTACGGAAATAGACGCACTCCGTCAAGAAGCTATTCATCTTGGGCTTACAGAGCGAGCGCAGTTGTTGTATGACTCCAAATTTCTTGAACAGGCGCACATGGATGCCGCATCGCGTGGATCTTCAAACGTCCCCTCACCTCGTGACGATAATCGACACCATTTCTTGGCCTTCGTGCAGAAGGATGGGAAAGTCTGGGAGTTGAATGGGGGGATGAATGGACCCTTATTCCGAGGAGAACTCGGTGAAAGGGAGGATCTCTTAAATGAGCGAGGGCTAGAGCTCACTGCCCAAGACTTCTTGATTGCTGCTGAACAGTCTGGATGCGATGAGATGAGTATCGTCGCAATTTCTGGGGGAAGGTGACGGCAACTACTAGATAGTTACCGTAGCTCCCATCTGAAAGTACATTGAGATCACATGACCTGCGCACTACCCCCAAACCAGACTAGCCTGCCAACCCACCACCCACTCCACTCCACTGACTAATCCCCTATAAAATCCCACCGACCGTAGTCCAATTTTTCTGTCTTCTTCTTCTTCCTCCCAACTCCTCGCTCAAAGAATCGCATTCAAAGCTCACACACAGGGAATACCTCGTATTCTCTTGCCCTCTTGCTTTGGGAGAAAGTCCCCGGACACCCTGACTGTTTAAACGTCTCTTGTAGACCCAGTCAGGCAATGCGGAAACGCGCCGCCATAGAAGCAATTCGATAGCGGCTTATTGCCCTATTCCCTCCCAGTGTTGGCGCTATACCCGACACCAGGTGGCTGAAAAGTCAGCTGGTAGGAACCAATGGTGGTGCGGCACGGTGCTGGAGAGCGGGTTTTATCTGGGTTGCCTTTCGTCGTGTTTGGATAGTCATGCGATTGCCCTTGCTTCTGGTCTCCTCGTTTGAGGGGATTGGAGAGGGTAACTCAATGGGGCTCATTCTTGAGGCGAGGAGTTCATTTGTTCCTTTTTTTTTTTTCTTCTTCACTACCGAGTCTGTAGCTTATGGAAAGCGGTGATGGGGGTCGATGTTATTTTTTTGGCTCGCTCGCAGATGCTCTGTCGAAGGAGCCAGACTCTACCTATCTGTTTTTGATTTTTTTTTGCTTGTTATCTTTGTTCGTGTGATGATATACCAATCATAGAGTCAAGCCCTGAGACTCCTACCTATCATGGTTTGGAGTTATTGACGATAAACGATTGTTTTCATATCTGATGAACATAATGGATACTTTTTTCGTATTGCATTACATAGCCTCTACTATCATGAACCTTCGAGGGAAAAAAATAAAAGCCATCGTATCTTGTTTTACATCCAACTCCACGTAACTAGACATGCATGCATAACTCATTGCGCCTTCTTCGCAGCCTCCAGAGCAGGAACAGGCCCCGCCACTCCGCCTCTCTGCAGCAACACAGCCGTAATCACCTCCGCCATGGTCGTAATCGCCGTCGCACACACGTTACTCCAAATCTGGATGCTCACCGACCCGAGCGGTGCGCGGGGAAACGACAGAACCCACGCCACGTAGTATGGAAGCCAACCCTCCGGCAGCATGAAGACGGGCGTTTTCGAGTACCAGAACTGCAGGAAGAATTTGAGACCTGATGTACCGAGCCAACGGGCGATTTTGACCGCCCAGTCGAAGGAGGTTTTCTGCGAAACGAGTTGCTTGTCTGTTTGAGAACCGCGTTGTTAGCTTTCATCTAAACCAAGGGTGTGAATTGTAGCTGTGCTCTTCAAGAAAGGAATATAGTGACTGGTCCAGACATACTTATCGCCTCATATTCCTCCATGGTCTTATCATGTCGACGTCTAAGTTTTGCCCATTTCGCAAACTCATCCTGGGAGCTGGTGTTGTTCATGTCCCGCTTCAGCTGGACGGCCTCGCGCTTGAGTCGGTTTTGTTCTCTGGCTTTCTTCGCCGTGGGTGTCGGGACCTTAAGGTAGAGAAGCCATAGCTAGACAATACTTGTCAGCTTCCTCCAACGCTGGTGTTTGTGGGTGAAGAATGACGGGCAGCCCGGGACGTGACAGATGGAAGGTCAAGAAGGGAAGCAGTGCACAGCTGCTAGACAAACATACCAAGTTATCAATGGTGCTAGCACCAATGGTATTCACCAAGTAAATGGCGACATGAATGAAGAAGACCGTCCACAGGAGCGACAGCATGGTGGGCTAGAGATCGGTGCGCTGTAGAGGGGAGAGAGTGTGTGAGGAATAGATCGAAATTCAGCTAAGAGTAGGTTCCCGGATAGGTGGGAAAAGACCACGAAGCCCGACCGACTTGCGCGCAGATGGTGCATGCAGCCCCAGACAAGCAAATATCAAGGGATAAGTCGGGAATAATGGGTACCAAGAAGCTGAGGAAGAGAGGCCGAGGCTGAGGCTAAAAGGGAGAAACTGGTGACGGGGTGAGAAAGCAAATGACGTTGTCACGTTGTTTTCCCGCCCGTCGGCCGCGGCACTTCTGTCCCCGAGCTTCAACAATGTTCAACCACGTCCGATTCCAAGACCACCAACGCCATGCTGCAAGGCGGGTGATCCCCAATGTCTACTCCTCCGGACAATGATGCCGCATACCATGACCTCGCTCATATTTTCTCAGCTAGACATCAAGATAACCGCGTCCTAGAAATTGAGATACTCCCGCCTGGTCTCGGACCGCTTCTACAAGATGGAGATTCGATTGGCATTACGAAGAAGCACTTGGTTCAGGCTTTCGTGACTGCCAGACGGATATTTTTCGATGCCTCTTATAATGCCTCTGACTTCCACGATGCCTCTGACTATGAAGACCTGTGCAAGACCCCACGGGACGGACACCCGGTCCAGAGACAAAGGGACGACCTGCTGAATGCCACGGAGATCATCCTCCTCTTCGACTGTGAACACCTGACCGCATGCAATTGGCGTAAAAAGCGTCTAGCTGGTCTGGTCAAGCGCTATGGCTCCGCGGATGCTGACCAAATCCGTCGAGAGATGCTCATTCGTGAATTGGACACAGAACTCTCCCTGATGACCTCCTATCTCTGCTCCCCGCTGCACCGTCATACGAAATCTCCGACGCTATGGAACCACCGTCTAATGGTATTGACGCGAGTGTTGGATGTTCGAAACTCAGAGTTGGCAGAATCTTTTTCCCAACGAGAAGACAAAGGGCTCCAAGAGGTGATAAAGAAAGAACTATCCGTTGTCCTTCGGTCCGGAGAGCTGCATCCGAGGAATTACTACGCCTTTAATTATGTGAGGCAACTCCTTGAGCTTTTGCCGGAAACTTGCGAAGACACAAAAGACGCTGCTGCGCTCCGCGGTTGCTCGGTCATACATCTAGTCTTAGATTGGTGTCTCGCTCACCCGAGCGATATTTCCGGCTGGATGTTTACTCTCTACCTCCTCGAGACCGTCCATGATGAACAAACCCGCACAGACAGCATTGCCCGGGTGCTGCGTTTCGCAGTGGATGTTGGCTGGGAGGGCGAGAGTCTCTGGACGTTTGTGGACTTGGCAAAAAGAATTCCAGGAGCAGGAACATTAACAAAAGACCAGCAGTGTCGACCTCCATGGGATGTATTCGCGGCACCGTTCTTGTCAGATGCTGGGCCGGAAAAAGGGTGGAAGGCCTGGTTGGGAAGGGCGAGGGCTGCTTGGATTGCGGGTCATATGGCGGATAACCGGGCGGATGGATAACCGAACCACCGAGTCGTATAGGTGATGATGAGGCGGAAACCATATATCATGAAGATATCCGGTCCGCCAGAGTTTCGGTTAGAAGAGAATATATTGTACATCAACAGAACATGGAACATCTTCTGCACCTTATGCGCCGTCTTTATGCAAGATTTGAACGCTATTGGATCATGTAAACGCCTCGCTAAATACCATGTTCTCGTCATATGCGCCAACAGCGCACACCCACTTGACAAGCCCTTTGCCACAGGTCGCAGCCAGATCATATCGCAGGCCGTTATGTTATCCAACATCAACAATACCCACTATAAACAGTCGCAAGTCTGTCCCAAAAATGAACGTAGGCGGATATTGGGATGCTATACGAAAATCAGATGTGAAGATGGTATATATAGACAAACATCGTGCGACGTCCAGTCTGGCTTATACAACGTGGGTAGGGACGGGGTATCTCATTTCTTCTTGGCTGCTGCAAGTGCTTCGGCTTCTTTCTTTTGGTCGGCTAAACAAAGATGAACGCAGTTAGTAAGATATCACAGGAGGCAATACAAACACTGCATCAAGCCTCACGTACCCAACGCTTGCTTTGCTCGCATTTGAGCAGCATCCATCTCCTTTTTGGCTGATAAACCACCCTTTCCGACAACAGTCTTCGTTTTCTATGCAGACCGAGCCGGTTAATAGCTGAAATATATTGTTAATGGACCCAATGAGGAATCCTCACATTCAGTTTCTTCTTTTGTTCTTCATTTCTCTTGCGGGACTGGTTTCTCTGGTTACCCCGGGCCATTTTGTTTTATTCGGGTGCGCGGATCAGGCTTTGTTCGTCAGGTAGGGCGCTGTGCAAGGAAGGGGGACAGAGAATTGAAGAGTGCTTTTTTGCCTCTGCGGGATTTTGAAGAATAGCATGGAAGGGTTTTCCGTCTCAGCATGCCGCCGAGCCGCCGTCCCGGAATCCCCTCTCCAGGTGCCTCTCACCTGACCTCAACTTTTTACATCGGTACCGCGGTGTCGACTCGGCATCAGTAATTCTCACTTCCCCCCCCCCCTCTTGTTGGGGCGACGGCAGGCCAATTTGTATGCAGCCATTGCCTACTTAGTAGAAGCATGAGTCCAAGTTCTGCACTTTCCATCCCTGTCACTGAACAGGCATATTAATGGGTTGCGCTCTTAACCGCCAAGTCCTTCGGCCTCTAAGAGTACATCCACAACATCTCGTTCGGGTTCACACCAACTCCTCAATACCCCGACTGAATTCAGAGTCTCCGGGTGAAAAGGGCCCAATAGCACTTCCATCTTGTTTGTAGCATGCGCCATCAGCTGCATTGCCTCATCATCTTTCCCTTGGTGGCGCCGGGCAATAGCAGTGAATTTTAGGGTGTAGGCGTGATCCGAACCAAACGTGCGAACGCTGTCATTGATGATTTCGTTGTCCATTTTTTCAATCTTATCACCATAGCCTCCCATCTTCCAATAGATGCTGCACAGCTCGTTCTTCCAGCCAAGTGTTTCAAAGTGAGTAGTGCCATGTGCTTTCGAAGTGTATCCCAGAATGTGCAAGCACAGCTTCTCTGCATTCTGCCACTCCTCAAGACTTGTGTAGAAACTTAGCAGAGTTTGTTTGCAGGCCTGAGTAGTTAGATGATCAGGGCCCAGCTTCTCCTCACACACTTGAAGCGACTGAGAACATAACTCTTTTCCTTCTTGTAGCTTGCCCTGATCGTCGTATATTGTGCACAGATCGAGGGCAGTGTCTAGAGTCCAGGGATGACCTAGCCCGTACTTTTCTTTGTGCCAGTTCCAACTTTTCAGTTTGAACGCTTCCCCCTTTTCCAAATCACTTTGGTCATGGTAGAGTGTCCCTAAGTGATCAATGGCATCTATCGATATCTCATGCTCTTCCCCGTAAACAGACTTTCCTGTTTCAAGCGCTTCTAAGAGCAGAGCTTCGGCCTCCTGAAAGCGAGCTTGTTTCCTCCAAGTAGCTGCTAGACATAGCATACTCGTTAAGGTTATGATGTCGTTCGCTCCATGAACCTTTTTTCTGGCGGTAACAAGGAATGAATCTAGTTCCTCGGCCTCCGCCAGTCTGTTCTGATTCGAATATGTCGAGGCAAGCCCTGCGATGCTTTCCAAGGTCTCTGGATGCTCCATACCGAATTCCTTTTTATTCTCCTCCACAATAAGGAGATCCAGCTTTTCTGCCTCGTCCTCACGGCCCTGGGACCACAGGTAAAATGCTATCCCTTCTTGGAGGTACAGTCTCCTTCTCAACAATTTTCCATGTAGTTCTGGTATGAAATTGAGGACTGAGACAGCGTGGGGCAGATACTCGGCGCAAATATCCCAGTTTTCCCACTCGGCATTTGGATATATTTCAGCGAGGATATCCATGGCTTGAATGGCTTTTTCTTCAAATTTATGCTCCATGATTAGCCACTTTCGCACAGTTAACTGCACTAGCCGATGGATGGAGAAGTTTTGGCCTTTTCCGTTCGCTATTATCAGCGAGAACGCTTTAAGCGTACCCAGCGCTCTCGTCAAGTCAAGCGTTTGAGTAATTTTCTGTTGCATCAGACTTGTTGGGATGTGATGTTGGTCAAGAAAGGCAATAAGAGAAAGAGCCTCGATGGCGTACGGCTCATGCTTCTTGATATGATCTAAAGAAACAATCAGAGTGGTTGCAAGAGCATTTGGAGTTTCGCTATCTCTCCCTAGCGTCTCGAAGGGCTCGCACAGTAAATTCATCCTGGTATCATCACTATCACTATGGAGTTTGATGTACTCGTTCACAGTGAGCACATTCTCTTGCATGAAACAAGCGGCTTGCATAATTGCCAATGGTAGGTAATCGAGCAGCCCGGCAAGATCATCCATATCTGATTCTGCAGGATAATCTCCACTCAAAGCAGACTTGATCAGGGACTTCGACTCTTCTTTGGTCATAGTGTCCACCTCAATCATGTTTTGCGCAACGCTCCTGGTAAATCTGACACCAGCAGCTCGGTTACGAGTAGTGATGACTATCGAGCCACAGGTGCTTTCTGGAAGGTACTGCAGGATTGATGGATCTTCTTCAATCTCGGCAGCTGATTGTAAGACACCGTGGCCACGACGATTCTCTGATGTGAAGAGTGAGGCATGGTCGGCATTATCAATGATCAATAACCAGCGTTTACATTGCTTTTCCAGCCACTGCTTAACGAGCATCAGGTTATTGTGGTTTTTTTCACCTGTATTCTCGATGCCGCATTCCTTAATAACATCATAATAACCTTCTTGGAACCGACTGGTACTGTTTGCGTGGATCCAGAATACCGATGCGTCAGGATGAGCTTCATGGACTTGATGTGCGAGCTCAATGGCTATCTGAGTTTTCCTGGCTTTCTTAGTTCAAGCTCCCTTTAGATGAAGGAGCAAACCTACCCAACACCTCCGAGACCATATACAGCTACCCGGGAGTGAGCTTTCCCCAGCGGCATAATACGCTCCGTTAACTGGCTCAAAGTATGCTCGCGGCCGACAAATCCGGGGTTACGTGTGTAAGGCATCATGACTGTCCAGCCAACTACTATTAGCGGCTGCATTTTTCATCATTATATAGCACTTACAGAAGGATTGAACGGTTTCATCAGCTAGAATTTTGGAGTCTGATTCGCTGAAACAACTCATCACTGCACGTGTCTCCGTTGCTGAGCTCGCAAGTTCGACAATAAGGGAAGAAACATATTGGTAGTCATCATCTTCCTCACGGGGAAACCTGCAGATCTCATCATGATCTGCATTCAGTGCGACTGCTTTTTCACGTGAGTCTGGCAAGCCGAGGACGGCAGAATGCTTTTCAACAATCTTAATTGAGCAGTGAGTCTCCGTTTCAGTATCTTGACCTAGTGAATAGTGTGGCTAACTTACTATGCCAATGCTCTTGAATGGTAGCGTCTCATAAAAGCTTAAATACTGGTAATTCTCAAGAAGCTTGTCAAAGTTTGCAGAGAGTTCCTGAGCGTAAAGGCTCCCCCTCGCAAGAGCCTTCAATAGAGTGTTACTTGCTGTTCCTAGCACAGTCCTCACAAACTTGGCAGCCACACCACCCACACGTGCCAGGTGAGTTCCTCGATGAGGCGTGCCAAAAAAGGCTATGCCGAATGTTGAAGTGCATATCGAGCCATAAATTGCGCTGAGTTTGGCTTGTACAAGCGCCTGGCGTCATAGACCATGAGAGAGAGCTCGAATGCAGCTTCTAACTTCAGAAGTCTCATACCTCTTTAACAACAATACCCCCCAGGCTATGAGCAATGAATAACAGCGGTCGAGATTCGCAGTTCTACACAGAACGTAAGTCTCTTCTGCCCAACCAAGTAACTCAGTCGCTGTGGAGTACCTCTCTCTCCAGTCTTAACCTATCAAGTAGAACGTGTGCCTGCTCTCGCACACCAGCTGCAGAAGACTGGATTGCGACATTGGAGTTGTAACTGAAGAGAAAGATTCTAGCTCGTGGTATCTGCTTTGGAAGGAAATCTCTAAGCCAGAGCTTGCCATTTGACTCCCAAGTCTTTTCGGCGTGATTCTTCTTGCTTTTGGGATTAAGTCCATGTACCGCAATAATGCTATTACATGTTAACAGGCAAGCGTGGTGCAGTTATAGCAACTTACTCAATATTAGGATCGGATCCAAGAGACAATATACGCAAATAATATTCACACTGTACGCTGTTATGATTCAGTCCAGTGGGTACGAATTTCAGAACCCTTACCATCTTGGACTCAATCCAGCAAGAGTACCTGGATATAATCAACCACCAGGCCTTGATGGTGAATAGCAGTATCGCAGTTCTTTTGAGTGATTTCTCTCACCTGAGCCGCGGGTTTCCCCTCATTAAAGCCATTACCACCGCCCCTAACCAATTCATGCAAGCTGCTGCGCCGCAAAGTCGCAGCTCGATAAGGGGACACCACGGGCGGCTGTGTTGCTTGCATGATTGGGCAAAGACATGTAGCGTCCGACATCCCTGTAGACCTGCTGCTTAGTGCCTCACAGTTACTTGATTCAGAGTGCCGCTCGCTCCGAAGCACTGCGTTTCGAGATCACAAAGCAGATCGCATGAGTAATTGCAAAAGGTTCCAACTAGGAGTGCTAAACCATTGTAGGTGGGGGAGTCACATATAATTATGGCAGGCACGCCGGTTTACTCCGTCCACGGTATTTTCTCTACATACCCAATGTATTGATACCACTTCGTTATAATTATTACTTTCAGTTCTGGGGGAACCAGTACTAATTGGGGCCGACTGTGTATTTTATTGGTCAACAATACACAAATGTCTGCAACCCATTCGAAGCCAAAGTCCAGCAAGAAAACAGAGCGCTTAGCTCCCTCCAGTCAGAATTACTCATTGCTTCGTATACCCATTGCGATAGTGGATTAAAATAGAAGCTGAGCTGGACAGGGAAAGACGGCAGATGTCGGATGGTTTCGGACCCCCAACATTGCTATCTTCCGCCCACTGCTTCATCAGCCCAGTGACTATCTGCAACCAAGTCACGCCTGTTTTAAGAATGTAAATATTCATATTCAGGCACCATAAGAAAAGGCAAGCGCCGGTCTGCAGCCAGTCCCAGCGCCACCGCTCTTTCCAACACCATCGAAACCCAGTGTAAGCGCTGGGGAAGGGATCCATCGGGAAATACAGGACAACAAGAATATCGATCAAGCCAACAAAGGGGTCGAGCTACCCAAATGGGCGATGGATGTCTCCGAGAGCCGGAATGAATGGCTATTGTTCGCTCAAAGGAGTCTTGAAAGTGTTTCAGGCTCAGGCTCGCGCCTATTGTGTCTATTCTTGTCTTTGTTGGGCGACTGACTGTCCATCCGACAGATGATAACTTCTGCTGGCTCTCTCCATCCACTTTTTGACTCTTCCGTCTCCCGTTCTTTCTTTAATTCTCGAGTTGACCTCGTGGTTCTTTCTTTCTTTTGCTCATTAAAGCCGGGTCAAATAGCATCTTGCTGCTGGTCAGTCACTACTTCTCTATTCTTTCGATCTGCCGTTTTGTGCAAAAGGACAAAGGTGCATCACCACCAAAACGGACATTTACCTTTCATCGCCATAAGGTACATTTACACAATTTGCATACTAGACACTTAAAGTTCGAGTTCCCTGCGGCTGAAGCGCAGTCCCAACTTCAATCAAACCATGATGGCCTCGTTGAAAGAATCCCTGGCTGGCCCAGGATATGTGATTCTCAATGCCATTCGTGTGATAAACATCATTGTGTTTCTGGACATTATCGCTGCTAGTGTGGTCGTGCTGGTCAAGATCTCCCTTTTAACGAACTTTTTCTTTTTTGAGGCTGTGTCTCACGTTGCCACTGCAGGAGTCAGTAGTGAGTGGTCGTTACTCCCTGATGCAATATTGAATAGCTAACTTGTAGACATAACAGTATTTCTCATCATTTCCGAGCTTCCTGTTTTCCGTGGCTATTTTGATCGGAACTGGCCACTACTGGGACAAGACTCTGGATTCATCACATTGGCGATAGCAATGCTTATACTAGGTGTTGGAGTCTTGGGAGACCTGAATACAGAGGCCACAAGCCAGGAGTCTCTTGGAATGGCATTTTGGCGCATTGTGCTCTCTGCTGGTATCTTAGCTATGATCATGAGCGTTGTTAATGCAATCTCAGTAAGTCTAGCCTTAAATCTGGTGGATGCAGCGCTAACGATATGGACCATACAGAGCTTTATTTTTGCCGACAGCGATCTTGGTGTCAGTGCACGACATGTGCGGGTCTATGGAGCAGTGGCGCCCCAGAAAGTGATGACGCGAAGTGGGAGTACTGGCAGCCAACGCTCATTCCAACTCGGTATGAAGAGGGAAGAGACTCTGCCGACATATAGCCCACAAAACTCTATTAGAAGACAGATGTCTATGCGGCAGAATACGCGATTTCCTCTGAAAATTTCTACACCCGTCAATCCGATCAATCTCAATGATGCAGCGTCATCGAAATACTCGAGGGACTCCGCAGGGATGACCATTCCCGACCTTGCCCATCACCCGGCAATGCAGTCCACGCAGATCTGAAAAAACGAGTGAGCTACTGGAATTTTGCTATGACACACTTAGGGAGTTTTGCTGCAGGGACATTGCTTGCGTTGGCGTTGGCAGTATGGAAATTAGCGAGCATAGGCAGTTCGGGACGTTTGACGATTTTCGGTTCTCTTACTTTTCTTCCGCAGTTCTATTCTTGTAATCATGAATCCTTTCTTACCGCAAATTACGACAGTGAATCTTGAAGATCACTTAGCTATCTCAATTGAAAACGCTTCTTATGTGATCTGTTGGGATCCCCGATGGGCTCCCACGCCGGTAGGCAACGTATGGTCACGTGACACTCCTCCCTACACCGCTAGTTAGTCCATATAGATGGCCTACGAGGCCCCTAGCTAGATCATCATCCATCTAATTCTACACGGTTGAATCGCCTTAGTAGCCACTCCAACATGGTCTTTAAAACCTCAGGTTATTATTTCTTGGATGCTTCCCCTGATTCGTGGGCCCGGCCACTAGTAGATGTACCTTGGCGCTGCCGATAAGATAAAAGCCCGCTTGAGGCCAACTTCCGCTTCTTTGTACCGTCCGGAATACCACCACCATTCAACTGCTGTCGGGCGATGCGACATCGCCATTGTACTTCGCTGCAGAAAGATGGGTGAACTCGGGATTTCGCTCTCTACGTACGTGCAGAGCATCCCTTCCATACAAATCCCCAAATACTAACATCCCCTCCTCTACAACAGCATCAAATCGGTCTTCATCTTCTTCGCGCCCATCATCATTCCTCGGGCAATCAACTACTATCGCAGCTTTCGAGTCGCCTTAGCCACACGTCCCCCGCCGCGGGCTATCCCACAAGATGCCAGCCGAGCACTAAACGTCCTCTTCTGCGTCATCACCCTCTTCTTCTGCCTCAGCCTCCCCTTCAACCCGCACGCGCCCTCCCAGAGCATCTTCACCCTCACCCACTCGCGCATCAGCACCTCCACAGACATCATCTTCTCCCGGCTGGCCCGTCTTCGTCCAGACGAAATCCTCACAGCCGCAGACACTCTCCTCAAATCCAAACTTACCTCCGTCGGCGCCCGCAAAGTCTACCTCCGCTTCGGCCCCGACACCCTCACACAATGCGCCTTCTGCTCTCTCGATAACCTCCACACCTTCGCCCTCTTCCACCTCCCCTTCCACGTCTTCCTCCCTCACCTCTTCCACCTCGCCATCATCGGTCTCACCACCGCCGCCCCCTTCGCCGGCCCAGACGCTAGCAAATGGCGCAAATCCTTCTCTATTGTGGCCATCGGCCTCGCCCTGCTCGACGTCTACATCGTCATGTCCTACGATCCCATGCAGTATGCGTCCGCGGCCGTGCGGGCCGGCGTTGCCGTTCCCTCGAGCTCATATTACCAGATTGGACTGTTGCGCCCTCTTATATTCGCGATCTTTGATGGCGTCTGCGCCCTCCTGATCTACCTCTCCGCTACACATCGGTTCTTCTTCGCTCCGCCCTCTCAAGCCGAGCAGGTCGACCAGTGTGTTTCGGCGTCATTGAATGCGCTCTCTGGCACGACGTCCAAGTTGCATGCTGTTAGTGTTGCGCGGAATGCGGTAGTCAGGGATAAGGTTCTCAAGGATCGGGATGACGCGTACTGGCGCACAGTGGTGGCGATGAACGTGGATAATCCAGCTTTGAAGGAGATGATTACTGCTGGAGAGGGGGGTGATGGGAGTGGGACGGCGGCCCCGACCTCTATCTGGGAAGAGGAGGAAGTCGTTCGTGCTATGTCTCGGGCGATGGCTGGACAGGGGGGTGTGGATCTGGCTCGGTTGGGTGTTGAAGCGTCGGGGTATGTTAATGGTGTTACTGCTGGCTTGGAGGGGAATTGATAGATAGATAGATTGGTTTGTTTTGGTGGCTTCAGTGCCCGGTTTGTATATTGTATGTATTCTTCGGTAGTTTGTACCCGTACCCGTCTATCTATCAGAACTTGCCGAGCGTATGGACCAGAGATTCCCTTCTACCCCAAAGTTATCCAAATCGAAAGCTTACCGGTATACTCCGCAGTACAGGAGGCCGGTAATGCGTACAATCAGGCCCTCCATCGGACTCCCTACCTCTACCTCCACCCCCACCCCATACCAGGAAACCATCAGTAAAACCAAAACCAAAGCATAGCACCAGCCAAACAACTCAACAACTCCACCGCAACAAACCAAAAACCTTCAAAACGGGAATCCATCCATCCATCCTTGGCTCTGTGCCGTACCTACGGTGTGAGATGGCCGAATGTGTACAATGTCCGAACCAAAGTGGTTAGATTCATCTGCGGGGATCGCCGACTCCGGGATCTCGGCTCATTCATTAGCTAACAAGATAACCACACTTGAATTAGTTCTAGATGGGTTTTGCTGGACGCCTGGAATACTTTAGGCAACTCAGTTTTCACCGCTGCACTGCCACGAAGGGCCCCGTACCGGAGGTGCCACAACGCATGGACCAGTCAGGTATGTCTCTGAGGCGGAGGCCCGTTAACGTTCACTGCTTAGTTTACTAGTTAGCTGCTAAAGGCATGCCATACTAAGTATACTGCGAGGTGATTGGGGAAGTTCGGGTAGTTTTGTCCATGTGTAAGATTTTAGATCGGTTTGGGAACATCTACTATACTAGTAATCTTCTAGTATTGGGTTGACTGATCTACCTACCACCAGGGTGTCGCGCGTTTCTTCTCCCCTGGGTTTTCTGTTTTGTTTGTTAATTTATCTCGTCCGGATACTTTGCACGTTGCTATTTAATCACCGGAAAGCAATCAATTGCCACATGTGTTCTCCCTATCATCCTTTATCTTCCCTTTGCAGCTGATTGTTAATTCATGGGATCAAGACCATCTGTCTTGGTCCTCCTATAATACTGACTGAGGATGATTGCCTCGATACTCCCCTCGCGGGACTGCAGGGAGCAACCTGTAACGGCCCAGACAACACCATCATGGTTCAAGAGGAAGATCACACCGGGACTACTATCCCTGTCCCGGCTCGCATCCTCGCACCCGATACATACGGTGGCCGTCGTGGCCTTGCTCGTGAGCTCCATATACACCAGCCTACTGGAGGACAGTATATTCGATGGAGGCAAACCGGTACGAAAGGCAAAGTGGTCATCGCTCACTGCAGGAAATAGACAGCTCTACACGAGCCCAGACTCCGACTGGAACTGGCAGCTGAATGATTCCGATGCTCCAATTTCCACCGATGTCGATCATACCGCGCTTCTGACTCTGGTATTTCCCGAAATGGCCGAAAGAACATTCCCCGAATTGCCAATGACGCCCGTACTTCAATTGCCTGGTAATCTGTCCATCACGCCGTTGCCCCCAACATCCAAATCATTCGGCGCATACTCCAAGGAACATGTCTTTGCTTTCTCCGTTCCCTACAGCCAGGCCTCCGACTTCTTGACGATGGTTCAGGAGGTCCCGAATAGTGGCCTAGGTCAGGAGATCGACCACGGGGAACAGCGAATGTGGATAATGAAGGCTGCGCGGGTACAGACGCAGAGCAGCCTGACAAACTGGGCACAAGATGCCTGGGTCGAGTTTGTGGATCTGCTTAAGAACGCCCAAACACCTGATATTGCTATCGTGCTGCTTGGTTATATCTTCATGCATATGACCTTCGCCTCGTTGTTCCTTTCCATGTATCGCATGGGTTCTAAGTTCTGGCTTGCCACAAGTGTCCTCTTCTCATCCACATTCGCTTTTGTTCTCGGTCTGTTTGTCACTGTTGAGCTTGGAGTTCCTGTTAATATGGTACTCCTCTCCGAAGGCCTGCCGTTCTTGGTAGTAATAGTCGGCTTCGAAAGGTATGTAGGCCTCACGCGGGCCATCTTGACACATGCCATGGACCATCGCAACTTGACACGGGAGGAGGCATCTTCCGCAATTCAATACGCTATCGAATTTGCTATCAGCGAGAAGGGATTCGAGATAGTCAAAGAATACGTCATAGAGATTGCAATCCTTGCGGTAGGGGCATTGTCCGGAGTACAGGGAGGGCTCGAACAATTCTGCTTCTTAGCTGCGTGGACTCTGTTCTTTGACAGTATTCTTCTCTTCTCGTTTCATACCGCGATCGTTTGCATCAAATTCGAAATAAACCGAATCAAGGGGCACATCGACATGCGCAAGGCGCTAGAGGATGACGGAATTAGCTCCCAAGTGGCCGAAAATGTGGCCAGGAGCCACAGCAAGAGCCAGCCAGGGACGATCTTCGGCAAGAGCACGCAGATCCCTAGATTCAAGGTCCTCATGGTCGGCGGCTTTTTTCTAGTGAACATCGCGAGCATGTGCATGGTCCCCTTCCGCAATACACACTCGATTATGGACATATCGGATTGGGCTCGCGGCCTGGGTGGTGGTGTGGTTATGTCTCCACCGGTAGATCCCTTCAAGGTAGCCTCTAACGGACTGAGAGTCATCCTTGACAGGGCCAAGTCAAGCGGTCAGAAAACGGTTGTCACGGTGCTGGCTCCCATCAAGTACGAATTTGAATTCCCATCTGTCCATTATGGTCTTTCCGGGATGGAAGCTTCCAGTGATGATGACATGTTCCTCGACTTCGGTGGATACGGTGTCGGTGGCCGCGTCGTCGGTGGCCTGCTTAAGAGTTTGGATGACCCCGTATTCTGCAAGTGGGTAATCGCAGCCTTGGTGCTGAGTGTCGCCCTCAATAGCCATCTCTTCAGCGCAGCTAGACAGGGTGTCAAGGCAGCAACTACAACGGAGCACCCTACCAAGCCCAAAAAATCAGAAAGCGCACAAAGGGTTGGACTTCCACCATGCGAGTGCCAAAGAGCTGCTGTCCCATCTCCGGTGGCCAATGGATCCATTGGAAGTACGGAATCGACCAAGACCAAACGCACTCAGGAAGAAATGGTGCAGATACTCTGGAAGAAGCGCGCCCATGAGCTGACCGATGAGGAGGTTGTCGAGCTCTCTCTGCGTGGAAAAATTCCTGGTCATGCACTGGAGAAGACCTTGAAAGATTTCACCCGTGCTGTTAAGGTTCGTCGCACCATCATTTCTCGCCACAAGGCCACGGCAGATATCACGCATGCTCTTGAGCGAAGTAAACTCCCATATGAGAATTATGATTGGTCTCGGGTCTTTGGTGCATGCTGCGAGAACGTCGTGGGCTACATGCCAGTTCCGGTTGGCTTCGCTGGTCCTATAATCATTGATGGAAAGAGCTACTTTATCCCTATGGCGACTACCGAAGGAGTCCTTGTTGCTAGTGCGAGTAGAGGAAGCAAGGCTATCAACGCTGGCGGCGGTGCTGTGACTATGTTGACAGCCGATGGGATGACCCGGGGTCCTTGTGTTAGCTTTTTAACCCTGCAGCGCGCCGGTGCTGCTAAAATTTGGCTTGACTCGGAGCAAGGTCAAATCACGATGAAAAAGGCCTTCAACTCGACGACCCGTTTCGGACGACTCCAATCGACGACCACTGCTATCGCAGGAACAAACCTGTACATCCGCTTCAAAACCACTACTGGGGATGCCATGGGAATGAACATGATCTCCAAGGGCGTTGAATACGCACTAGAAGTCATGAAAACCGCTGGGTTTGAGGATATGAAGATCATAACGTTAAGCGGCAACTTCTGCGCCGACAAAAAGCCCGCGGCAATCAACTGGATTGAAGGGCGAGGAAAGAGCGTTGTCGCTGAAGCTATCATCCCCGGTGACGTGGTTAAGAGCGTGTTGAAGTCTGATGTTGACTCCATGGTCGAACTCAATGTTGCGAAAAACATGATCGGGTCGGCTATGGCAGGGTCTATCGGAGGATTCAACGCGCATGCCGCCAACATGGTGGCGGCCATCTTTATTGCGACAGGGCAGGATCCGGCGCAGGTTATAGAGAGCTCTAACTGCATCACCATTATGAAGAAGTGAGTATCCCTTCTCAGCCCATTTAGATGGTTCTAACCGTTCCCTGGTAGTCTTCACGGCTCGCTTCAGATTTCAGTATCCATGCCCTCTATTGAGGTCGGCACGCTGGGAGGTGGTACTATCCTGGAGCCTCAAAGCGCCATGCTCGACACACTCGGGATCCGAGGACCACATCCCACTGAGCCGGGTGCCAATGCCCGGCAGCTTGCCCGCATTATCGCTGCCGCCACTTTAGCAGCGGAGCTGTCGCTCTGCGCCGCGTTGGCCGCCGGTCACCTTGTTAAGGCACACATGCAGCATAACCGTGCCACTCCAGCAAAGTGAAGATTGAGTTCTGTACAATTGTACATAATGTATACATAGTAGGCGGGGGCGCCAGGGTAGATAGATAGCTGCCAAGTTAGCATACGTGACCATGCATAGAGATCGCATCCGATGCAATGATAATCGCCTTATCGAGAATGCAGGTTGCTTCTGCTTCTCCGTATTATGGTCTAGCGCCTTGAAAAAGGTTCGTTCAGCTCAGGCCATCAATCCTTTCATCCGTGATTGGGTTCCGATGATCAGACGACGAGCGATCCCTCTGCGCGTTTCAAATAAGAGAATGCGGGATAGCCTTTGGGAGGAGGTGAAAGGATGGCAGACGGCGATTGGGGGGCTTCGGTACAGTACGTACCGGGCTGGGTCCTCCATACTTTACTTTCCCTGCTTCCAATCCCTGCAACCTTACGGAGTACCGTACCGTAGGGAGAAGTGACGGTCAGAAGCATGGGCGGTGAAAGCGCGTCCCAACTGCCGTGTCTTGCGAGTGACCAGTGGGCTACCTGGAATTATTGAGGAGCCATCAGCGAATGCCGTGGGACTGTGGATGTCCCCAGGAAGTCCCCCCAGCCAGAACCACCGCGTACGTAACAGCAAGTGGGCCGAAAAGCCTTGAAACCGACGTGATACAATCGATACGTTCCCCTCATCGGTAATTTCTATATATTTTTTTTAGATCGCCCGCTTTTCCTCTCCTCCTCCTCTGCCTCCTCGCCTCGCCTTGCCTCGCCAATCTCTCCTCTCCATACCATCGACTCGGGAATTGGGGCATCTTGATCGGGATTCCGGTGGACAGTGTGTTTGGGCGCGATCGAGAAATCCGAAATCCCTTCACCCGCCCAGGTCCGGCCCGGCAGAGACACCGCTGGGTTTCGAACCAAATTACTCTTGAGCCGTCGCAGTACCAAGGGCGCCGTGGTCAACCTCCCCCCCAAGGCTCCCGATTAATCAATCCCAGGTACCCGCCGTGGAACCGCGGGTGGTGCTCTCCAGCCCTCCCGAGCCTGTCTCAGGTCTCAACATAAGCTGTTGCTACTCACTCCCTCTCACTGGGCGGGAACCACTTTCGCCCGCTCTCGCTAGACCACTACGTACCTCTCCGTCCCCATCACTTTCGCTCCCTCCCTCTCTTTCTTTCGGCCAGCTTGAGCTCTCTTCTACGCTTCCCCCTTTCCCCCCCCTCCCTTGGACGGTTCTTTCCCCGCCATTGGTCACACTCCCTTTCCGCAGAACAGTCGCTACTGCTGCTAGGGTCTGGGATCCCGACCCCTTCGCTTTTCCCTTTCTCGCCATGGCCAGAGACGCTGTGTCGCCGGCCTCACAGTCGGTCCCAGAGCTCAATGCCCGCATTTCCACCTCCAGCGGACATCACCGCCCTACCGCCAAAGAAACCACGTTCCGGGAATGGATGCTGGCCAACCAGATCGGTATGAACCAATCATCCTTCTTTTGGATCTAAGCCATTCGTCCATCCACCACAGCAAACCGTGTGTGCTAACCAGAGGGTTCGCATAGGAATTTCATTGACCATTCTTTCCATGCTACTGGCTGTCCACCACCTCTACCCTTCCTTGAATCCGTACACCGGCCCGTTTTTCCAGCTTTCGTACTGTCAGCCCGCCTCCGGAGATTACGTGCAAGGATGGGATGACATCTACTTTATCGCCAGCTCCGCAATTGCTTTGATAGGCATCCGGGCGATTGTCATCGACTGGGTGCTTCAGCCATTGGCGCAAAGTTACGGATTGAAAAGGAAAACGTCGCTTCGTCTGGCCGAACAAGGTTGGCCTTGTTTGTACTATGGATTTTCCTGGGCACTTGGCATGGTGTGTACCCTACGTCACGGCTTGTTTGCGCTTGTATGTCCCGGCATGCTAACCATGGAACGCAGTACATTTGGTCAAACTCGTCCTACTGGGGCGACTTCAGCGCCGTCTGGAATCAATGGCCCGCACGGAATGTTTCGGGTTTGTTGAAATGGTACCTCCTGGTGCAATTGGCGTTCTGGGTGCAGCAGCTCCTGGTAATCAACATCGAGGAGCGCAGAAAGGATCACTATCAGATGCTGACTCACCATGTCATCACCATCGTCCTCTTTGGATCGGCTTACATTTATGGCTTCTACAATGTTTCCAACGTGGTCCTGGCACTCATGGATATTGTGGACCAGTTGCTACCGGTGGGTGGAGGCCTTTGCATTGAATACACGCGAGCTAATTTTGATCCCAGACCGCCAAAATTCTCAAATATCTGAAGCTCGAGCGGAGCTGCAATATCGCCTTCGGTGTGTTTATGGCTACGTGGCTGGTGACGCGCCACATCTACTACCCGCAACTATGCTGGTCCATCTACAAGGACGTTCCGGCCAAAATGGCATACGGCTGCTACTCCGGCTCTACGGCGGAAATGACTTCCACCGACGGATACCCCAACGGGTGGAGATACCTCATTGCCCCCTTCCAGAACCTCAACGGCCCAATTTGCATGAACCGCACCGTCAAATGGATCTTCCTTTCCTGCCTCCTGGCACTTCAAGCCCTGTCTCTCATATGGTTCACCATGGTTATTCGGGTAGCGGTCGGTGTGATTCGCACCGGTAATGCCGAAGAGCCTCGCAGTGATGACGAAGATGAAGAGGAGGAGGAGAATGGGGCGGGCAAGGATGGTCCTAATGGTACATCAGTGATGACCGACAGCGCCGGTGCCGAATGGCGTCGAGCAAATGCGCCTTCGAACGTGCGGCCTCGCGGACGCGGGCGAGTTCGTCTTGGCGACCAGAGTGATCATAAGGCATTGCTGGGCCGGATCGGATGTGACAAACCCACCTAGACGCTCTATTGTCATTGTCATTGCATTTCTCTTTTTCTAATGATATCATGGATGTGGATATGGACATGCTGAAATGCTGATATCGATGGATATCAAGACATCACTAGCAAAAGAAACGAAACGAAAGAGAAATAAATACGGTTCGCATGGGAAAAGTTCTAACCATTCATATGTTTCAGTTTTCAGCAGGTTCTCATCTTGTCTTTGCGTTTGATACCATTGAACTTGATTGGTAGTGGTTCTATTTGTTTTGCATTGAATTTTCCTTTCACCCCCCTGGTCTGTTGATACGGAGTGCATGATGATCATTTTTATATGCTTGAGGCTGCTGTCGTTGCTCTTATTCAGTTATATTAGATGATGTTGCTGGTCGATCCATGTTGATGCCCGCCTATCGAGGGTTGCTGTTTTTGTGGTTTAGGGACGTAATACAATACCCACTGGTTGATGAACACTTGTATGATAACCTCAACGATAGATAGATGCTTACGAATTGAGCTTAGACACATCTTTTCACGTTATTTATGTCTTACGTTATAGTAGACACTATGAGTAAGATGTATCACTTTTGTTATGACAATTCAATCCACTTCAATCCATTCTAATCTTCATTCCCCGTTCATTATAATTTCTACCTGCCTGTCTTCATCTATCCCATTCTAGACCAAAATCCAACAAGCCCCGATTTTCCCATCTACCTAGTGGGATACTTATTTTCATCCCATAGGACGCCCAAACACCGTCCATCCCGTCCGTTGATCATCTATCTTGTCTCATTATTATTAGCACGCACACGCCCAACATATGAAGTTAACGCCCAGTGAGCTTGAATGCAGTATAGGTAAAACCAAAAGCCGTATATGAGAAACTCAAAGTTACGTGAAAACAGGCATATTCATATCTCCCACGCTGGGGGTCGTAACAGAGGATAGGGTAAGATTCAGGATATCTTCGCGCATCTGGGCTTCATTCCAGAAGTAATCGGGGGAGTCTTGGTCGCGAAGGCGTTTTTGTTCGCGGGCTGCGAGGGCGTCGGAATCGATGTGGTGGGATCCGAGGGCGCACTCTTGTTGGGTGACAATGAAGTCGATGAGGACTTGGCGGAGGCGGTCCCAGATGGTGCCATGGCGTTTCCATTCGAGACGCTTGGCAATTCGTACCATGCGTGAAACGATCCAGCACCGGGAGCCCGTATCTCCGGGGTCGTTTGGGGGAAAGCCGCCGTTGTTGAGGAAGAGCCAGAGCACGGAGGTGATGCTGGGGTTGGTGAAGGGGTTGATTTTCTTGATCTCCTTACTTAGCCAGTCCAGGTAGCTATCGAGGCAGGTTGAGTTCAGGTAACAGTCGTAGAGTGCCATGGCGAGGAAGAAGAGACAAGCCATGCAGGTGTATTCGTCGATGAAGCGGATATCCCGGATCCCGTGATCATAATCGGGAAGCATAGTGAGGATCGTATAGAGTGGCGTGCCTGGGCTGAAATATTTGGCGCGTCGAGGGGTGGTATTTGGTACTAGAGTGCAATGAGCATCCAGGGCCAGGCGTTCTAGTTCACGGAGACGACGAAAAAATCGTAAGAAGTCTTCACAGGCGCGGAACAGTTCGCAAAGACTTTCGGAGTCTTCTGCAGTGGCCGAGTCGTGGAGGACTGCGAGATGTACAGTCGGATCGACAAATTCGAGGGGTGGAGTCTCCAAGATAGACCCAGTCCAGGGCAAAGAGGTGCTGACGATCGCTTTTGAGGCGCAACTGAAATCCACCCTGGACAATGTTAACCGATATCTTGGGTAAAAGCAGCCAAAGCAAATTACCAATACAGCACTTTCTCTAGGAAGGGACTGGAGAACCGCATGCCTTGCATCCCTCCTCGACTTCGAATCATTGAAGCCAATCCTCTGAAATGCATCCGCTCTATGGACGCATCCTTGGACCATTTCTCCAGGGTGTCAGTCAACTTCATATATAATAAGATGCAGCGAGCCACGGTACCTCGATGACAGCCATTGTGGCTACAGCATAGATGGTTCCATCATACTGCCCAGTAGAGTCCATTTGGATGCGCTCGTTCATTAACCGCAGCGCTCGCATCTTATGGGTCAGACTTTGGACGGACTCTGTTTTGCCTTCGACGCCCGCGCGGTGTTTCGAAGCAATAGCGAGCATGGCCTGGAATGGTAGGCCATCATGTAGTGCAAATTGCCGGAATATTTCCATCATGGGATTATTTGCAATCGAGTTGGCGAACTTATACATCATAGACGGGTACGTCACCACAACTATCATACATGTAAGCTCCAGTCAGGAAACGAATAGATTTGCAGGGGTTTAGAACGCATGAAAAGCCTCGTATTCGGGCAACACGCGGGGCGCAATACAACGTACAATGTTGGATCAATTCATGGTCTGTATGGCTAACAGGGATTGGATAACAGCTAAAGGGGTCTCGAACTGGTCCTTCCCCGGGAGTAGATTGAAGATCTAAAGCCTTAGGTTTAGGTTTGTGGGGAGCAGGTGAAGAAGATGCTTCCTCGCGTTTGACCTTATGTAATTTAGGGATGAGCAATCGCGATGGACCCTTCGGCTTCTCTGGGATGGGTCGGTCCTCCTCGCTACTCGGGGAGCCCTTTTCGGACTTAGTAGCAGGCTCATCCTGAATTTCTTCTACAGGAGAGGTCTCGGATGCCTGGCTATCAGATAAAGAGCGAGAGGTCCAGCCACCGACAGGTACACGAGCTGTCCCCAGTCGAGCGATGCTGTCCAAGCGCCGTTGATGCATGTACTGGCGCATGGCATGCCGGCGGACCTGGCGCCGGGACTCATTATCGGTGACTAGGACAAACTCGAAATTCCTGGAACCGGATTGCTGGGCCGGTCTAGAAGACCGGTTTTTGGAGGACGCGGAACGGTCCCCCGCATGGTCATTGGAAATGGGACCAGCATGCGGAGGACCCAAAGGACCACCAGGGTTCACATTCTGGAACTTGAAATCTGCTTCGACGCTGGTTCCGGGGTTGGGGCTACCCTCCTCCCCCATTATCTCATGATTCGACCTGGACCGGCAAACAAGTAGTACCGGTCAGGCACGGGGGGGATTTGGGACTGGGGGGAAAGGCCGGGGTGGGGAACAAGGGCCTCTGGCACTTTGCAGCTCTGGCAATGGAGAAGACCGGGTGCCGATAAGTTCGATAGGGCGAAACAATCATCACACGCTGGGATGACTAGACTAGGCCCGTGTCCGCGAGGGATGGCGCATAGCTGAGGATGTCGTTGGACTGTCAAAAGTTCGAAACTCCAATGTTCGCCGTCAGCCCGATTTCCCCTTTCGGCCACCCCGCCCCACTCCCGCGCCCCACGTGATAATTGCTCGGCTGACTCAGCGTCCTCCCTTCTCCTCGCTTTTTCTCTCTCTTCCCTCTCTCTTCCTGCCAGAAAGCATCTCGTGCAACCAACTTATATGACCCCAGATATCCGTGCCTGGTAGGGATTTCACTGGCATGGCTACTAGTTCTCGTTGGCGCGTGTTTCAACACAGTAGCGCTCCCTGGGAGTGATAGTGACCCAGCTGGAGTTTTCGACAAACAAGCATTGCTACTCCACCTGCTTAAATCGTTCCGGATCCTCCCTCCCCATGGGGTAAGCTTAGCTGTTGCGACCCTTGATTTGATAGTCGACACACGTAATCCACGATCATGCCCTAGTGGCCTACTATTGATGATGCAGGGTCCCTAGTGCCTCCATCCTGGTGGGCCGATGGCCGATGCAGCTTTATCAAGCTTCTGTCATCCTCGATCTCCAGGTCCCCACAAAGCTTCCGAACCCAACCACATCTACAACCAAGTGCGCCAAAGAGCCATCAGAACAATATTGTACGCATATATAGACGTTCAGGATTCCGAGAGAAGTCAACTTCATCAGTGTGACTGAGCTAAGTAAGCAGGCCCAAACATCTTTACATGGAGGTGGAATTCTGGCCTAAATTACCTACTTTCGTAGAAGTAAAAATAGTCCTACAGATGTAGGATTTCGCCACAAGAAGGAGTAATCCCCGTCAGCTAAACATAAACCCGGGCCATCCAGTCATGTATAGCTTATGTGGCGACATCGTACCCCCGAGTGTCCCGACAGAACACATCATCCATCTGAAGTAGCGCTCAGTGATTCCGGCTAGAACATCGCCGCTGAGCAATAGTCGACCAGGATACCGATGAGAAACAATTCCGTGGCGCTCCAGCCCATCACCTCAAGCCCAATCCGGCAATCTACTTATAGTCACAAATCTCTCGGTTGCTAGTCAGGGCATGCTTCTTTGCAGGCACCGTATATAAGCTTCTCCAGCCGCTGATGTCTTCTGAGGTGCAAGTCGCCGGGTCTACTACACATATAACGGCAATCATCCAATCAACCACCGTTTCCTCGATACTTTGCCAGGGCTGCCATGATGCCTTCACTCATCTCCTCCCTTAGACCCGTTTCCGGTAATCGATTGTCTTCCCCAGCTAGAAGTGTTTCTTCGTCAACGTTTTCTGATGATTCCAACCGGGTTGCTCCCGTAATCTCTTGACCCGCAACGGTCTCTATTGCTTGGTTTTCGGCCATTTTTGAAGGTCTAGTGGTCCTCTTCGCCGATTCCACCCTAAAGCCTTCTCTTACTGTAGTAGACCACTGCCTGACCTTTTTCTCACCCCATCCGGGCACTGCACTGATCTGCTCTGGTTGCGCATTGATAGCATTCTGCAAACTCCCAAACGTGGATATCAGGCTTGCTGCATCCGACTTGTTGATGCTTCGTGGTGTCGTAACAAACTCGACAAGTGATTCCTTGTACGACTGGGCTTGTTGTGTGCGAATAGCAGTTGGTTGAGAATTTTCGGATGATTTGAACAACTCAAGATAGTGCGCAGCTTCGGGTGCGGACCAGCAAAGGATCAGCGTCATGTTGTTGACTATTGACGTCTTGGAGAGCTCCTTCAGGCTGTCTTCATGGTTTGGGATATCCACGATAACCAATATGATCCGTAACAAATATTTGCCGGCTAGAAGACGAATTCGCGAGTAGATGTACTCGGGGTGTAATCGGTGGTATTTTAGTGAAAGAAACAAAGCACAGGTGGTGTTTCCGATCACATAGTCGGCTGGGATATCCGCGTATTCCCATGGCAGTAGCTTGATGTGGTTCAAAATCGGATTGCCCTTTTGTCTTGTCGAGACGAGTATGGCCGACGGGCCAGACCTGTTGGGAAGTGCCTGCGGCTTGGGCTGCTGAACCTTGGACGGTGGCTGCTGTGTCGAGGCACCGGAGTCTCGAGGCATGGAATCCACATTGTCCTGCTCGCCAATGTTGTCCGCCATTGATCAGAGGCAGAGATTTACAGAGTTGAGCGCCGCTCAGATTGTATAGAACATTTGATGTTGTCATTCCGGCTTCCACCAAGTCTTAGCAGAAAGGTCTTGGCGGTTCCCGATTGGTAATGACACTCGCCACGTGATTATTTCCTCATGTGACCGTCCACCCATTATCTACCTGGGAGAAGATTGAGCGATGGCAGACGACACCAGAGTAGCATCGACGGTCATCGTTCTCAGATCCGTCGTCTGAAGGAAGGTACACGAGAAGAACGGTTCGCATTTACCATGCCGTGTGACGGGTGACAAGTCCATAGCGAATTAATAACTCCTAGCCATGTAGAACACAGTTGGCATGAGTAGTTACCGAAGACTTCATCGAGTGCAATGCCTACTGAATAGATAGGCAAAAGTAAAGTAGAAAGTCGTACCTCGTATAACGAAAAACGATCTAGATCTGCTGCCGACTACCATGTAGATGGAGACTGGTGGAGACCATCGCGACTCACCGCCCCGAGACCCGCTTTTGCCTTCAAAACTCAAAAACGGCACCGGGATTTTTCTGCCGCTGATTTTGCTACAGAAAAGTTACTCCAGACACCAATCATGGCTGAATCCAAGGGAAGTTCCCCTGAGGCCACTGAGGCCAGGGTCAACCCTATTGTTGAGGCCGCTATGGAATCACAGAACAACAAATCAACTCAGGAGGCACCGGCCTCGAACCAGCCCAGGAGGGAGCTTTTCATCCGATCGCTTCCCGCCTCTGCGACGACCGAGCGCCTGACGGAACATTTTTCGCAATCCTACGTTATCAAGCATGCCATCGTCGTCACTGACCCGGAGACAAAACTCTCGAAGGGCTACGGTTTTGTAACGTTCGCCGATGTCGAAGATGCAAAAGCTGCGCTGGAAGAATTCAATGGATCCGTCTTCGAGGGCAAGACGATCAGGGTTGAATATGCGCAACCACGACAGCGTGTTGTCGACGAGAACCTTAGAAGGAGTAAGCCGTCAGCCGAAGCTCTCGAGCTCAAGAAGCAGAGAGAAGATCAAAGGGCAGCCACTCAGCCACCCAAGCTGATTGTTCGAAACTTGCCGTGGAGCATCAAAGAACCCGACGATCTGGCAGTTCTCTTCCGCAGCTTCGGAAAGGTTAAATTTGCTACTCTCCCGAAGAGAGGAGACAAGCTGGCCGGATTTGGTTTCGTCGTTTTGCGAGGAAAGAAGAACGCAGAGAAGGCGTTGCAGGCAGTGAACGGGAAGGAAATTGACGGAAGAACACTGGCCGTTGACTGGGCTGTCGAAAAGAATGTCTGGGAGGATCTACAAAAGGGAGAGGAAGATCAGGAGCAGAAGGAAGAGGAAGGATCAGAAGATGTCGATATGGCTGATGGAAATGAGGAGGCAGAAGAAGCTGGTTCTGATGAAGACCTATCTGCTGAGGGAGACGACATCGAAGGTGACAGTGACAGCGACGAGGATGAAGATGCCGAGGAGGACGAAGACGAGGAGGACGAGGAATCAAAGGAAGACGAAAGAGACGCTTCGACCGTTTTCATCAGGAACCTTCCATTTACCTGCGATGACGATATGCTCTACGAACACTTCACCCAATTCGGTCCACTCCGCTATGCGCGAATCGTTGTCGACCGTGAAACCGAGCGTCCCCGCGGTACTGGTTTTGCTTGCTTTTGGAAGTCAGAAGATGCAGCGTCCTGTGTTCGTGACGCCCCCAAACAGCAAGAGAACCCCGCTGCAGACAAAGATAAGGCGAAGAAAGTCTCTACCACGTACAAGCATTCCGTCCTGCAGAATGAAAATTCCGACCCCAGCGGACGGTATACGCTTGAGGGCCGTGTGCTACAAGTCGCCCGCGCAGTGAGCAAAACTCGTGCTGTGCAGTTGGAAGAAGAGGGAGTGTCTCGCCGACTCGTCCGTGATACCGACAAACGCCGTCTCTACCTTCTTAATGAAGGTACCATCCCGCAAAACTCTCCCCTGTACAAGAAGCTTTCTCCGTCTGAGATAAAGATGAGAGAAGACAGCTTCAAGCAGCGACAGAGTTTCATCAAGAAGAACCCAACTCTTCATCTCAGTTTAACGCGTTTGTCAATCCGCAATATTCCCCGCCATGTCACCACAAAAGATCTGAAGCAACTCGCTCGCCAAGCGATCGTCGGGTTTGCGGAGGATGTCAAGAAGGGCCTACGTCAGCCCCTCTCGAAGGAGGAACTAGACCGGGCATCCGAAGAAATGAAGGAGGCAGAGAAATTGCGGAAGAAGAAGGGTGTCGGTGTTGTGAGACAAGCTAAGATCGTTTTCGAAACCCGAGATGGCCACAAGGTCGGTGAGGAGAGCGCTGCAGGGAGAAGCAGAGGTTACGGTTTCATCGAGTACTATACCCACCGTCATGCCTTGATGGGTTTGAGGTGGCTTAACTGCCATGCTGTTGAGGTGCCTGCGAATGGCTCGGAGGAAGTCAAGGATAAGAAGAAGCGGTTGGTCGTCGAATTCGCCATTGAGAACGCTCAAGTTGTCAAGCGTCGGAGTGAACAGCACGCTAAAGCACGTACCTTCAAGAAAGGAGACCAACAAGGTGAAGAGAAATCGGACAAAGATGGTTCGAAGGACAAGAGATTTTCCAAGGGATTCTCCAAGGGACCCTCTAAGGAACCTTTCAAGGGGCAGAAGAGGAAGCGACCTGACAATAACGATAAAGACGCAGGTGGGGAGGATGACGAGGAACAGAATAAGGTTGCTAAGCGTAATCGGATCATCGCGAAGAAGAGGATGCAGCGGAGGACTCGGAAGGGAAAGGCTTAAGCCGGGTACATACACAAAAGTCAATGTGGGTTATATATGGAGTGAATAGCTAATGATTACTGTGCACAAGCCCACCTGTAATTCTCTAACACTGTCTTGTCGAGCGCACTTGACACCAATCATTTCAGATGAGAAATACTGGAAGAAGCTGGTAATAGAATAAGTCCACGGGTATAATTCTTGTCTTAGAAAAGGGCTACTTTATAGCATTGCTGCTATCCCATTTCCTCTCTTCAGTAGTTCGTAGCATCCTGCACCTTTCCCACAATATTGTATCTCTTGCTGAAGAAAGTGAACCATTCATCCAGAACTGTCTTCTCCTTGTCCTCGAGATCGTACCAGTCGGGTCTACAATCCTCGGGTTTGAGCGATGAAGAGGCGAGGGCGCGGGAGGGATCCTTTCCAGCAAAGACTACCAGAGACATGTCAGCACACTTGACCACAAAGCGGGAATATGATGGACCCATTTGGGGAACAATGGCTCACCATGGTACTGTCCACTAGGACTGTATGCCGAGTTCCGAGTCACATCAAACACAATTCCCTTGATCGCAACCAAGGTGGGACGGTTAGGATCAGTACCTAAAGGTCACAATCAGTCAGTGTATGATACCGCGAATATCTAGAAACACCCATCTAATAAATATGCGATGCGAACAACTCACCATCACACTTGGACAGCTCCTCGACGGTTATGGGGTCATATTTCGGGGGGTCGAGCTGGACAGGAACCTTAGGGGAGAAGCGCTTCGGCTCTGGCTCGTGCTCGACCATTGTGGTAAACACTGATCAGAAATTAAGATTCGTTGCGGTTCGATATAGCTTCGAGGTCGATCCTTGCTGGGAGGCTGTTGTTTGGCAGTAGAAAAGTCGAGGTTCGTTTCCGGTCAGACAGCCGCGGGGCAGGCGGGGGAAGCTCGGAGCGGCGTAACCGTGGGTCGAAGTGGCAGCTACCTTCCTCGGCTCGGTGATGTTGTCGTTAGTTCCATCCTCCCCTGACTCTGAGAGGTTTCATTTACGATGATTCTTATTGGTTCTGAGGACCTCATTTCAACTGTTCCTTCCCGAAGTATTTACTGCTTCTGAACCTATGTAGAGTTAGACTCCGTCTACTAGTCTCGGCTGCCCATCGCGATGATACTCTTGCAAGACAAATCTGAAGTTTGAGCTATGACAACATGATCGCCATTGTTTGGTTTGATAGCGGACGTACCCTCCGGGTGTACGAAAGTCTACCGCACCGTGGACAAGGGTCCCGTGGTTGGTTATGTGACGTCAAGGACGACTTCGAATATAAGAACAAAAGACTTCATTCATCCTTGTTCATATTGCAAACTTTCGCACATCTGACTGTATTGGATCCGGAAAGAGTCACATTCTATATCTACCTCAATATCATCAATACCATCGTTTGATGTTGCCTGAAGAGTATGAAAGATGTCCACAGGTCAGAGTAATCGACCCGAAGCTATTCAGACTCCATCCCATACGCAGAGCTCTCACATCGATGATAATGAGAGGAACCGCAGATCGAGCTCCGTAAGCTCCGATCTATCACATCACCTCTACTACGAAGACAACGATTGCTTTTTCCCTCCGACTTGGCTAGGAAAGAAACCACCTACTCAACGGGGGATTGGATCGAATTCATCGGTCAAGGATATGCACACTGGGATCCAAACGTGACAGGCAAGAAAGGAAAGACATTGTTATGGCTATTGGCTGCACGTGGTTATGGGGTATCAAACGTGGACTGGGGTTTTCGGCTTGTCCTTTTTGGAGTTCTGCTATGGCCAATTCTGAATGCTCATTGCGCTTATGGGACATGAAGGGCGACTGGTATGAGGGGGGATATGATGGTTTAATGTAACCCAGCATCCTGTTTACCCAATCTAGTCTTTGCTTCTTGTCAGTCGAATACAAAGTCGCTGCGAGGAGAAGGCTTGCGATGGAGCATGTGTCGCTGGGAATGCAGAGAACGACAGGGATACATGATCTGGTCGGAGCAGGGTGGTCTAGGTTGCGTCCAACCTAGTGTGTCCCCAGCTGCTACGTGGTTGGTTAATCTCAATCGACTCTAAGGTCTTGTTTTAATAACCTAAAATACCAGTCTGATCTCCTTGCATGGTCCTGTCCAACAAGTGATATCTAGGAAGCGTCCCGGCCAGTCCATGTCAGATGTCAACTGACATGAATCACTCATGTGACCCCGGCTGAATACCACGGCAAAACCCCAAAGGAGTTAGGGCGGGACATCCTCGGCGGCCGAGGTTGTTTTATGCCCGCCATGCCAATTTTTCTAGTGCCCCTCCTTCTTGGGTCCCTTGCTTCCCGTGGCATTTGTCTATTGTGCGTGCCGCCTACTAGTCTCAATACTAGTGGTATGCTGCTTCCACTGCGGCTGCGAAAAGTTATATGCGGAACACTGGTGAATGCTTGTGGTCAACCTGCATAACCGGGAGTGTGCCTCCGTGTCATTCTCTCATATGGCTTTCATAGCCTCTACTTTCTCGTCTTGCCTTTGGTATCGTCATGACCGTTAGAGTCGAGGATCAGGCTCTTTCCTCTTTTTTTTTCTAACTAGTTAGCGGGCGTGGTTGCCCTTGCTAATATTTATACCTGCAGTGGATGGTCGTGGTCCTGATGAGACACAAAGTAAAGTATGCTGTGTTACTTACCCCGGCTTAATTGTTACTTCTGCTGGTCAGCTGTCCTCAAGTGCCACATGTAATAATGAGGTCATAGTCTCATACTGGCCGCGATAATTTATCTGAATGTCCATCGCGTTCGTTCTAAAGCAAAAGAAGCTCCCTTATGATAGGCTGCTAGTAAGTCGCGTCTTTAAATTACCAAACTCTACACCGTGCCCAATCTTTCGGGGCCTCTGGATAGGATGCCTTAGGTACAACTTCGATGATGGAATGTCCCTCGAACGGTATGTCATGAAATAGACCAATCTTATAAAGACATATAATATACCATCGAGTGTCATATCTGGGATAAGCCGTTTCTTTGCAACCCAGTGCAATGCAAACATCCATGGCCACTTGAAAGGGCAAGGACGTCTAGACTTCATGTTTGGAATTACTTTGTCTTCGTTGGGTTGCACAACAATTGTACATCGAGCTTATTGTACTCCCCTCCCTTCGATCGAGTAATCTTTGTGTAATATTACTTTCTTAGGAGATACTTACGGTTTGTCTAATCAAATTTTTCTTATCGAACTTGACTACATCATCTGGACGGTCTTTGATTGGTTGTTTGCAATGTAAAATTATAGTATAGTCCCTAAAGGTTTGTATGTCCGAGCACCGAGGAAATTGCCAGATAGGGTGAATGTGGTATATATTGGTGCTTTCTGTATTTCTCTCCAGACTAATAATCGAATACGTCTTCTCGTGCTCGACATTGAAAGTGGTCCAGCAGTGAGAGATGATAGTTCCTAATACCACAGGCTCTGAACCAAACGGCACGCACAACTGTACCTGCCCGCCATTGTGGGGAGACCAAATCCAAACGGGGTCGCCGGACCTGCAGAGAGGGTTCCTGCGCTGTGATTTGCCTCCTTGATTCCCTTTGCACGAGTTATTACTAGACCATAGTTGACTAAAATCCCATTGTGCCGAATCATGTTCCATGGCGAGGGATACTTCCATGGTGATATTGGCACTTGCCCAGCTCAGCTAGCCTGCCATATTTCTTCGCGGTCTCCCTTCGCCCGCCTTCACTTTTCCAGCGTCTACTTTCTTTCTTCCTATCCCCCTTTCTAATAATTTCCTTCATGCCCTGTGAGCGCGTGGTGTCTTCCATGTTGACTGCTGTCGGGGACCAGTGATTCACATACAGCCGCAGTATGGCTTTTACAACGGCTATCCACAATGGGGATCAATCTCCCACAATCAGTCGTCACGGAGTGGAAGCAGAAGAATACAAGGGACATTCAACGGTTCTCCCTGAAAAGGATACTGTCGTCGGTGACGATGAAGAAATCATCGGTGATGGTGTGAAGAGGCTTGCCTTCGACCATACGCACCGCAAGCTAAAGCCCAGGCATATCCAGCTCATCGGCATTGGGGGTACAATTGGCACAGTGCTGTACGTTCAGATTGGAAAGGCATTGATGGAGGGTGGCCCTGCCAGTTTATTCCTGGCATTCGTTATCTGGTCAGTCTTATGCGCCTGTCAATCTGTCTATCTTATCTATCCTTGTCCCCTCACCATGCCCCCAAACAAACCACATGGCTATCTCGAAACATCCTTGGCTATGGGCAAGGCTCTGGGATCGAAAGCGAAGCAGATAGGAGAAACTTCCGATCAAAAGTGGAATGGCTTAATGAAATCGGTATTCATCGGACAGCTTCTGCACTGCATGTGAAAGAGCAGTATGAATGTCGCGTCATTACGTCCGATATGTTCTGTGCCCTAGAGACATGAGAACCCCGAGATTCCTTTCCCCTTCCCCCGCGCATTTGCATGTTACTGCTAGAGTTATGGAATCTCATAATTTCTGATCATAGGTCCGTTGTCATTCTATGTATAACTGTGTGTACGAATACCCTTTCCCTGCGCACTCTGGTGCCCTCCTCTACCCCCTTTTCTTTCTTCATGCCACCAGCAACAAGAAGGTCGTCCAATGCGCCCATTCTACGTTATTCACATATCCAGAAGCGCCGACTTTCCAGGGGTTTCCGCGATTTCGTTGCAACCACATAGCCCGCTCTATCCCCCCTTCTGGACCCTTTGATGTAGCATCTTACTAAGATAAGATATATGCTAGGCTTGGCCGAGATGGTCACGTATTTGCCCATCTCATCGCCCTTTATCCGTTTTGCAAGTCGATATGTTGACGAGGCCTTTGGAGTTGCTGCCGGTTACAACTTCTTCATCTTCGAGGCCGCTCTGGTGCCATTTGAGGTTACAGCATGTAACCTGATTATCAACTATTGGAGTGATGCAGTCCCAGTTGCTGGGATAATCGTCATCGTACTTGTACTTTTCTCGTGTGTTGTGATTCTGTTCTTGGAGCATCTTCTGCTCGGTTAATAACAGCTTGAACTAATTGACCCTTAGACTTCTCAACATCTTCGCAGTGAAATGGTATGGCGAGGCCGAATTCTGGCTTTCCATGAGCAAGGTCGTGCTTAGTGTGGGTCTGATCTTCTTCACCTTCATCGTGATGCTAGGCGGCAATCCTAAAGGTGATCGATTCGGATTCCGATACTGGAACAACCCTGGATCATTCGCCGAGTACTACAAGACTGGAGACCTCGGTCGATGGCTTGGGTTTCTTGCATGTCTCATCCAGGCCAGTTTTACGATCGCCGGTCCTGATTATGTATCCATGGCCGCCGGTGAAGCAATGAATCCCCGTGGAGTCTTGCCGAGGGCCTACAATGGTATTTTCTATCGAATCACGGCTTTCTTCGTTCTCGGCGTGCTCTGTGTCGGTATCTTGGTTCCCTACAACGACCCTGTCATGGCTGCTGCGTTTGAACAAGACTTGCCTGGCGCCGCTGCATCGCCGTATGTGGTCGCAATGGACCGACTGCAAATTCCGGTCCTTCCACACATCGTCAATGCTGTCGTCCTCCTTGCTGCGTTCAGTGCCGGAAACAGCTATGTTTACTGCGCCAGTAGAAGTCTGTATGGACTTGCGCTGGATGGCAAGGCTCCGCGCATCCTGACAACATGTACTAAAGCGGGCGTGCCGGTCTACTGTGTCATGATTGTGCTCCTCATCGCGCTACTATCCTTCCTGCAGGTTTCTAATGGATCGGCCGTAGTGCTAAACTGGTTTGTCAATTTAGTACGTCTACTCTACACATTCGAACACACTTTTTTCATCATAAATGCTTATGGTTATCCAGGTCACTGCATCTCAACTGATCAATTTCTCCGTCATAACCTTCACCTACACCCGGTTCAGAAAAGCTCTGATGGCACAAGGCGTCCCCCGCCAATCACTTCCATACCGGAGCCGAGGCCAGCCCTACGTTGCCTACATTGCCCTGGTATCGACATTCATCATGACCTTCGTGGGCGGATACACGGTCTTTCTGCCTGGCAACTGGGACATACCGACGTTCTTCTTCTCGTACACAATGATCGGGGTGTTTCCGATCATTTATATTGGATGGAAGTTTTGGCATCGCACAAAGTTCCTGAGCCCTGAGGAAATCGATATATTCACCGGAGTTGACGAAGTAGAACAGTACACGAGAAACTATGTCGAAGTACCCTCAAGGTATGCTCGTCCACTGCCATATCCACGAAGTTAGGAAAAGCTAACCTTTCCAGTAACCCTTTCACGAGATTCAACGACTGGCTTTTTGGCTAAATACGACAACATTCAATACAACATATAGAAAGACATGGGTGAATAGAAGCTTCAACTATTGTGCATTCTACGTTTATATATGGCTACACGAAAGAAACGAGTACTACACACAATGAATGAATATTACTATATCATGAACCAGCAAAAATAGATAGATATATTCTACACTTTATCTTACATCGCCCCTCCTCTCTCCCCTCAAACATAACCACCAATTAACCCTCCCCCTCACACACACATCCCGACTGAGCTAATCAATTCCCCTCCCCCTTACTCTTCTTCAACGCCTCCAGCCTCGCCTTATTCCTCTTCCCCAACACCCTCAACGTATTCCTCTGTTCAATCTCCGTCATCTGCTCCCAATTCGAAATCCTCGATAACGTCCCATCCTGATTCACAACCACCGGTCCCAAGTGATCCAATTTCACAGTCGATCCGTCCCCGCTCACATCCAATTTCGTGGCTGACTCTGCGTCCGGGAGCGCAAGGTACTCGTTTCTTTGCTGCTCTTGTTCTTGCGATTGCGGTTGCTCTTGGCTTTGGTTGTTGGTGGAGGGTTGTTGGTGGTCTTGGGACGTGCTCATTGTGGAGTAGTGGTTGTAGAGGTTTATGGCGGAGCAGTGTGGGTGGGTTGGGAGGTTGGGGTGTGGGTGGAGGCGTGGTGTTGTGGTTATTGTAGTTGCGGTTGCGAAGCGCGTGGTTGTGGTTGTGAGGAGAGGGTTGAGGAGGAGGATGTTGAGAAGTGAGGCGCGGGTGAGGGTCGTGGACATGTACATTATATGTTTGGCGAGGTTTGGGTTTTTGAGAGGTGGGTTTTTGGTTCGGGTGGTGTGGGTTGAGGGGAGGAATTGGGTGGATGATGTGGTTTGGTTGATGATTTCTTGGGATGTGGAGTTGGAGGGCGGGCGGAGGAGAGAGGAGAGGAGAGGATTCTAGAACGTTGGGTTCTGGACGGTTACGTAGTTGGTCTGTGTTTATCTATACGGTGATTATTATTTTATTATGTGAGGATTATTTGGTTTTGGCCCTGGTGGTTTTTTTCTTCTTCTCTCTTTTCCTGGGTTGTTTTATTTTTCTAGTTGATTGGATTGGATTTTTCTAGGTGTTCGGTTCGGTTCGATATAGATGCAGGTTGGAGCCTAGACTGGCTACCATGTCTCCGACATATTTGTCCCCGGGTTCAGTTATCGTAGATTTTATCAGCGGAACCACCAATTGACCTGTTATCAGATAAGCATGCGCATGTACGCTCGATATAAGGGAACTCACTGAAGCAGTCACGCCCGTCCCTACGCCCTTGATACTATGCCACCATCCACGGGGAATAAACATTCCATCACCCGCCTCGAGACGCGCCTCATACCCATTCAGTCCTGACACAACAGTCGCATCATCCCAGACAGCCTGCTCTAGTAGCGTTCTTTCCTGCCCCTGCATCATCTCCTCCCCGCGAATGGCAGCAGCCTCGCGGCCTCCGCTCATCCCCATCTGACGTCTCACAGCTCCAAATACCTTCTGCCCGTCCTCAGGCGACAGTAATCGCACAACCTTCTGTCCCGCAAGCTGAACGAAAAGATTGGGGTTGGGGTCCCGATGAAGAGGTGTATACGTGGGCGGATATCCGATCCAAACGTTCGTGTCGTACACGTCACCTTTACCCGCTTGCGCTACCAGCTCTGGTGTCGGAAAATCATCGCGGAGCACCTGGGGTAGATCTAGGAGTTGACACTGCGCTAGATACAGACGTGTGGACTGTGTCTCGAGCGTCTCTGCCGTGCTAATCCAGTCTAGGAACAGGCTCAGCGGCGCGTGAAATTGTCGAAACGTGAGCCCGTCGACTCCTGTATTGACAGTGCCATCTGAGGATGATTGTGTGAGTTCCAGCGGGACGAATGCATCGGCGCCATGTTGACCAAGGTAGGTTGTGTTCAATTGAGACACATTGGAGTCGGTCGGATCGGGTTGGAACCAACGCTCGAAGGCCGGGAATTCGCGAAACGAACGGCGCGGGAGGATTATAGGGCGTTCCGGGGCAAAGTAATTCGCGCGAAAGTGACTTATGTCGACATTGTCCAGAGTCTCGAGGGGGCGGTATTGACGGGATGCCGTGGGGGAGGATTGGCTTTGAGAGGTGAAGCAGCGTTGCTGCCGTGGTTGGTTGGGAGAGAGGAACCGGAGGGCGACAGACGGTAGACGGTGCCAAACCCGGGGGTTATTGTAGCGCATGCATTTCTGGAGCTTCATTCAGAAGACCATAAGTTCAGTCATCCAGGGAAGTGGGTTGAAAATGCTCCGTGTCCAGCGCAGAGTTGAGGCCGTGACACGTGCAGGTGGATGGGCAGATCGGGGAATTTCCGCCCCGAGTCGCATTGGCCAGTTGCTCGCAGACCAGCATCAGGAGGACTTCCAGCATTCAAGGGGGCGTGAGGCAACTTCATTTCTTTTTTTTTTTACTTCTCTTTCGTACCTGTTCTTTATCTTTCTCTTCCCTCCCTCGATGCAGTGCCCAAGATAAACATGAATGTAATAATTCGCAGCGTAATTACTTAACTGGCCTGATAAGTGCAAGTCAGCCGCTGATAAACCATGGACGGAACTCAGTGGTCTTTCCTCGTCCTCCCAATTGGAAATCAGTCGGCGACGTACCTGTCAGTTGACCAGTGCCATAGCTGACCGCCATTAAGATCGAATTGAGAGTCTTCTATTTACATTACCACATAATAATCTCCCCAGACCTGATCTCTCTTGGCGATCACTTCCCGGTCCGGCCATCTGGGGAAACGGAAACCCCGCGCGCCATCGAGCAAACGAAAGGAATCCCTCCGCACCGGTCGCTGCTTTCTCCCATGCCAACAACCAATCGTCCCGGCTCGATTTCCATCCAAGATGTCCTCAGAGTCGCCGCAGCTTGATATGGCACCACCCCAGCCGGATTCTGGGGACCAGAATGCCGCCCTGGACGCTGATTCTGGGAAGAGGAAAGCGGAATCGGCCAACGGGACTCATACTCGCTCCAAGCGGAATCGCTACATCTCCATCGCGTGGTATGATCCGGCTCTTAAATCCACTGGTTTAACACTGGTGTGTCTTGAGCCTGATTAGCTGATTGATGCCGGTTTTCCTCTTTTAGTAATGAATGCAAAAGACGGAAAATTAAGTGCAATGGCCAAGTGCCTTGCCAACGCTGTGGACACCTTAACCTTGAATGTTAGTCTGCGCTGCAGGTCCTCGTTTCTCCGTGGCACACACAACAGACGCGACTCACTGTGTCCATAGGTCGATATGCCCCGAACTGCTGCAACAATAACTTCAAGGATTCTGAGTACGTTGATAGATATATTTGGACCCCGTCTCCAGTAATACGGCGCTACGCTCGATAGCTAACCACTCTTTTACCGCGCCAGGGAGTTTCGGTCAATGAAAGACCAAATCAAAACGCTACAGGACCAGGTCAACAACCTTTTTACGAATCTCAAGGATCTTCGGTCGCAAAGGTCGTCCATAGACCCCCCAAGTTTCGATGCCTTTTCCCGCGATGGCTCGCAGTCGGTATTCACGCCTATGCATGCCCCCTTGGCCAAACCACGCATCAGACATCCCCGATTCCAGGGTCCTACCAGCTCTGCTTTCAACTTTGATGTCGCAAGATCTAGTCTTCAGAACATGGGCATTTCCCCGGCAGATGAGGTAATAACGGATGATCTGACCACCGCACATGCCACCCCGGCTGGCTCCCCTCGTCATGTGGGCCCCTTGTTCCCTTCAATACATCCTTCTAAGGATCCAATATGGACCATCAAGCGAGACGAAGCTTTGCGTCTGTGTCGTGTCTATGAAGAGGAGATCGGTATCATGTATCCCCTTGTAGAGATAGACCAAATCGCCCAGCAAGTGAATTTGCTATACACGTTCATGGAGTCTGCAATGCGGACTGGTTTTGCGCAACGGGGCCTACCTGGTATGGATGGACTTACTGATGATAATACGCTTCTCTTGAAAATGATACTTGCTATAACATTGGTTGTGGAAGGGGGTGGGCAAAGCGAGCTCGGGCAACGGTTGTATCTGAGCGTGAAGCCGGTTGCTGAATCCAAACTTTGGGAGTCGCTTGACATCAAGACAATCCAGCTCTATGGCATGATTGTAGGTACACCAACCTGTGAAACGGGCTTTGCGCTGACACATCTCACAACAGGCGACATATCATTTCCATATGGACGATGACGCAATGGCCTATCGCATCATCGGCCTGGCCGCGCGGATGTGTCTTGAAATGGGCCTCCATCGGCGTGATGCGCTGAACAAGATGATTCCCGACGAGGAACAATGGCCTGCGGTGGTGAAAATCTTCTGGACAATCTACAGTCTAGACCGACGTTGGAGCCTTGGAACCGGGCTGCCTTTCATTATCCAGGATGAAGACATAGATCCTAACCTTCCTGAACCGGTATGACATGCGTTTGCATGTGGTCTTGATCAGGCGAGCTACTGACCTCGTCTCTAGGATGCTTCGTTGCTGTATCTGAAATGTATGATATCATACAATCGTATCAGTTCGAAAATCTGGTATTCGGGACTTGGCTCCGAGGGTGCAACAGACATACGTCGGGATGAGATTGGCTATCTGGACTACCAAATCCTGCAATGGTATAAGCAAGTCCCAGATGGGCTAAAGTTCTATCCCGTTGAGTCTCCGAAGCATGGCCATGGCGATTCGGCCAATCGGGGGCTGCGGCGATTGAGGGTTCTCCTATATCTGCGAATGAACCAGCTCCGAATCCTCATCTATCGCCCCGTCCTCCACTCCACAGCGAGCATTGCTGAGGATAAGGGTCACGCTCAGACAGTAGTGGATGTTGCGAAAGATACGATCCGCGTGCTCACCCAACTCAATCGGGGCTCCGACATCTACCGCAGCCAACAGATTACTTTCAACTACTTCCTTGTTGCTGCCCTGGCAGTTCTCTTCCTTGCCGTGTGCCATGCGCCGACGGATTTCAACCGACCAGTGCGGGAGGAGTTCTACTTGGCACTCGATTTAATCAACGGGTTCAGCACCAAGTCCTACGTCTCGAAGCGACTCTGGAAAGCTATCAAGGGACTTCGAAAAATCGGGGAACGACTGGGAGTGATTGTCCGACCCTTTGGATCCGACTCAAACGATCCCCATTCAACTGCGGCGGTCGCCATGGCTGGGTTAGCCGGTCATCAAATTGAAGACCTGTCCGTGTATGGGCCGATGAACGGGGTCACAGAACTCGGAAACAGTCCACTCAATGGGCTACAAATGAGCCATGAGCTCACGAACCTGTTTGAGGCGGTGGGTGGGATTGGGAACTTCATTGGTCCTGGGACAACGTCCGATGGGATCAATGGGTTTGTAGGCCATGATGGGGAGATCCAGAACACTGGAGAGGGGCTCTCGGGCGTGATTGGGGATGAGGGCGAATGGTCACGGGTCATCAGGGATTTGTTCTAGTGCTTGACTCTAGAGTCTAGGGTGTAGAATAGCAGTAGGTGTATCAGCCGATTGTTCTCTGTGCAACGCGGATGAGCATGTGCGGTCGAGACCTGTGCACGTGACAAGCGGGAGGCGTGAAGGGGAACAGCCGCCGGGTGACTTTCGGTCGCCAACCTCCTCCAAAGCCAATCCCAGAACATGTTCCAGTTGTGAATTGCTGTTGGTGTGGCCACCCACCCCCTCTTGAGTCCAAGGTGTCTGTCTTGCTGTTATCTGTCCTTTGGGCCCCGAGTCGCCCGTCTGGGGTCGCCTAGCTGGCTATCTGTCGCTCCCTCTCCTTCGTGTTAAGCACCTTTCCGACCGCCCCACGAACCTAATTTCGGAAGCCCCTCGACAACCTCCGTCGATCGATCCACGAAGAGAGAGGCTCAAGGATTTGGGATTCATCCTTACTCACACCCTCATCCAGACCAGTCTGAGTCATCAAGTTATCAGCGTCTTGTGCCGATCGATGCGTCTCTGAGGAATTGTTTGCTGGTGGTGAAGCATCCATCGCGTGAAAGCAACCCCCCCCCCCCTCTCCATCGCACAATAATCTGCCTGCCCGCACATTGTCATGACTGCGACGTTCATCAACAAGACACTGTCATTCTATTAGCTCTACATCGGACGCCATCTACAGTCCATCCACATCCGAGTCCTGCCTTCCTGGCACGAGGAGGGACCCGGCTTTCGAAACTTATACCAGAACCATTGCATCTGGTGCAGGTTTAATCGGCGCTCCATCTCGGACGAGATACTCTACCGTCGTTTTTCACCGTAGCTCGGCAACGTGTCGAGAGAGACAGGTTCGGCGTTGGCCGACGGCCTAGACAGGCTGGATCTGAGTCAACTGTCTGAATCGACGCCCTCGTCATCCGCGTCCGACTCATTCGATATGTCGTCGTCGGAGGGGGCACCGGAGTCATGGATCTCCTCGTTCTGCTCTTTGATGGGCCATGAGTTCTTTGCGGAAGTGTCGGAGGACTTTATCGAGGACGACTTCAACCTGACGGGTCTGCAGTCGCAAGTTCCTATGTACAAGGAGGCGCTCGAAATGATCCTGGACGTGGAGCCTGAGGAGGACGAGGATGATGAAGAGGAAGAGGAGGAGGAGGAAGACGAAGACGAAATTCTGGGAGATGACAAACCGCCGGGATATCGGAGGCCAGGGGAGCGGAGGCATACGCGAGTCGCGAGTGATCTGAGCGTCATCGAGAGCTCCGCTGAATTGCTGTACGGACTGATTCACCAGCGGTACATTACTTCGCGACCCGGCATCCAACAGATGCTCGAGAAGTACGAGATGCAACATTTTGGAGTCTGTCCTCGAGTCTATTGCAACGGATGCAAGGTGCTGCCCGTGGGGCGCTCCGACACGCCCGGCCAGGAGACTGTGAAGCTGTTCTGCCCTAGCTGCCAGGATCTGTACACCCCCCCGAACAGTCGGTTCCACTCGGTCGACGGAGCCTTCTTCGGCACTACATTCGGATGCCTGTTCTTCATGACATTCCCAGATCTTGACATCGGAGTCCGTTTGGACAGCGCCTTCTCAACCTTGTCACCTCCACGCACCTCGGATGTTCCCCCTCCGAATCAGCCTACCGAGATCAACGGCGTGCGCACGATCAACTTCAGCCCCGGTCTCGGGTTGGGCCGGATCTATGAGTCCCGTATCTATGGCTTCCGCGTGTCGGAGCGGTCGCGATCAGGTCCGCGCATGAAGTGGCTGCGGATGAAGCCTCTAGATATTCGAGAGTTGGACGAGCTGGCGCGATATGAAATGTTGCACGGCTCGGCTGATAATGATGGAGACATGGAAATGGGCAGTGCATCTGGCAGCGCGCAGAGTGCTGCCATTGCGAAGAGGAAAAAGGCACCGATGCGGAGACGGCGATACAACCCGGACCAAATGAGCATCAACGGTGCTGAGGCCGGATAACCGTCGTATAGCTTGTGATCTGCCGCGTTGGGATAGTTGTGTGAGGAATGTTTTCACACCCCTCTTAATCCGTTCAGTTCCTTTTTTTCTATGCTGTCCATCTTTTTCCATTGCCTGTCTGTGCTCCATCTAGTGAAATTTTGAATCCTCCCCAACTCTCTTCCTACCGCACCCTATCCTACATCCTTACTGATGGCCATCACTGTCTCTCGCGAACCCTATAACACATCTCCTACCACTGTCGCCTGATAATCTGTGCACATGAGTTATGTTCGTTTCAGCTCATTCTGTTGATCTGCATCGAGGCGTCGTTGAGTCGAGTTCGAGTATCTTCGTCTTTGGCGTACAGATTCACGTTCGAATACAGTAAGAGGAGAATCATGGATAAAGTATGAATATGTATGACTTGATATGTAAAAGTAAGCTCGTATCCTTGGAGTAAATCACATATCGCGAAGCTACACAACACAACACAATCTGATGTATAATGTACCCGTATCCCCCTCGAAGCACATGGCAAACAAACATAGTTAATCAATAACAAACACCACTTATACTAACTACCCTCCACTCTATCCATCTATTACCTCCTCCCTACTCACGATGTAATAGCCAGATAGATCATACGACCGCCCCCCCATCAAGCAACTTGCATAGTAGTACATGGACATGGACCGACCCATCCTCCATCCATCTAGACCCCTTCCCCTACCTACCTACCTACCCACAACCTACATAGTACCTATTACTTAAAATCAAGACATATACGTAGTACCTACCTCGTATCGGACAATTCTTCCAATTCCCCCCCCCCCCCCCACCTTCACATATATACCCCGATACGAACCCCTTGTGATATTAGTATTTAGTACTCCTATAGTAGGTAGTACTAACTGCGGAGTAGAGTAGTACCTACGTAGTACCATCCCACACGTGCGTGCAGACTCCATAATAATCCATCTATCCTTAATATGTATGTTTAATATATATATTTACATACTTAAATATCCATTCTTCATAAATGTAGGTAGGCACTGAAACAATAGAATAATATAATCTGTAGGGGGCCATACGATCATATCGATTTGAATAGTGATATACGTGATGTTAAACGAACGGACGAATCAGAGCGGTTATTGAATATTCGAAGTAATTAAATTAGAGACATTTGATAAGGATGTCGATAACGGTAATGAGGCTAGCTAAGTAGGTAAGTAGGTAAGTTAGTAATTAGGTAGGTAGGGTATATTTCCGTCCTGGATAGGGAACTGGTGGTCCCTGGGGATACTACTAGTGTCTTTTCTTCCTCCTTAGTTAGATACGACGTACTTGGGTGGTGTAGTGACTAGTGGGAACGGTGTTATATTGCAACCAGGGAAATGTTATTGCCTAAAGTATCTTCCCATCTCGTTTGTTTGCTTCGTATTGACTTTCATGTGAAAGAATGGGTAATCTTCGGGGTTGGTTTATTGTTTATTAGGAGTATAGTACGGAGTATGGAGTAGATAGGGTTGGTTTAGGGAGGTAGTGTCTCGTATAGACATGGCACTATGATCGGAGTATTCGGAGTATACTATACTATACTATACTATACTAGCTGGGGGGGTCGGATGGTCCGATAATGAAATAGTAATCATCATGATGAGACATGACGGACGGGCCATGTATGTGCTTAATTTAAAACCACGTGTGATTCATAGGCAAGTTGGAATGGAGGGCAGATACCAACTAGATACTAGTCGACTAGTTAGCATGGCCGCATTAGGCAGACATTCAATAAGCGGGTCTAGGATGGCACCATCCAGCCGGCCGTAATCTTCAGACCCTGGCAAGGAAATTAAAGTGATGATGGTGCGGACTGCGGACTGCGGACGCGGACTGCGGACACGGAGTCGGAGTGATGGGGGAGGGGGAGGGGGAATGCTGACAATCAATCTATGGATTGATAATGCAATATCTAGTGGCAGAGTGGTATGAATTTGTCATCCCCCCCCTCTCCATCTTCTCGTGGCGTTACGGATGAGAACTTAGAACTGAAATTAGGCGTCCAAGACGACGGCAGGATTGGCCATGTGCGTGCCAGAGCCTAGGTACTACATACTAGTACTAACGATAAGTAGATATCCAGTGAGTCATGGGGCTGGCCGGCAGGCGCCAATCATCGAGGGGCGCCGATATTGGCAGGAAGGAGGCCGTAAATTACTCGATTCCTGTACGGGGCCCGGGGTCGGATTTCACCGATTTCAGCGTCCGACAGTCCGTGTCGGTGGCCAAGGGCTGCCCTCTTTGAGCCGCCTGGTGTCACCCATGCGTGACGAATCCGCGCCCACTGCTGGGGGTCGCATCCTAGCTCCCACTGATGGCTTTCAGCCTATACGAGCCCCGACCGAGTCAGGACCGTCGACGCCTCGGAATCCCTGGCGTCCGAGCCGCCGGCTCCCCGTGCTACCCAGCCCGGTTTTCTGGGGTCGCTGCAACGTTAAGGGCTTTGAAATCAATTAATCCCAGCCCGAGCCTCCTTTGGCGGGTAGGCCTTGGGGGGCGATACGCAGAGTTGGTGCCTTTACACCCCCCTGGCTGGTGCCAGCAAACAACATCCCCCCTCCAGCGTTGTACAAGGCGGGAGTAAAGCTAACAGTACGTTCGGCGAAAGAGCGCTATAGAAGAGCCAAAGACTTTCCACAATAGAAGAGTCACATCCAACTTCTCCGAGACTTGTGGCTGCAGCTCTCGTATAAGTCGCGTTCAGCTTGTCCGTTGACGTATGCCACGCAGTCGGGCATAAGGCACCGGGGTCAACTAGGGCAAACTGCCATCTCTCACGGCTGCAACAGTGCCACTAGGAGTTGACAGTGTCGCATTTTGTCGCCGGGAGTGGTGTACGAACAAAGGAAGCTGCATCCGCAGGTGTCCATACAGCATGCTTCCGGGCTATCTATTACCAATGTCCGGTGCCAGCAGAAACAAGAGGCGACTGAGTAGCACATCATGTGGACTTGCATGGCAAATGATAAACCTGGCATGACGCTAGGGTTCAACAGACTAAAGTAATCTTCAATTGACCGGAGTATCTGAAAGCTCCTATTAGATACTGACCGGTCGCCGCAAAGGGGTGTGAAGGGTTCCTCAAAGGGAACATGGCATACTCATGAAGCGTACGGAGTAGACTTGACATGTACCCTTCAGTTGTCTGCAGAGCCAAGGAGATCGGATCTCTTGGTATGGGATGACAGGGTCCGTATAGACAGGCGGGCCGGAACAGCAAGGCTTGAACGAGCAACCAGGCCGAGCCTGATTGGGACTTAGTTAGTCCATTGATAATAACCTCAAGAGTCCAGAGCCATGCCATGCCCGAGATAGGTAGAATCGAGATGTCACGGTGTTAGTGCCCAGACACATAGGTAGCCCGCCAAAGGTTCTGGACTGAGACATGGAGTCGTCCAGAGCAGCGACGCAGGCTGGAGCCAGTAGTAGGTACTATGGAGCTGGCAATCCAGGACCGACCAGAGCGCACAGAACTAACGAGGAGCGAATACCCTCATGGCCAGTCATTGCAGCACACTACCCTGTACAAGTACCACGTCATGCCGGGAGCTGTGGAGGCGCAGCACATGTTCGTAACTTTCGTACCCTCGCAACTTTCGCAAAGAGTCGCAACAACCCTCGCGCAGAGCCCCACTAGGAGGGAGCGACAGCCGGCCCATGGATCTCCCGCCATTCTTTCATCCCTCCCGCCCGTCGTTCATCGTTCATGGTGATGGATGGGGCACAACAAAGCGGGTTGGCCGGAAGCGGGTTCGACGGTCGCAGGGGCAGGGTTCTGGCCTGGGCGTTGGGGACTGCCCGCATGGCCTCGCCCATCCAATCACTCCCCCCCGTCCTCCTACCTACTCGGTCGGCTCTCTCGCGTACCGAGATACTGATAGATCCCTCCCTATCTATCATTACCTACAGGCACATTCCATCGATCCTTAAAGCCTATGTCCGATCTCCGAGCGGATAACTCCGGGATCGTGTGTTTTTTTTTACCCCCATGAGCTTGTCTCACTGCCTACCCAAGTAAAAGACATCCCTGCTAGGGAGAACCATGGTGGCTTCTGGAAAGTCTAAAGAAAAGCCCATTCCAGGCAACCTCTGCGTTCCCATTAGTTAACTAACAAGGTAAGTAGTAACCTAGCAACCTAACTAATTGACGGGCGGCGTATCGCCGGGCATTTTTTTAATCCTTCGTTTAGCATGACCGATTATGGGAATCCTTGTGATTCACTTTTTGTTTTTTTTTTCTTCTTTTTTCCCGATTCTATTTTAAAGTACTTACTCGGCCGCCTTTTGGGGCCATCATTTATGCATGATGAACGAATCAATCAATCCCATGGCCTGGATGGCCCCCCAACGGGTGGTTGAGTTTTGACTTCAGTCCAAGAGTTTGGAGCTGTCAGTTGCCGAGAAAAACCGTTTATGATTTCTCGTATAATTGGTTTTTTTTTTTTTTGGTGCCCCTCTCGGTTCTCGTAAATTTCATCATAGGGGGAGCTACCTAGGCGTGCGCTTCAACGGAGCCAGGATGGAAAGGCTGAAGGGATCACAACTCCTACCCAAGGTGGATATCATTAATCCCACGCTTGCTGGATCCGGTCAATGATTAATTAGCCATCTCCCCGACTAGGCTAGTTTAGTGTTGGGGGCCAAGCCAAGGGTACACACGAGCCGGCCAATCAGTGACTGCAGCCACCGGCGGGAGGCGAAAGCCTCCCCGTCCACAGTCTGGGTTGGCAGTTCCCACTTGGAGTGATGCGCGGGGATTTCGGGATGGGTGGAGTCGCCCTCTGGCGGGACTGGACTGGACTAGACTGGACGGCCTGGAGCCAGACTCGATTCAGAAAGGTATGGTAATCTATCAAAGACACGGACTGATGGTTCGGTAACAATTGCATCCCAATAATAGCCAATTTCCCTCACATACACCTGTAGCCCCTTGTCAAAATAAACGCCGCAAAACA